CTTTCTTAAACGCGCATATGATGAGCGTCTAACAATTTTCCAATCATCTCAGAAAATTACACACGATATATAGGTTTGGCTAACATTCAAAGCGGTAACATGTCCCTAAAGGTTTTGAGCAAATTTCACTAAAAGCCCATGTAATGTTTATCATCGTTCAACTGAAAAATTTACGCTAGCTTCCCTCTACGAGTCAGTTTAGCGTTGATACAAATATCAGACCGCGCTTAACGACTTTATAACCAACTCGGTGATCAATGGCATAAAGATTGAAGATTAATTCGGCTTACTACGATCAGAAAGGATTACACAGTTAACGACTTGGATTTATCCTTAGCTAGTCTGTACTATTAAAACAGCTACATTATATACTAACTTCACGTAATGGACGCTAGTCTGGTCCACGTCAATATATTACATTAGATCAAAGTTGCGTCAATCGGGAAGCTAGATTCAATTTTTCTCATCTGTGCGATTACGATAAGGGGCAAAATCTTTCCTGGTTTAAACAGTGTTTTATTCAACAGAAGATGTATATTAATAATATGTCGTATAAAGTGAACAGAACACAATCTAGGTTACCCCTTGTCAGTGGTGCAAGACGTAGAGCCGTGCAAGGAAGGTTGTCTATTAATTCGGACGGTACGAAACCGAGGTTCCGCGAGCTCGTTGACGTGCAAATAAAAAAACCCTCGGCAGATGGAATTCGAAATAAAAGGGTATGCTCTATATCTTAAAAATAACTTTTAGAAATAGTGTGGGTTATATATTTTCTAAGAAATACAATATACAGACTTTGTTTTTGCATAAAATAATTTTAAAACAGTTGACAGTTTAAATTTCACCCAAAGTATATGAAAGTATAATGTTGTCTCTTGAAGTAACTATATTGACCGAACATTTTAGGCGAAACGAAATTATAACAAAAACTGTCACAATAACCCCACAAATTAGGATTTATGTGTGTTATTACCTTGTGCTTCTTATTTGGGTTGTACATTGCCGATCAAATGTCATCCAATCATCAATATTTTCACCATGAAGATGCTATATTTTGGTTACCTTCGGAGATTGCCACAATTAAGATTCTATATTTGGGTTACATTAGATAGTTGACAGACACGGTTCCCACTAAACTTTACTTCAAACATCATAAATATCTTCACCATGAAGATGCTCTGTTTTGATTACCTTGGGAGGTTGCCTCAATTAAGGTGCTATAATTGGGTTACATTAGATAGTTGACAAACACGATTCCCACTAAACTTTACTTCAAACATCATAAATATCTTCACCATAAAGATGCTCTGTTTTGATTACCTTTGGAGGTTGCCTCAATTAAGGTGCTATAATTGGGTTACATTAGATAGTTGACAAACACGATTCCCACTAAACTTTACTTCACACATCATAAATATTTTCACCATGAAGATGCTATATTTTGGTTACCTTCGGAGGTTGCCACAATTAAGATTCTATATTTGTGTTACATTCGAAAGTTGCCAAACACAGTTTCCACTAAACTTTACTTTAAACATAATTATACACATTCAATTGTAGTTAAGCTTGTAATATAATTAGATTAAGAAAATGTTAACTACAGTTTGCGGACTATATATTAGTGATGTATTGCGTCCTGTTACAGGAAATGGAGAAATAATTGTCCTCCAAATGAAAGAAGGTATGAATACATTTTCTGAACATAAAAAAGTGACATATCCGAAAAGAATAATCAGCCACATACAAGTAACAGGCACGTTCCTTCCGGGTCTTGACTGTATCCGACAATTTCGTTCCATACAAAACCTGCGACAGACAAGAAATTAGTTCCGAACCCATGTTTGTGACAGATATCGGAAGCAGCGTCAGGATATATCGTGTTTGTTAGTTTTAACACAATTAGCGGGGGCTTTTAGGTTGTTACAAAATATAAGCTAGAAAGTCATTTAACACTTATACTGTGGATACATTTGTGCGATCCCGTTGTGTGACAAGTAACGACAAATATTCGTTTGGTTTCAGTTATTGCACCCTTATTTTAATAATTTCAAAAGCGCAGTATGTATATAATAACTTTATTTACACCAGGAACTATAACGTAATACATGTATTACGAGAATGAAACACAATCTAAATTAATTCTACCATGGAGCTTATAATAATATGCCATGATAATCTAACTCCGTACTGACCCTTGAGGCTTAGATTCAGAAATAAAACTCTCCGGAACCCTGTCTAACAACTTCATTCGCCATGCATTAAGGATCATATAATATCTATCGTATTAGGATTACATGCCAACACAACATCACCTGTCATATGTTAAAATGATGGTTGTTCTGTTGCACTATCTAATTTATATCAGTTCAGGTTATTACAATATCTTATAAGATGGAATCACATGTTTATCAGATCATAACATGTGCCCTTTGTGATTAAAAAGTATTTATTTACAGTAAATAACAATTTTGTAATATTATGTTCTATTGAATGTTTTGTTTAATACGTCTACTTTTGTTTTGTGTTTTATTGAATATTTACTATTCTATGTTTTTGTTGTTCTGTGTTCTTGTTGTTCTATGTTTTTGTTGTTCTGTGTTTTTATTGTTCTATATTTTATTTGACATGTCTATGTTTCTGTTATAAACCTTGAGTGGCATTTAGTGATTGAGCACATTAAAAACACAACACAATTTATATGGAAAACAATCACTGGTTTATACACATATAGCACGACGTTTCGACATGTACTTGATAACGATAAGAGAATACTTGTCGAAACGTCGTGCTATATGTGTATAAACCAGTGACTGTTTTCCATATAAATTGTTTTGTGGTTTTATGTTTCTGTTGTTTTATGTTTTGTTTAATACGTACTGTTGTTCTATGCTTTGTTTAATATATAATGATGTTCTACGTTTTGTTCAATATACATGTATAATGATGCTCTTTATTTTGTTTAATGTTTTGTTCTTCTATGTTTTATTTGATATGTTATGTTGTTTCATGTACTATTGTACTATGTTTTTGCTTTTCTATGTTTTTGTTTTGTTTAATATATCATGATGTTCTACGATTTGTTTAATATATTAATGATATTATTTGTTCTGTTGTTCTATCTTTTTGTTGTCCTGGGGTTTTTTAAAGTTACAATTTCATATTTTCTAAGAAAGTCAAAACCTAATTATTTCTATGTCTTTTGCTCAATAGGTTGTCAACTCACTATTATACGATCATAGGTGTCATTCTCACACTTAAAACTCATTTACACCGGAAATAATTACACAATTTCCCCCATTGTTTTCTGTTCTCTAAAATGGAGTAGTTATCTTCAAACGTTGGAATTTGACGATGAAACTGATATTTTTGCCAATTTCTCAACTGGCAATAGTTAATTATAGGATTAATAGGATTATTCTTTAACAAGGTAGGACTGTTAATAGATACAATCTATTTTAAAAATATAACTTAAAAATATGAAATTGCAACTTAAATATGTGCTGTTGTTGTGTGTGTTGTTTTTTGTGTTATAAAATTCAATTTAAAAATCCTTCATATAAATTATAGTACAGGTGTTTTATCTCCTTGATGTGGAAAACCATTTATTTTTAACTTTTTTTATCTTTCAATGATAAACATGTCACTTATATTATTACAAAAAGTTCGTGGCGACGCACTGGGATAAAGGGTATTATTGCCGAGATATCCAGCTGAGACCCATTTCACGACAAGACTAGAATCTTTTTGTTTTAGGTGTTTGTTTAGAATACATTCGATTTATCTTCCGATGAAAACATATTGTGTAGGCGTCCTGAGAATATATTATCTGCATACCGAATTACAAACAGATCTTGGCGACGTCTTTTTCAGTAGCGGATGTAGAAACTCAAAATGGGAGGGGGGGGGGGCAAATCTAGGGCGCCATCCACATTGCCACCCTGCAATGAATTCCAGAAAAGTATAACACTGAGCGTCCCGGTAGAACATGGATCGCATTGCCTATATAGTTGTTCGCCGATCGTCAGTTCACCGAAAAGCAGTTTTATTTTCGTGGACATAGACTTCAGTTCCTATTATGATTGTTATTGATGTTATTATTAAATTTTTGTGAACCTTAGGATCAGTGGCTATAACACTGAGCTAACTGAAAGGAGGGAGGTGGTCTCCCCCTGAGAAAATTTTGAAAAATTGAGTCAATATCCTGGCATTTGAGGTAATTGCTGGATATTATTTTGTTTCGTTTTTTTATAGTTCAAAATTGCGTTTTACTTGTCTTTACTACATTAGGATCTGGAAGAATTGTTATATAACCTGCGTTCTGGTTGATGTGAGGGATTTGGCAATGAAACGGTCTGTTGGGACGAGTTCTTGGCGCGTGGTGCACGGAACTGTGGGTATCCCACTAGAACATCAACGCTGATTGGTTAATCAAATATCTGACGTCATAGGATCCAAAGTCGCGGCGCGTATGACCCCTGACGCGAACCACGTTACAACCGGTCAGATCTTCATGTAGTGGAGGCCATCGAAAGTAAAAAAAACGAGACGAAATATAGAGCTGGATTTTAATCAGATTGCCTTAGGGGCAGTGGCTATAACACCGAAAAACCAGAGGTGAGAGGGGTCAACCCCTAAGAAAATTTTGAAAAATTGAGACAGTATCCTGGCATTTGAGGTCATTACTGGGAGCAAATTCTTGTGAACGTGATGACCAGAAATGGGAATCAATGGCACAGAATATCGAGAGCTGCCTGTCAATTGAGAGTTGACAGAACATTTGTACAGTCTGTCGCCCCACGACCCACGCATTAGTGGTACTACTAATTGTTGCCGGTGCCAATTTAAATTTCAAAGAGACGCTAAACCCAGTTTCCTACTTTTAAAAGTTGGGATTTAATGGTCAGGTTCTCCTTCAGATTTTTAACTTTACACTGTGTTAATGAACGATCAGAACTGTGATTTACAAGTATTTTATCAGGTTCTTCATTTTCTCTTTTCAGATCTAATGGACTCGTCCAATCGGCATCACCTAGCTTTGGGTGGTAAAAGACCAACAGGGGCCACGCCAGATGTTCACCTATCAGGTGTAATAACAGTTGTTTTAGAAGTATTTCTACTCCTGGAAAACCTTCTCCCATTGGTTGTTGCCTTATGGTGGAAAAGACCAATCGAACGTGTTGTCACAGACAAATTAATCGCAGCCATTAGTGTGACATACATTTTATCAGCTCTCATTCCCACACCTTTAGGACTTGTGTCGTTTTTCAACGGTAGTTGGTATGGTGGAAAAGCTACATGTGAGTGTTTCCAGGTCACGACTACGTGGTGCAGCCTATCAACAATGGCCTTCGTCACTTATATGTGCGTAGAACGTCACAACTTCTTGTGTCCTTGTTTTGGATGGAGATCGAGTGTTGATAGTAAAGACAGTGTGGGCCTTATGTTGTTTCTTTTATACACAATAACGTTATCTATAGCCACACTTCCGGTTATTGGTTTTGGACCGGAAGTGATGAAAGGGAATAACAGTTGTGAATCATGGATTGTTTCTAGTCCTGTATCTGGGAAAAGACAGGTTTATTTTATCGCTTTTCTGACATTTGGCTACATCAACGTAGTCGTCACTGCCATATCTTGCACATTTATTGGAATTGTTGTCAATAGGCCGAAACTTGCTCAAAAACTCGGAAGTCAAGATCCACCAATCAGAAATACCGAGTTTCAGTTATTAGACGATCAAACGAGGAACTTTAATGGAAGCCACACACGAACAGTTTTGATATTGGTTGTATTAAATCAGATCACGTGGATTCCTGCCTTAGTATGTATTTTCGTTTTATTTTACCCCGGTGTATCAATCATTTTACTGGTATGATATACAGCTCCATGCGTTTCAAGGCAAAACGTTGAGTCATTCGGATGGACCGCAACGACACACCCCACCCCACCACCATACACACTTTATCGGATCTTCCATTATTAAGTAACGCCATACAATTTGATTAAGGCCAGCATTTTCTCATTTCATTCAGAACCGTCAGAACATATTGGAGGTGGAGGACGGATCCGCCCCCACCTCACCCCCACCGATCATGCTTATTTTTTTTCTCCCAAGATGACTTTGGAGATTGGTTATCCTTCACTCTCAATATGAAGATCAATGTCCTTTTTTTCAGACGATGATCACCATTCAAAAATGTGATTATAAAGTCAGCGAAGCCGCTATGATGTATGCCTTACTTGCCACGTCACTTCCGGGACTGCTCAATCCTCTTTTATATGGTTTATTTCTCGAGAGTTACAGGGAAGGCTATAAGAAGTTACTGTTACGCTTCGTGTGTTGTTGCCTTAAGAAAACAGCCCTTGGTCAAGAATTACAGGGTAAGATAATGAAAGACACTGAGATTATGTCTGCCAGTATGAGAATTCCATAGAACATGAAATTGAAAAGGGTTTAAAGTGCTACTTGTCTATTTGTCCTGGCTGATAAAAACCCCTTGGTGAATACCGGGTAAAACCGATAAAATCCAGGAAGCTTTCCGCATCTTTTCGTGTTCACATTTTACTTCCATAACATTGCAAAATAATGTAGATACGTGTAGCCTAAGAGTTACAGAAAATATTAAAACAACTGTATTATTTACACCACCACTAAGCCGTAGAACAGACATGGAAGACGGCACAATATGTTCCTAAAATCCTGTTTATTAAAAATTCAATAATAAACCCACTAATATTCAAAACAATTTATTTCAACGTAACCATAGCATATACACGAAAAGAGAAAAGCTTAGGTTCAATAAATAATCAAGGAACATAAAAGTGAACTCCTTAACTTCAGTTTTACTCATATGTCCGTCGGTTATCACATCTACCATTGAATCAAATGCCGTAACTTTGATTCAAGGCTGTGGGTTCTCTAGTTCCTTCCCACTGCAGAGATTCCTTGCGTCACACGTTTGTGTCCTGGCAATCTTAGTTCCATTCTGGTGAACAAAATATCAAGGGACCTGGCTGCCTGCACACTATAAGATAACTCTATGTAACCCTGAATGTTGCTAAATGTATTTCTGGTTATTCTTCTTTCCAGCCGTAACGCCGAGAATCAAAGCTTCCACAAGTGCAGCGAAAAGAGTACGGCGTCACCACGAGGATTCATTTTCAACAAGTGCTTCTAATCCTATTTGTGACAATGATTCATTAATATTAGAAATTCACCAAAATGAAGACAATACAACTCCCAAATTACAAATTAGGACAATTGAACATCAAGGGCCTTTAGCAGACGACGATGATGCTTCATGTGATACACGAAATAAAGATCCCACACAGCCAACGTCATCTGATTTAGCATTATCATCATCGTGCAGTAGTAGTGAAGAATACTTGTTAGACTCAGACGATGACGATTTTGACGAAGATGAAAGTGTCATATAAGTAACCTAACTGTGTTTTAAAAATAAATTTACTTTTTTAATGGTGTGTGCTCAATTTTATGCCTTTAAATTGCAGAATTTGTGCTCTGAGGACAGCAAGCTCTTGGGTCTTTAAAGCATCTTCGCCAAGTCTATCCGGCATATTTGTTTCTAACGCTACTCACCCAAAACTTTAGTATAAAATAACCTTGTCAACTTATCATGTTTGAAAAAATTCTGTTTACCCTTATTCTGTTGTGAGTTGGTCTAAGTAAAATAATTTCCCCCAGGGAAAAAAAATAGTCGGTCTCAAAATAAGTGCAGTCACTGCAGTTGGTCTCAAAATCATGCATCGGCGACTGTCCAAATGAATTAATGAGGTAAACAAATAATGCCAGAATAGAAGGGAAAAACCTCAAATACTTAATATACGCGCACCTAAATATCTTAAGTCACATAGTCGGTCTCAAAATAAGTGCTCACTACAGTCGGTCTCAGACTAAATGAATTAATGAGGTAAACAATGCCAAAACAGAAAGGAAAAATTTTGTGTGAATGCGTTCACCTAAATTGCAACGGTATAGTATAAAATAACCTAGTCAACTTTTCATGTTTGAATAAAAAAAATCCTTGTTATGAGTATGTTGGTCTAAGAAATTGAGAGAGCTTGTTAAGAAGATTTTGATAAATTATATTCTTGATTGTCATACGAATAACATCAGTCGAACAGTTGGTAAGAAGTTATCGGAAGCATAGTTTGTTTCAGAAATACGTAAAAAAATCTTTAAATTATGAAATGTTATGGCGATCTATTGAACTTAAGAATTTTTACTTATTGCATATTTAATCCCAGTAGAAATTAAAAGTATTTTAATCATGTGTTTTCTGACCGTCAGAATTCTGCAAAACCTTTCCACACGGATCCCAAAGTCCAGTAAATGACATTTCAGTGACCAAGTAAGCACCCCCGTGAGACAAAGTCCCTTCAGGCCCAGTCCCCCAAAATTAAAAACTCAGTTACATAATTTAAATTTTCTAATGTGTAAAATTGTTCTTTCTAGTCTCACATAACAGGCGAAATTGACGGACGGGCCTCAAGATTCTGTCGCATTTCTTACCCTCTCGAAAAGGAGAATTTGATCCCATTTGTCATGACATTGACTATAATTTTTCAGGCCGAGTCCACAAAAATTAAAAGGTCAGTTACATATCTGATTTTTTTTTTGCGCCTACGCCGCTAGATTCCATTATGGCATCATTCTTCCATTCCTCTGTGGTCTTATACTGCCCCAGCACTGTCATATTCACGGTTATAGTGAACTGCCCAGTTAGTAGTATCGCCGGTGTGCGGGTCGTGGGTCGTCAGACTGTACAAATGTTCTGACAACTCTGACAAAACAGACGCAATTGACAGGGGCAGATTTCGAGATTCTGACCCATTGACTCCTATTTCTGGTTCTCTTGTTCACAAGAATTTGCTCCCAGCAATGACCTCAAGTGCCAGGATATTGGTTCAATTTTTCAAAATTTTCTCAGGTTGCTCAGTGTTATAGCCACTACCCCGAAGGTTCACATAAATTTAATTACAAAATCAATAACAATCATCATATTATATGACATATACTTTATGTCAACTTGAATAAAACTACTTTCCAACGAAATAACGATCGGCGAACAACTCTATTTTCTACCGGGACACCCAGTGTTATAGGAAGGATTTTATTGACATTCATTGTGGGGTGTGATTGTGTATAGCGTCCTAGATTTGGAACCGCCCAACCCCACCCCCTATTCCCAGCTTCCAGATCAGCTACTGGCCCCTAGAAAACTATCATCTGTGGTGCTCGGCCCCTGACTGCGTTACTCGTATTAGGGACATGTGCATCAGTCGGTCGCATTTTTGCTAAACAACACCCCCCCCCCCCTCGGCCAAACAAAGTCTTTATGTACGCCCCTGCTGTTGTTAGATAAATTTCAAGGAAGCGGTATAACCCCGTCAACAGAGCAGGCGATGTTTTATGTTTTTGAGCGCATCAGTATTTGGAGCCACGGTGGCTAAGTGGTAAGACGCTGGAGGTCGCGTGTTCAATCCCTGCATTGGCCGATAAAATTCATCTGACAAGGACGCCTGTCTAGTCTATACACGGGACGAAAAACCGAGGTCCTGTTCACACATTCGCGTGCACGTAAGAGATCCCTTGGCAGTTGGAATTCGATATAAAAGTAGACCATAGTGCCGTTGCCCGGGCAAAATTTCCCTCATAACGCACTGTTTGGCGTATGCAAGTCTTCATTAGCCGGAGCAGAACAGTAGGACGTTAAACCCTATTTCATTTCATTTCCTTTGCATCAGTATTGAAGCAGTGTTGATCACCCTCTGCAAGTGTTAATCAGACCTATTCAATGCACATTGTATAGCACCTGTGTAACTTAATCTCTACCGGGCCAAAGCGTCATGATACCGCTGATTTGGTTAATTCCAACGAAATGTTGAAGTAATTATTATTAGATTGACCACCCTGCCCCGTAGCTTTGGCTTCTGCGTCACATATATGGCTACATGTATACATCAATGTAGTGACAGGTGTCATCTATGAGACGGGGTATGCTTACTTACCTTTCCTAAAACAGCGGACTCCAATTCTTATCCATTCAGAATATTCACATAATTATCAACACTTATCATTAATACAGATCTTGCGGATACAAATGTCTAAACTGTGACAAAGTGAGTAATGCCAATCTCATTGGCACATTATAGGCCAATACTGAGCACGCAATGGGGATATAATGAGCGCAAAGTAGGCATACACTGCGCTCTCGGTGGGTCTATATTGAGCACTTGACATATGAGATCTCCGAAACTGCTTCATAGCGGTGATAACCTTTTTACTTTTCCACGTCGACAATCTAAAAACCACCGGAAAAGGCCTGCAGTATCTATTACGTTCTTCTGTCACAGCAAAGATATTGGTAATAAACTAATATTAAATTCTTGTTTCGTTATATATGTCCAGCGCCGTAAATATAAGTCAACACAGCGAGTGGACAGTCATTCAGTTTTTTCCCCTCCAGTTCCTGGAATTCACTGCATACGCAGTTCAGCCGTCAGTCAGAAACTCTTTATTTGTCAATTTGTCGAAGTGTGGTTTTCTCATTAACCGTTTATCACGCAAGCCAGGGTAATCACAATGAATGATAGATGTAATATTCCCTGTATTTAATTAGTAAATTTAGTAATTAGTAAAGATTTTAGGAAAGAGTAAAGATTTTAGGAAATAGTAAAGTAAGAGTAAATTTTAGGAAATAGTAAAGATTTTAGGAAATATTTTAGGAAATAGTAAAGATTTTAGTAAACAGTAAATTTTTAATATTTTATTTTTTGGTAAATTGTAAATATTTTATTTTTTGGTAAATACTCTTTTTTTTAGGTAAATACTTTATTTGGTAAATACTTTATTTTTTAGTAAATACTTTATTTTTTAGTAAATACTTTATTTTATAGTAAGGAAAGAGTAAAGATTAGTAAAGATTTTAGGAAATATTTTAGGAAATAGTAAAGATTTTAGTAAACAGTAAATATTTTGGTAAATACTCTTTTTTTTAGGTAAATACTTTATTCGGTAAATACTTTATCTTTCAGCGTAGTGGAGGCAAATGTGGTTCCGTGGGCTTGACCCTGAGCCAATTCCTATGTTCAAATTATGAACGGGAGCGCACATCCGGATTGCGGCACATTTATTCTCTTCCGAACGTTCAAGTTTTAAAATGAGCTAATACTGAAGACACTCATCGAGCTACCGTGGGAAATGTAACCGTAAATACATTTTATAAAAAGATTGTATGGCTTTAAACAAAACCAAACCTAATTTCAGAAAACAATTGGAATAGTCACGTTGTCGTATAATAGAATTTTTATCAGTGATAGATCATTCCTGTCACAAGTTTTAGCTTTGTAATGGAATCCTTACCAAAGCGATCCATTTCTTTTATAAGATAAAGCGAATAAGAGAAATTAGACTATTATCTTTCAATCTGGAAGGCAGGAATAAGTTGGGTTTTTTTCTTATTATCTAGAATCTATCAAACAGTCAGTAGGTCAGAAACGAGACAAATCAGAAAATCGGCTGATAAATGATGGAATTAGCTAAACATTTTGATCGATGTCATAAATACAAATCCAAATAAGGAAAGGATTTTGATTTATCATCTTCTCTTGAGAATTTCAAACCCTTCAGATCGGATACAGAAAAATTGGAAGCTCTCGGGAATATGTAAACCTGTACAATACCCCGAGGCAAAAGAATACATTTGAATATTTTATAATTAAGATTTTGGACTCCGTAAATTTCCATTTGACTTCTTTAGGACAAAATCAATATGCCGATCAAGTTGCAAAGGTTTCCGTGCTCCAATGTTACTCTTAATTGATTTGGGCATTAAAAGTAAAAACGTGGGAATTACTCGGCGATTTTCGACAGGGGGCGGAACGGGGTCTTTCTGTATGACCACACCCACCAAGTTCTACGACGGGGTTAAATAACTTTTCTCAATAACCTGATACGTTGAAGGCACAAGGTTCTATCAAGCGGGTCATTTTCCTACAAACGGGTCAATGGCGTTTTAGGTCCACTAACTTTTCCGGCGTGGTTCCCCCTTGTCAGTGATGCAGGACGGATGGCCTGTCAGGGACAGCTGTCTAGTCCTTCGGATGATACGAAAAACCGAAGTCCCGTGTACACATTGGAATAAACGTAAAAGATCCCTCGGCAGTTGGAATTCGATATAAGAGTAGGCGATAGCGCCACTGCACGGGCAAAATTTCTCTCATAGCACACTGTATGGCGTATGCCCGTCTTCATTAGCTCAGTAGGAGCAGAACCCCATTTCATTTCATTTCTGAATATCCTGCTTAAAATTTCTGAACGCTAGTTAAGAGATTGGGGAGTTCTTTGCAGTAGGGCGTTAAACACCATTTCATTTAGGTCCACTAACACATCTACAAATACTAATAGAAAAAGTCTTCATGGTTCTTCCACAAATATTATTGTCAAAAAATCTAACAGAGCAAACCTCAATGAACAGCATCACCAAGCTTTATATTATTAGGCGACCGCAAATACAATATCCCACATCTTGTATTTTGGAAATGTGGGGATGGGGATGGTGGTTTAGGTGGAATTGAAAAGCAGAAAATAGGAACTAATAAATGTAAAAACCAATAATATAGATAGTAAAATTATTTTTAAAAAAACCTCCACAATTATTGAACACGATATTACCGTAGAATTAAGCTGGGCGATTTTGAAAATTAGACACCGCAAATACTATTTCCTTCAATTCAAGCCAGTGTCGACGGGGATATACGACACGTCCAAATGTGGGCATAATATGCCAATGTCAATGATGGATATATCAAAATAGATTCCACTCAGTTAAAGTCAGATGTCAATTTCAATTAATTTGATTTCTTATAATGTACGGATTCCCATTCCTATCATTGCACATCTTTATTTTATTCAAGATTACATCTAATCCGATACTGTATTGTCCCTATGTAAAGAATAGAATTAATATCAATTTTGTCCATTAGCTGATGAATTATTTTATTCAACATGCTCTTTGTTTCTGAAGCAAACAATGCACTTAGTTTATGTCAACAATAAAAATAATAACAACCAATCCTTGAAAATGCATCATTAACAACGTTTTTTCCACATAGGCGTACAGCAAGGTCTATGACTGGAAGAATTGTAAAAATAAACCTTGGATTAATGCTCCCTAAAATGGGTTACATTTGAATGACAATAGCTGAGAAATGACTGAGAAATTTATTAAGACATAGTGGGGTGGGGCTGCAGTTAATCCTTGACTCCCATACCCTGCCAATACTTTTCTTTCTGATAGAGGATGATGGACCAACAGAGATAACAAGTAACGGTGTGGCTTAAAGACGAATTATGCCTAAATCTGCCTATTGCAGTTCTTCTTTCTGGCTTCAAACGTTATATAAACTATTTATTATAATCAATCTCTAGAACATCGGATTGTCGAGAAATAGAATGGCTTTGAAAAACTTTCCCCTTTTAAAAATTAAACGTTAGATTAATACCCGAAAAATGTTCTTGACAATCGCGACTATTCAAGTTTTATTGTTCCAAAATTTCAAACTCATAACTTTGACTAAGATTTTCAATATATTCATTTTTCATGATCTATTTTTGAACTATATACCAAGTAATATACTAGATTGAGACACGATAGCTTCCGGTTTTATAATTACATGTAAATCAACGTGATCTGTCAATGTAAATATACTATAACAAATAATTTCTATATAAATAGAATTAATTAAAATCTTTGGTTTACTTTGGGCTGGGGGGAGGGTAGCTTCACCAGTGAGGAAGAATTGAATACAATATCTGGATGAAAAGGACGTCGGGTATATGCAACATGAGGGTTTAATTAGATCGTTAGTAGTATAGGTATGTTATGTGTAATTACGGATACACTGAGCGATTATAATTAAGTCTTGGAGATCTAATAGGAATACAGTTAGCAACAACCAAGAATTACACGATCTACAGCAGTGGTTTCCAACCTTTTGTTGGTTGCAACCCTATTCCAGAAACCATCATCTGATCGCGACCCCTCGAAGAACAAAGTCACCTTTTACTATGAAACATCATCATTATTTACAGATCAAAATGTTCTAATGAGAGACTTTAGAGCGTGAGAGGGGAATGGCGATTGGCAATGTGACAAGAGTATAGAGGTGTATAGATCTGGCCCTGAGTTCACAAAGCATTCTCAGACTTAAGTTGAGAATTGGCTCAACTTTCAATCACTGTTTATGAGAAATATCTTTGATCTAGAAACACAAAAGTTTGCACATAGTTTCTTATTGATGTATTTGATACATTAAAACAACAAAAGTTTTATAAAGAGCTATATTGTAGTTAAAATAAGGTGAACAAGTTTGAGTAAATTCTCAACTTAAGTCTGAGAATGCTTTGTGAACTTGGGACCAGAGATTTATATGCTTTTTCGTCCGCCACGACCCCACTGAGGTCGCAGCCCGTGATCTAGAGGAGTCTAGAGTGAAGAAAAACAAGTATCATAAAGGATTGCTGTTCCTTACAAAGGGAATACAAAAAATAGGTTGCAAGACAACAAAACATACGCCCCACAGCAGCTACGTCGCCTAGTTATAGTCCACAAGGGTCGCTATATATTTGCCGGAAATAAAACCATTTGCAAAAATATGTCTCGTGAGCTTAAATACTGTGTATAAATGATAACTTTAGTCTCTAGGGTGATCAAGGGTCATAACTCTGGCAATGATTATCCGAAACCGTAAATAAACCACAAGCTTCTTCGGCTCATGACCTTAAGGCCCGGTCCCAGTGGCCGATGGACACAAAACGTATGCAAAAAGGACACAGCGGACGAGCAGACTTTCGGGGACGGCTCCATCCGTTTTCATCCGGTCCAGAAATGGACAAAATTGACGAAAATTTGCGAAAACAGAACGGAAAAGAACGAACGTGTGAAGTATTTAGCAGGGATGTTAAATGGATGTTCATCGGAAGCCTAGCGGATGAAAGCGTATGGAAGCTCCGACATCCTTCAATATACCAGATACATCCCAGATACAAACGCTTTGTCCGTTTTAAAAACTTTATATAGCCTACGAGATGCATACGCTTACATCCTTTCTATTTCTGTGCTACTAACGATGTATAGACGTTCCATGTACCTTATCTTTCCTCCCTCTTTCCGTTTTCAGCTGGAGCGGATGTGAGTTGCGAGGATGCCCAGAGGATGCAGAGAGGATACAGTGGACGCTTAACGGATGATAACGGACATGGAACGTTTAATGCTCGTATATGTCGCGCGTTTACATCGTACACGGCAGAAAGTATAGATGTTCCATGTACCTTATCTTTCCTCCCTCTTTCCGTTTTCAGCTGGAGCGGATGTGAGTTGCGAGGATGCCCAGAGGCTGCAGAGAGGATACAGTGGACGCTTAACGGATGATAACGGACACTGAACGTTTAATGCTCGTATATGTCGCGCATTTACATCGTACACGGCAGAAAGTTCATCCGTTATAAAAAGTTTTGTGCAGCTCAAAACTTTTTGCGCGGATGAAATCAAAATGAACGGATGCTCGATGGATAGAGCGTATGAAACACGTATGCAATGAGTACACAACGGATGCATGGCGTTTTCAAACGCAGGGCAGGTTTTTTCCCCTTTTTATATCCTCTTTGCATCCGTAAGTGCATTGGGACCGGGCCTTTAAAGGCAATGGGATATTAACTGTAGCCTCTAGAGCTTTGAAAGTATACGACCAGATTCCAATGTGGGCGTCTACAAATGAAGTGAATGCAACGCACGAAATCATTTTTATATTATCGATATCCCGTATGAACGATTATCAGGCGCATGTCAGCGAACACAGTTAACAGTAAATTAGCAATTTACGCAGCCCTTGCGTGTCCGCAAAGCAAGAGGTTACTTTAATTAAGCCTGGCCAAGTCAATGAAAACGGATTGGATATCAATGGGGTTTGTGGTAACGGTTAGCGTATTGGCAGCCAAAAAACGTTCCACTTCCCATGTTCAAAAATTCATTTAGCGAAATAAAACAAACACAGGTTAATTGATTCTGAATATTAAGGAAATATTAATCCAGCTGTGAAATCTAATCTGACAGCCGTCTGTATAACTTGGATAGGATGTTGGATCCCGAAATAAAATATCAAACTGCGAACTTTCTAAAATCGAAACCGAAATATCAGCCACAATAAGTCGATCAACAGTAGGGTTGACTGGTTACCTGTCCCACTCAGGCTGATAGCCAACCAGCAAAGAGAAGTGATCGTATGTTGGTTTTTAATATCGCTGGATCTTGTTGGAACAAGGGAAGAGCAGCAAGAAAAGAGCGCACAATATTGTCATTTGGGCAATGGGAATATGATGACATCGAGTATTTGAAGTAACGCTTTTGAAATTCAAGTGTACTTTGTGAAAGCAGGGCATAGCTCATATTATGGACAATATAATGTCTAAACAATGAGATTGTAATTATTATTTAATAATTATCTATGTTCACAACCGTATCATTGGAATTCATTCTTGAGGAATACAATAACAAACATAAAATTTTATATGGTTCTTTGTATTATCTAATAAGTATTAATTACTTACAAACATAAAATTATATTTCATTGAATACTATTACATTGAATTACACAGAGTACATATTATTTACTAATAAAAAAAATCATTAACAATAATTTTTAACAAGATTATATGGTACATGGCACTGTATTAAAAGATAAACAATTACGTGTATATGTATAGTATATATTACATCTATATATGTATCTACATATCACACAATATTTACATCTTGTTCATATACAATAATCAATAAAATCAATTTCAATATCTGGGAATTGTGGTTTCATGTAATATGTGAAGCTAGTTTCATCTGGTGTTTACGGGTTACAAAATCAGTACTAGACTAATCCAGTTTCAGATTCAATCTTCAAATTAGGATATAATTGTGCCTAAAATTACTGATTTTTCTCAAGGATCCCACGCCATGAGAATCCTCTGAAACTGGAATTTTTTTTTTTTTTTTTTTTTTATAAATTTTAGGCAAATCTTCATTGATAAAAATATTTAGAGAATCATCACAAGAATTAGTGTCAAAGTTTTTTGCGAATTTTTAGACCCAAAATACTACCTGCGTATTTAACATTCACCCTTAAATTGTTCAAACATTTCTATTTTTGAATGGCACCATTGAAGCCACCTTTAACGTTCAGATTTAACCAAATTCAACGGTTTCTAATTTTTTATATGCATGTTTTTGAACAACCTCCTTGAAGCACATACTGTATTATTCATGACAATATTAAAATGGTAGATGTACACGACCTGGCGTTAATACATAGTCTTTAAGAGGTCGGAGTTCATATGTTGCTATACAGTCAAACACCCATTCTCTTGATACTGTTACTAGATCATTATATTTATAATTACCTATGGAAAGGTAAAACAGATAAATTATCTTCATTTTTTCAGTTTCTTAGAGATAAGTACATGGGACTTACCTCCCTTTAATATGTGTTAAACATGCATGAGTAAAAGTCATACATAGTCCAAAAAAAAGGGGTTGAAAAGATGATTTTAGATATTAATTTAAGTTGAAATTCATGAATGCATTATTCTTTAGAAATGAAATGAAATGGGGTTTAACATCCTACGTTAGCGTATGCTAATGAAGACGGGCATACGTCATACCTTGTGCTATGAGGGAAATTTTGCCTGTACAGCGGCACTACAGCCTACTGAATTCCAACTGTCAAGGGATCTTTTACATGCACGCCAATGTGTACACAGGACCTCGGTTTATCATCCCATCTGAACGACTAGACAGCTGTCCTTGTCAGGCCCTCTGTCCTGCATCACTGACAAGGGGGAACCACGCCGGAAAATCTGAATGAACTTTTTCGGCCAATGCACGGATCGATTACTCGACCTCATGGCTAGCGAGCCAGTGTCTTACCCATTTAGCCACCGTGACCCCCATTATTCTTTAGTGATTAACTCTCAAGTCCATGCCCAGTATAAGTGAACAAAGAAATTTCTATTGGATTGGTTCAAATATAAGACACATGACTGATATTTAGACAAACACAAAAACATTATTTCTAATAGCTAGTTAGGTAGAGAAACAAGCAACTTACTTTTATAAAAGTTGACGTCTGATGATGAAGGAGATATTCCTTCTGTATCTGAACATGAGATAATCAGACGTTTATCTACGTCTATCTCTGATAACTTGTTTGCATTCTCTACATAGGTAGCACCACAAGTTTCTAATAGATTTATCATATCACCTGTAGCATAAAGATAGGCATTTACTGGAGATAAGGCAGAGATTATTTTTTGACATGAAATTAAACAAATTATGATACAAGAAATTACCCAGTTAGCACTTTGTTCATGTAAATATTGAGTACCAAAGTTCCCAAAAGAAGCTGATGTCGAAATTGCGTCTAACCGCCAGAGTGCTTAAATAGTTCACATCACATAATTCAAGTAGTTAGCACTGCTAAAAGGAGTAGTATTTTAGGGTGGACTGGGTAAAGCATAAAGGGTTATTGTCAGCTTTCAAAATGTCAATGTTTGAGATTTTTTATATTAATAAACACAAAATATTACAGTATGGTCTTTAAGCATACATGAATTTGGTGCACATGAATAACAGTTCAATCACTGAGAAAGATCAAACTAAAACTTGATCTTTGCTAACCCTGAAAAAGTGGGAACTAGACTATAGAATCCATAAGGTCTTTCTCCACCCACACCACGATCTGTATTGGAGACATTCTATACAGGTATTGCTAGATAATGACTAGAGAAGCCTAGTCAAATGTCGCTAAGTAATTGTATTCCATGGAATTGTGAGCTGTAGATTCCAGTTCAATTACAAAAATGCCACTGAGACATTATGGAGACATTATAGTTAAGGGTTCAGTGCTCTGCCCCCCCCCACCCCTTACCATTAACAGTGTTTACCTTTAGACATCTCAGCACTAACACTAACACATGTAACATATAAATCATTGTATAAACCAGTTGTAGATATCCGCGATCGTCGTGGCCCTTCGTGCATTTCACCAGAAACTGTATCACCTAATATTTCATATGAATCCTGTAAGGCAAAATATTGTATGTGTGAAAGTTTATACATTAAAGGACAGATATAATGGAATGTTCTCTAAAGATCTTGTTAACACTAAATATGGTAATGCTTGTATGGATTATATTGCCAGAACATTCTTGCTCTTGATCAGTTATGTCCATACTGTACTAGCTTCGACTACAACAAAAATCAGCCTAGATGAAATAGTGCCACTGCCAAAGAATGTTATTTAAATTATACAGAATGCAATGTTTAAGATTCAAGATCTAAATCTGCCTATTGCAGTTCTTTCTTTAGACCTTAAATGTTATATAAATTATTAATTAGACATTTATTAACATGACGACCATAATCAACTCTCAATGCCATCCGATGGCTCTGATTTTAAGTGAAACGTTTTGGCCATTTAATGAATTAATTTAAAAATGGGGAAACAAGACCAAGTCTTGAATAAAGAGGATCGTGGTTACGACAATAAGCAATCAATGCAGACATCTTGCCAAAACTATAAACACTGGTAACTTTCCTCAGAATAAAGTAATTTGAATAATTTTTTTCAAAATATTCATTTTGCATGATATATTTTTTAACTATTGTAGCAGGAACGGCCAGCTTTTTTTTTTTTATCTAAATCTTACATAATGTATCTTTAACTGGAGGTTTGAGACAACATTTTGAAGAAGTCATTGTGTGAACTGTACACATGAACAGCCTGCAATACACAATGGTTGCAAAGGAGTATCCATAAGATTTTTCTTTGTCACCAAGAGCCATAAGTTTGACTGTAATTCCTTTTGCTCTCTAGGATGAGAACCTTATCCTCTACAGCGACGGACATACTGTAGTAAAGACAATATATTATTACATTGTACAGTGACTATCCTGTGCTGGATAAAATGCCAGATATGAGAGAAATTGTGTACCTCTAACAACATTCGTCCTTCTTCTATAGAATCAACAATCCAATTATATGATAATATCCAACATTTATTAACAACACCCTGGAAAAACTTTAATGTTCTTTCACACACTCGACTTTCTTCCTCTACAAAATAAACATGAATATTTTGATCAATTATCTGCAGGGATTCTGAGGAAGAATTCTTGATTTAATCAAGAAACACAAAGCATTGCACATAGTTTCTTATTGATGTATTTGATAAATTAAAACAAAAGTTTTATAAAGGGGCTCTATTTTAGTTAAAATAAGGCTAACAATTTTGATTAAATTCTGTCTAACATATGGTTCAAGTTCATTTCATTAATTTTCTTTAGCAGTGGTTTGACAGGCAAGTCTAACCGTTTCATGTACAAGCCTGGGATTCAAACCACAGCACTTGACTCAATGACAGACTTTACTATCTAAAGTACATGTGTTAGATGACTAAGTTATTTTTGATCTTTAAAACATTCCTTTTAATACAAAAGTACAAAAAATATTTTACCTGTTTTAACTATAAGATGGGTGACATTTTTATTAAATTTAGAGTAAAATTTGGCATCATTCATTGCTGCTAATTTTTTAACATTCAACTGAAAAATAAGAATTTGATAAATTTTAAATCTACACAGGTCACAGGTCACAGAGGTAGCAATCTGATTAAAATACAGATCTATATTTCGTTTCGTTTTTTATACTTTCGATGGCCTACACTACATAAAGATCTGACAAGTTGTAGTGGTAGGTCGCGTCAGGGGTCATATGAGTGGCTTTTGACCCTATGACGTCAGACATTGATTAATCAATCAGCGTTGATATTTCTAGTGGTTTACCCACAGTTCTGTGCACAGCACGCCAAGAACTTGCCATAACAGACAGTTTCATTGGCTAATTCCTCACATCAAGCAGAACATCTGTTATATAAAAATCTTCCAGATCCTAGTCTTGTGAAGACAAGTAAAACAGATCCTAGTCTTGTGAAGACAAGTAAAACAGAATTTTGAAATATAAAAAACGAAACAAAATGGGATTTGTGTTTTATTCAGATTGCAGAGGTAGTATTCTTTATCAACACAGCTTTCTGAAGATATATTTAAAAATAATTCTATTGTGCTGAAATATACTTGCTATTTTAATTTCAAACTGAAATGGGGTTCAATGTCCTACTTTTATGCACCAACTAGGCTAATGAAAATGGCAGTCTATTCTGATCGTGAATGAATGTCAAATATATCAAACCTAAAGATAGAGTTAAAAAAGCCATATTAAATTTTATTTAGGAGATTCTATATTGGTAAACAGAATTAATGTCCTTGATTTCTTGTCTGCTTATTTCAGTAAGTCTTCTGAATTGTCCACTCCACCATTAAAAGAGCCAAGGGCTTAAACTCAGGAAGTCTTTCATTGCAAACTAAGTACTTTTAAGGATGCTTTACATCCTATTTGTGGTTCAGTATTAATACCCTACTTCTGTATATTTTAACATATGCCAGTACCTTTTTTCAATTAATGTTTGTATAGATATATGGATGAAGGTAAAATACAAAAAAAAATGGAAGTACAGAAATCTCTTTTTCTTCTCCCAAACTTTTAATCAAAACCTGATTTTCATTTCATTATGGTTTTAATTTTAGTCCTACATTTACCAATACATCTAACTAGGTTTTTATATCAATTTTCTGTTGTCTTTGATGTCTTAATTCTAGTCACTGTGTTGGTTACAATCATTCGTCCTTCTTGTTCAAGCAAATACAAACTTCTTAAAGACAAAGTAACATGTAGGCTTTATCTTAAGGGTGTCTCAGTAGTTTGATCACAGTGCTGGCGTCGCTGGCGTGGTTTCAATTTGTCAGTGATGCAGACACACGGCCTGGCAATGAACAGTGTCTAGTCAATCAAATGGAAGGACAAATTGTGGCATGAACATAACATAAACCTTCATAGTTCGAATTTGAAATAAGAATAAGTCGTAGCATAGATGTACTGGTAAAATGGTGCATATATATGTCTTCACAGCTAATATTCTGTATACAATGAACTGGGGCTTAATTGCCTACATACATGCATCTTCCATTATGATGGTGCAAAAAAAAAAAACCGAATACAGAAGAAACAGATATCATAAACCCTTCTATATAGACCATTTGTAAAAATCAAAATGGAGCAGCTAATAAAAGACCTGTACATACCACCTGATCTCTGCTAAGTCCAGTTGTGGCAAAATGGCATCTTTCACACTTTGAGAATCTCTTACTCTTTAAACTATTCACAGGAGTCAGCACACTGCTGGTTCCAGACATTCTTTGTACTTGACTGTTAGATTTCATAGGTAAGTTATCTAGAGTGCTCTCCCTTGGTGAACTCAAGACACCACTGGATCCAGACTTTCTAGACACTTGACTGTTTGATTTCATAGGTACTTGAACTGGAGTGACATTCCTTGGGGAACTCAACACACCATTGGAATCAGACTTTCTAGAAACTGGACTGCTGTTAGATTTCATAGATAAGTGAATTGGGGTGGCCCCTCTTGATGATGAATGGGAGGCTTTAATTAAAGGAGTTGTCTCTCTTGAACAATGTTTTTGACCACGTCTTACAGGTGTGGCATCATAAGAGCTTACCTGACTCCTCTTTCCCACCGACAAATTGTTCTGTCTACTGGGAGTTATTTCCCTTAGAGTATTCTCAATATTTTCTAAACTACAATCAAATTTTGCAGGAGTGGATTTTTTCACAAAAGGAGAAACCTTTGTGGAACTAGTGAGAGTTTGCTTTGTCTTAGGAGTAGCTTTTTCTGGCTGCTTAGATGAAAGCGGAGAATTCTGACTTTTTTGTAATTCTGTTTTATATTTCGTTAATATTTCCATGGCTTTTCGCACTTCCTCTGGCAATTCTGGTTCTGGGGTTGCCTCTCGTTCCTCCTCACTACACTTAAATTCTTCTTCTGCTTCCTCAACCCCATTCATCGCCACTTCATCATGAAGAGATTTATCGTGATCAGATGGTGGAGGGGAGTACTGAAGTGGACTCAGGAATAAGTCACTACTGCTATCATCACTGGATGGATTCTGGATTTCTTGAGATGCTGGTATCGCGTCTTGCTCTGAAAAAAATAACGAATATTTTAATCATCAATATCTAACAATGAAAGTAAAATAAACCTCTTGCTTTCCTGCACCAACTGGAGTACATCATGCAATGTCTCATTAGGAAAATGTACATGGGCAGTGGCACTACTGCTTACTCTTATTCTTATATCCACAAGGCCTCAGTATTTTGTCTCATCAGTGAGACTGGTTGTATTTCCTTGTCAGGCCCTGGACAGAGTCCCAATGACATGGGGAAACAAGGCTGGAAGATTCCGACAAAAATCTCTCTGCCAACACTAGGATCGAACCCTGTCAGCACATGCAATACTTGTCGAGCTGCCTATTTAACGATCATTATATATAATCATTTGGAAATGTAAATTCACACTTCCTCAAACATTTCACAACATTCTGTTGTTCCCCCATTCTCTAGTATGACTTATTATACACTCTTCAAAAAAAAGTAGGGGATATTGAAATACAAATACCTATGCAGGTTGTGATATGATAAATAGTCATGGACACTTGACATGCTTTGAGAGTATGTTCACAGATGAAGAACTTATCGCCCCAACAGAACCACTGAGCTGCACGTGCGACACGCAATAGCGCCATACACGTGGGAGGGGTTCATTGTCAAATTTGAAACTTCAAGGAAGGGTTGATGAAAACTGCCTTATGCTGGTTTATCCTATCCATGTTCGCTTTCCTATCGGTTCTTGCATAAGATTTACTGTTCAGCTTATCTTTGCTTTAGTGTATTCCGTTTAATTTGATCCGGAGACCTGTTCGTCGACGTCAACAGACAACACTGCAAGAATTGGCCGTGGCACTGTAAGAGGAGTGGGTCAGTTTGCCCCAAATCGTGATTGGACGGTTGATTAGGAGCATGCTACGACAAATTGCTGAATGTCTGAGGATTGGTGGAGCAATTACTCATTATTAAGACAAAAATCAAAAACGTCCATTTTCACTTTTGACGGTGTATCTCTTTGCGAGTGAAATGGGGACGTCAGATACGTCATATGAACTGTTTATGTTCATGTGTTGGCAATTGGTCTGTTATTAACATACACTGATTACCTCTAATAAAAACAGCAGTGCATTTCCGTAGTTTTGTATTGTTTCTGAATATCCCCTACTTTTTTTGAAGAGTATAGATCATGTCTCGTTGAAGGGAAGTTGGCTGACCAAATGGTCCAACATGCATTTAAATCATAAAACTCTAAGTTAGTCATCGTGATGGTTTCGACCCACTCCTGTCCAACCTTTTGTTTTTTTCAGGTTTTCTGTCACTGTTAACACCAGCATGAGCAACAGACTTAATGAAATATAGATATACCATATGCCAGTCCTAAAATTTGCCAATTTGTGTTGAGAGGCTGTTCAAACCCACTATCTCCATCTCATTTCTCAACAAAGTTTGATAGTAATTCTTATCACAGAAACATCTTGAAAATTTCACCTATTTGTAATGAGGGCATTGTTAGATATTTATCATCATCTTCACTATCTTGATTACCTTCATCATCATCATTATCATCACCTTCATCTTTATCACTGTCTATAACTTTATGTGCTGATTTAGATGCTATCTCGGCTTCTAATTCTTCTATCTCTTTTCTCATTTTATCTATATCACATACTATGGCTCCTCTTTGCTAGTATTAGAAAATGATTTAAAAGATTAATTCAATTTATATGCATTTCAATGGTTTCTCCATTAATATCTAACAAAAGTGTGATCTGGCCCTGGATCTGTGATTCCAGCACAGTACCTTTGACTTTTATCATATAGCCAATCAATTGTTTGGTACAATTAACCTTGATCATACAGCCAATCAATTGTTGGGTACCCTTGACCTTTATCATACAGCTAATCAAATGTTGGGTACCTTTTAGCATTATGATACAGCCAATCAAATGTTGGGTATCCTTGACTTTTATCATGCAGCCAATCAAATGCTGTGTAATTAATGCCTTTTGAAAGACTGCACAGTAATGGTTTTATTATCTTAAATCTAGAGTGTTTAATTATAAAAAAGTTGCAATTCTAGAAATAAGGATACAATGGGCCACTTTAATTTCAATACAAATTCATATCATCTTCAGGGCTGATTACATTAATATCATGACAACATTAATTTAGTGACAACATTTATAAAATGATAACACATCATTTTCTGTTTCGCAATCTCTTATTTAATTCGACATGAAGGTTGTCTAAGACCCTTGTGAATATGTCAGAACATTTCATTATCAGTACTCAAAATGCCAAAAAATGAGATAAAAAAAGCATCAATGATTTAAAATATAAAATAAAAGAAATTAATACACTGATTCATCATCTGTGAAGTTTTATCTTGTATCTGTGACTCTTGGTCTTCTTTAATGCATGTTTGAAATACTGATAACTTGTAACAGAATGGCCATGAGATACTATGGGATATTAACCATGGGATACCTTTTTTTCCTCAGCACATAAATGCCTGTCTTCAATTTACACGCATTATGCTTTTCAAAACTCAGTGAAATCCCTCAATTAAGACCATTTGCGGGATCGATATACTTGCTGAAAATATGCTTGTATATGGGAGTGGGCAGTTATAAAGAGTTGGCCACAGTTTAATGCTTGGGTGACCATGAATTAAATACAATTTAGCAACAGATCTATGCAATTATCTGCTGGGTTATGTTTTACCTGTGTTGTAACATCACTTTGACTGGAGAAGGCACTGGATGAATTCAGATGAAGACTGGACTCATCTAAAATACACAATAAGAAACAATCTTTAGAGTAAATTCATATCTTAACCAAAATAATTTTAAAAATACTAACATTGTCACTTGTAAATTTTACTTTGGTCGTTTTTGTGCAATGTGAGTGATGAAAAATATGCCTGAATTGTGGAGTTCCACCCCACACTACTTTCCTTTGAATTCCAATGGTCATTTGTTCTTTGGCTTAACCCTATCATCATTAGCTCAGCTGGAGCAGAAAAGTAGGACATTAAACTCTGTTTAATTTCATTTGTTTGGCACACATGTCAATTTGTACACCTTATTTATGCCACTGCTGACAATCAAAAACAATTGCAGGCATGGTGAACCAGCAGAGATATACACTCGCCCCCAAAACTCACCAGGAACCTTATGAAAATGAGCAAATAGAGAATCAAGAAACTAATAATAGGTACCTGCACCACTAACTCCATCTTCTTCTTCATCTGATTCAATAACAGTACTCATCTTCTTCCTACCTCTTCTAATTAATACATCATCATCATCATCATCATCATCATCATCATCATCATCATCATCATCATCATCATCATCATCATTTTCTTCAATCTGGAACAATGTACAAATAATATAATGGTTTTATGATCATGGTCAAGGATATAACAATATATACTATTCAAAAAAAGTAGGGGATATTTGATTTTGGGGGCATAATACTAAAATATGCAAATGACTACGAAAAAAGTCACTATAGAACCTAACAGAAGAAACATTTCCAGTTACATGTGACGACCAAACGCACCAATAGCTACCGCATGGAATGCAGGTGATGCTTGGGATCATCATGGGGGTCCAACCCAAGATTTGCACGACTCTGACTTTGAATGTTACAGTCATTGTGGCATTGAATTCCAGGGTGGAAACATCAGTTTAATTGTTTTAGTGACCAGAAAACAAATTTTGATATGCGTCGGCTTACCCAAAATGAAAGGTTACGTGCCCTTGGCATGCTACAGATCGGCACAACACAGGCGGTTGTGGCGCGGACGATGAATGTTTCTCAGTCTGTCATAAGCAGGCTATGGTCCAGATACCGTGATACACAATCTGTACAGGACAGACCACGCTCAGGTCGACCAAGGGCGACAACTCAAGCCCAGGATCGATTTATCCGTACCTTGGCCTTGAGAAATCGTGTCATCACAGCAAATCAGATCAGCGCTCGTCTTCAAACAGACACTGGTGTGAGAGTGAGTGGCCAGACGATTCGGAATCGACTGCATAGGGGTCACCTTCGCGCCCGACGTCCTCGCGTGATCCCTTGTTTGAGAGATCATCACATTCAGGCAAGACGTTGTTGGTGTAGGGATCGTCAACACTGGGATAATCGACGCTGTAGCAATGTGATGTTTTCAGATGAGTCAAGGTTAACTGTTGATTTTTTGGACAGACGTAGGAGGGTGTGGCGTCGTCGAAACGAGCGCTTCCAAGACGTTAACGTCATCAGACATGATCGATTTGGGGGTGGTTCTGTTATGGTGTGGGGAGGCATCACTGTTGCTGGAAGAACGGCTTTACATGTTGTTGCAGGGCGTGTTACAGGCCAGTACTCCCGGGACAACATCTTGGCAGTCCATGTTGTGCCGTTCGCACGACGTCATGGCCGCCGTTTCATCTTCCAGGATGACAACGCAAGATGTCACAGGGCCAGGATCGTTACAGGTTACCTCCAACAACAGAACATCACCACATTACCTTGGCCAGCACTGAGTCCCGACCTCTCACCCCCATCGAGCATGTCTGGGACATGCTTGGACAGAGGTTACGTCAACGTCAACAACGTCCTGCCAATGTCCAAGAACTTGCTGCTGCGTTGCAACAGGAATGGGACAATCTGGACCAAAATGACCTTAGACGTCTCATTAGGAGTATGCCACGTCGGATCAATGCTTGTTTGGCAAACAGAGGAGGATTTACCCGTTACTGACTTGGTTGTGATGCTGTGGTAACTTTGCTGTTTGACCCCGGGTATCATTTTACCCTTATAATGGTCAGTCTGTGCCTTACTTAGTCTAACGATCATTTGGAATAAATCGATGAATGTGAACTTCATTTCATTTTGTCATTTGTTTCTTCGTCAGTTTCATTAGGTGACTTTAATAACACTTAAAAATCAAATATCCCCTACTTTTTTTGAATAGTATACATCTCATTAAAAATTTCTGAAACAGTGTTCCAGCTTATTTGTTTAGCCCTGTCTGTAGGTTAATATAAATTCAGTCAATAAACTGTCTTGTGCTTAACCTGTTAAGTGTGACGTTTTTAAAACGTAACTACCCCCTATTGTGTAATTAATTTGATGAAGTGACGAAGAACTATGTACTATGTTCTAGGTTGGGGAAAATATTATATTACGCCCTACACACAGTGAGTGGCAGTTGTCCAGGACGTGGGGGATCATGTGGCTAAGTGGGTAAGACGCAGGCCCAGGCAGCGGCACTATGGCCTACTCTTATATCGAATTCCAACTGCCAAGGGATCTTTTACATGCACGCCAATGTGCACACGGGACCTCGGTTTTTCGTCCCATCCGAACGATTAAACAGCTGTCCTTGCCAGGCCCTCTGTCCTGCATCACTGGCAAGGGGAAACCACGCCAGAAAATCTGGATGAACTTTCTCAGGCAATGCAGGGATCGAACACCCGACCCTCCAGGCTAGCGAGCCAGCATCTTACCCAATTAGCCACCGTGATCCCCAGTTTTGAAAGGGAATTGAAGCAATTATGATCAAATCACAAAGTTTGTACGTGGGAATGTATCTTTAAAGCAAAACATATACATCTTTATTTGGTCCCATTTCTTTAATTTGAAAACATGGTTGGTAGCTACATACAAACATATATCATTATTAATTTGAGGATGACCTTTGTAAAAACTTTGTTCTTCATCAAATCAAAGAAGTTGTAAACATAAGACATATTTTAGTTTAACTCTATTTCTATTCGCTGTGGGGTTGGATGGCCGAATAGTTAGCATGTGCACGCTGTATCATAAGGTCTGTCATTGAGTCAACTGGCCTTTTTTTCGATTCCCCGGTTGTAAATAAAATTGAACCATGTGTTAGTCTCGAAATGACCTAGTTTGTATCGAGTGGACGTTAAACCCCATTTCTCTCTCTCTTTTCGCTGTTAACCTGTGGGGCAAAATTCTCTGAACAAGTCATTTGAGCTTATGAGTATGAGTTAACAGTTAATAGAAATAGTAATGTTTATTTAAAGTGTGTTCCTAGTATAGTTTAATCAAAACTGTTCATCAAATTTCAAGGTTGTTGGACAATATTTGGAAAAACAAACCACATTAAGGAATGTACCTACCTCTAGAGCAGATTGAACACTCTTGACAGATCTGCCTGTACACATGATGGGAGAACTTGTATATGGTAAATCAGCATAACAATCATCATATTCCTCTTCATCATTTTCTGAAGCTACATTATCATCTCTTCCATAGGTTCCTTTAACAACATCTTGATCATCTTCATCTTTATCATGTTCAGTACCATCAGTACCAGTATTGTCAACAGCATTCGTTATGCCTTTCAAAACATCTTCAGCAGTCTTGTCTAAGCTGTAAGTTCTTTGAATGACATCTTCAACAGAAGCATCTCTATCCATATTATCAACATTCTCCTCACTACCAAAGGTTCCTTTCACAACATTTCCAACATCATATTGGTCACCAACATCATCAGCATTAGTATCTCTAACACAAGTTCTATCAGTAACATCTTCAGCTTTATCATGTTGGTCACCAACATCATCAGCATTAGTATCTCTAACACAAGTTTTATCAGTAACATCTTCAGCTTCATCATCTGAAATGTCACCACCACCATTTTCAACTTTATTACCAGATAGACCTTTACTTATTTCTTCAGCTTCACCACAACCATCTGAAAGATCATCAATACCAGGAAGGTGTATAGCTGACTCATCAGATTCATTATCAGTAGGTATTAACTCTTCTACTGGTAGACCAGATGGTGGCACGGTCTCAGCATTATGATAATCCAGTTGTTGGACAGAGGACATTATCATATGTTCATCCTCTTCTGTTTCTCCAATTGTTATCACATTTGATACCCCATTATTGTCTTCTTGATTACTTTGGGAAGACTCACCACAAATCTTATTAGGAGATGTTTTGGAAGATTGTTTGACCTGTGGCGTTCTACTATTTTCAGATCCACATGATTTTTGAGAGTCTAATGTAATCATTGTATCATCACAATCATTAATTTTTGCTTTCTTTTTTCTTATTTTTCTTAAAGATTTTGAACCAGATTGTGTCTCAATTTCAGCTTCAGTGTTGCAGAAATCAACAGATTCAATGTCTGTCGATGTTATAGGCATCTTTTCACATATTACATTGTTTTGAAAACTCCTATGAGAATTTCTACTATTTTGCAAGTCTAACCGATCAAAATTAGAACCTGACTTATTACTGTCTGCAGAAAATGATTTTGTTGCTGTAACCTTAGCACTTGTAGATACAGTGTTAGAAGATTGATGGTCGGTGAAAGCATGATGCAGTCCATCTGAGTGAAACAAAATTTGAGAGTTACTCTGAGCTTGTTTATTGTTATGTGACTTGCAAGAGTTTGGAGATATAGTTTCAGAGTTTCTAAAACTGTCAGAGATTGATTTCTTTGTCACTTTCTTTGCAATTGTTCCTGAATTCGAACTAAAATTTAAGTCTTTCTCAATTTTAGATTCTGAGTTATTAAAATCAAAAGATTCACAGTCTGTTGATGTTTTTGGTAATGTTTCAGAGTTATGAGAATGGTTTTGTGATGTTTGAGATTTCTGAACACTTAATTTGTTGCCTTTCAATGAAAAACATTTGCGCTTCGGTTTTCGAATTACTAACTCATCTTCACTGCTGTCATTGAAATTCAAGGATGCACTTTCAGCGGTGCTCTTTCCAACCTGTTCAAGTGCCTCTTGGTGTATATCATGTGGCTTCTGTTTTTCTACCAGAGAATGATTTTTATCCTGTTCCTGAGAATCAAGATCATAAACAAAAGATTCTGTCTTGCACGTTGAAGATATATAACCTCTTGTTTGTCGTTTATTTTTATTGCATGATCTTTTCCTTTTTAATGATGACACTTCCGCCGTTTCATTCATAGGTACTTCTTGGTCAGAATCCTGCTTATTTTTAGAAGATCCTGGTTCTTGTGACGCAGTTTCTTTGACATCTGCTTGTGGGATTGAGTCGAGATTAGTGTTTCTTACTGATGCTGATCTTTTCATGAACAAGCGTTTTCGACTAATTGAATCTGACGGTGTTGATTGGGAGGAGAGGTTTGAAGAATTAATGCTATCCTGTTTACTTTTCATTACAGACTTCACAAGGACTGACTGGCTCTCTTGTGGTGTTGTAGTTTCTGTGGTACTCTGGCTAATCTGAAATTGATCTTCAACAGGATTTGCTTTTTCTTGAACAACATCATTATTTGTATTATCCTGAGAAATTAGAGAAGCTGGGATTGTTGATTGGTTGCTACCAACTAGATCTTCACTAACATCATCATCTTGTGTTACAAAAGAATTGTTTAGTCTATTATGCTTTTCAACATTTTTACTTGAATCCTGGGCCTCACCTGGTACTGCTTTGAATTTTTGGAACTGTTTCGTTTGATGCTTTTGCTGCATTTCTAAAAACAAAGGATTGTACAATAATAACTTAATAAATAGAGAATTTTGATATATATTTTCAGTATATCGTGATGTTTTATAAAAGGTAATTTATTGTTTAGCACCATAACTGTAAATAAATATATTAAAAGTTGGACATACACTTGACATTTCGTAGTCATTATTCATTTACACACACAGACTCATTTTTTTAATTCAAGTTTATGTCTTTTTGAAAATTAAATATACATTTACAAAACAAAAAACATTAAATTAAACTATAAAATGTCAGTGCTGTCTAAAGAAAAGTGTCCATCGGATCACTCGTCGCCATGACACACTGACAATCAGTCTACCGATATGTTCGGTTTTACGATATATTTCCGATGACAGTTTTATATCGAAAAACCCAAAATATCGCCCAGCTCTGGATGTACATTCCACTAGCAACAGAAAAGACTAAGGAAGACCCTATGTTTCACTGGCAACAGATGACAACAATAACAATAATTTAAGTATTTTTTTTTTGCTTTGAGAATATTTACCTTGGTTTGGTTGTTCATATTGTGTCTCTTCAACTGTTATATTTAGATCATCAGTATCAGAGCTGTCTTCCCCATTATCTTTAGTATTCACTGAATTATATAAAATAATTAATTTAGTTCGATTTTCATCGGACACAATACAGGAGAAAAGGGTATTATCATACAATAAATACTCCAAAAATAAAATTACTTATATAGTTTCTAATGTCTGAATATCAATAATAAAAAAAAAGGCAACATTCTATATACATTATTATTTTTAAAAATAAAATCACATTAAAATATTTAAACTCTTTATTAGTATTATTACAAAAACTTTAAGACAACAAAATTAAAACAAACACTAAAAGCAATAAACACAAGAATTTATTCAAATTTAATCAAACTTTCAAACTGGTAACAAATCAACACTAAGAACTACCAAGGCCAAATTTGGGTCAAGTAAAACTAATAAAAGTTGTGCTGTGAGTAAAAAAAACCTAGAATTAAGCTGGTTAATGCTCATATATACCTGGAGTTTGTTGAACATCTTCAACTGGCTCCATGGCAACTGGTAAACATTTGCTTGCTATTTCCTTTTCTAATGTCATCTTGGATACAGTGGGAGCATTCCTATTTGTCGCTGGGGTTGGTGGTACACCAGATGGTGTGTATTCTTCATCATTTGATGTATCAAGGAGGCTGTCAGATGCACTTTCTTTCAACAAGGCAGCTATTGATCTTGTCTTCCTGCCTCTACGCTTTCTGGGAGAAACAGATACTTGAGATGTTGGTGATTTTGGGTCACAATGTTTTCCTAATTCCTGGGAAGTTTTGGGTGAATGGCATTTCTTTGAAAAAATTTGTTTTTTAGACTTTGACGATTTTGAAACACAGTGGTTTTCCGGCTCATCTTTCTTTGAATCAGTTGTGATCTTGTTTGAGCTCCGAGTCCTTTGTGATTTCTCTACTTGATTCTTTGTAGTTTGAGACACATGATGGGTAGATGCTTCATCTTTAGATTTTTCAAACATGTCTTTATTGCTTAATGACTCATGATCTAGTCCAACAAAGGTTTGTGTATCATCATTTAATTGTCTCTCACTTGAAGTACTTTTATTTAGTTTCTTTTTTGAACTCTTCTGAACATGTTTTTGGATTACTGGTTTCAACATATTTGGTGAGGAGGTTTTAGATGCTGGAGTAGGTGAAACCATTGAAAGCTGTGATACCTTATTTTCCAACAGGTTAGCGTCAATAGTACCATTTGATTTGTTATTCATCATTCCAGATTCTTTCAGAAGTCTTTTTGTCCTGTTATTCATGCAAGGAGATTCAATGAGTATTTCTGAAGAACAAGGTACAAATTCATTAACAACAGCAATTATATCTCCAACAAGTTGATCATTCTTTAAAGTTCTTTGTTTATCAGGTTGTGGCGCATCAGCTGCTCCATAACTGGCACGACTTATGGCAGGCATATCACCAACAATCGCGGGGTTGATATTATCTTCTGGATCATCAATTTCAGTTATTTCATTCTGTACTTCATCAGCTGAATAATGTATCAATCGATGATCATCATTATCGTCATCATCAGAATCAATATCAACTCTATCTTCAGCTTCGATTTCATGTTTATCCCTTTCAGGAAGATCTTCACAAACACCTTCTGCCTGACCAGTTTCATTAAAAACATCTTCACTGACATCAGCAACAGGATTAGCTGGCTGTTCGTCATTCTCCATACTGGAATAAGCTTCTTGTGTACTGAACATAAAGTCATGATCTTCGGCATTGTTGATTTTAGTCATGAGTTTCTCCATTTCCCTGTCACTGTTTTCTGTAGAAGTGTTATTTTTGTTTAGTCCTTTTTTTGATTTGGAAGTTTTAATTTTGGATTGTTTTTTACTTTTGTTTGTGCATGTGGTTTGTTCTTCACTTTCATTTGAGAATGAAGTGTTGGTGTTGACATCTTCGATCATGTCAGCTTCTTTGAATAGTCCTTGTTCTTCGAATTGGATATATTTGGAGGATTTGTTATCTTTGTCCGACTTTTCTGCTGATTTCGTAAGATGATCTGGGGATGAGTTCTTAATCTCTTTGGCAGGGCAAGAACTGTGGATTCCATCACTTTCTTCTTCAATAGAATCTGCAACAGAGGTAATGTTGATCTCCTGTGTAACATCATTTTCTATCGGACACAGAGCTTCATTTTCAGTAGACATGTTCTCTTTTTCTTTATTAATGTTACTGTTTCCATTATCATCTAAAATAATCAAAACTGGTTCAGATTCGGCAAAGGTAACATTTCTTTTTGCTTTATTTCCATCCCGGCTGACACTGGTGTTTTTCTTTTCGTTTACATCAATCAGGTCTAAGGCAGTCATTTTGTTTGATTTCTTTAGATTAGCTCTTCTTTTCTGCTTCTTTTTCTTGCCTTTAGGAGTCTGGCTACTTTGAAATTCATAAGGGTCAACATTCTTAGATGGACTTTGGATATTTCCAATAACCAAGTTATAGGAATTTATTCCAAAAATTTGCTTTTCTATTGATGCATCTACAGATATTGGCGTCTTGTTTTCTAGACTCATCTGGATCTTACCTTTTCCTGCATTTAATCTTACTCGTAATGTTCTATTATTGCTAGTAGTTTTGGGAAGATATCCTGATGAAGCCTCGGAAGGTTTTAGAAAGGAACTATCTAATGAACAGTTCATTTCATTATTCATGGCTTTACCTCTGCCATATTTCAAGGGTGTATTGTGACGTACACTTTCTTTTGGTTTTTTGGTTTTCTGAGATTGAGTGTTGATACATTGAACTATTTTTGGTAGAACATCAGGAATCTTGGGGGAATTTTCTTTACCAGCGCATTGGACAAAAGATTTTGATGTACATGAAAGATCATCATCCACTGATATCAAATTAAGTTCATCCATTGATTCTGTATTTTTTGATATCGTTTCCTTCTTTTTAGCCTGAATTTCAACTGTTAAATTTCTTTGGTTTCCAGGAGCCTTTGCTGCTGCTGATTTTTCTCTTAAATTTGCAGAATTGAAGCCAAATGCAGAACCCACAGAGCCACAAGAAAGATAGGCTAAAGCTTGACTCTGTGGAGCAATAATAATATCGCGTGTTGCTTCATGATTCACTTCTGCATGATCATTGTTCACTTCTGTCTGTCTTATGTTACCCGCTTCCTCAATATCCACTTCTTCTGACTCATCAACTTCCGCTCTATTTTCAGTGGAATCAGGTACAACTTTTTTCCAGTCCCTTGAGTTTTTTTCCTTCACTGCTCGACTAACTGCTTGTCGTCTGCTGTAGGTTTTAGTCACAAGCGGAGGAGTTTTAACACCACTCTGAGTGAGAACACTTAAATTGGGACTGTCTTTAGGTTTACATTTTTGTATTCTCTCTGAGATTCGTCTTGTGGGCTTAGGTTTCTTAGAAATTGGTTCAGGTTTCTTCTTAATGGGATCTTTTGATTGACTATCATAGAATTTAACATCAAAACTGCCATTTGAGTTTTGTGGAGATCGTTGTTGGGATAAGGAATTTTGGATTGTCTTAACAGGAGATCCTTTTGACCCCCCTTCATTGTTTGAACCACAAACTACATTGTCTGGTATTTTCTGAGCACTCTCATTAGTAAACAAACATTGACTTACATTATCAGTTTGTTCTGTGTTTGGAAAATTATCATTATTAATGTTGCTTGAGGATAAAGCACTATCACAAGGCAAGGTCAAAAGTTCATCATTTTGTGATGTTTCAATAGATCTTCTCTTGGCCCATCTGACTGAATTATTCTGTATTTTTCTTTTAGTGGGTGAGCTCAGTGCAAAAGTTGGATTTTGAGAGGGGCTTTGCCTGATATTATTCTTAGTTTGTTCCAGTGTTGGAGGAATGACTGTAGTCGATGGATCAACAGCATCATGAGTGATAGTAATACTGTTTTGGATGTCTTTGAGATTTTCATTAGTGAAGCTAATGGTGTTTATAGACGATTCTAGACTTGTTCTGGCAATGCTTATGTCAGATTCAATCTTTTTCTTATGCAATTCTGTTGTTTCTTCGTTAGACAGTGAAACATCTTTCATTTGACGTGAACTTCTCCGTGTATTGGGTTTAGATGGCTTCAAATTCCTTTTGTCACTAATTCCTGATGCCCCCATTGATGAAGGTGCGGAAGACCTTGAAGAACAAGATTTCCTATTCTGTGTGGTAGCTGGTGCACCATTTGGGAGAGTGTCTTGTCGAGAATAAGTTGGTGTTTGACCATTTTGTACAGTGCTTTGTGGAGAGTGAGACAAATGTACATCAGCCATAACAATTTTCCTTTGACCTGCAGGTGACTGCATCTTCATAGATGATTGGTGATCCATAGAGGAATTTTCTGTTGCTATTTCTGAACGATTTTCTACATTTCTTGGTTTGCTCCTGGTTCTAACACCAGCACTTGTGGCAGGATGGAGATTGGGAGATTTTGGATCAGTTTCTATCACATCACTCTGATCTGTTGGCATTTTTTGTCTTCTTGTGAATGATGATAAGCTTTTTCTCGTATTGGGCCTCGATTTATTAAAAACATTTTCCGTTGTAATTTTTGACTGTTCATTTACGCATTCTATAGCTTTACACGAAGGGTCAGTAATGGGTTCTGAGACTGTCACATCATTTGAGAGTTTGTGATACTCGGTGTTGATATCTTGCTTAGTAGTCTGTTCCCCGGTTTCTGGTATGTATAGGTCAGCGTTGATGCTTTCTTCCCGATTTGCAGGTGTTTTTAGTCTTTTAGTAGAACTAGATGATGAATTACCTGTGTTTTTTTCTGTTGGAATTCCTGCTCCCAGTTTACTCCTAGTCTTAGTACTGGTGGTAGCACCTCTGAAAGAAGATAATACAATAATTAAAGTTTTGTAATCATTCTAGGCTCATTTTAAATCTAAGAAAGCAAACAAAAAAAATCAAATGAGTTGTAAATATTGTTGCCCTGAACCATACCCTAACACTATTTAACAATGGCTATCAGGATATATACCTCACTTGTCTGAACATTATTTAAATAATGAGGATAATGTAGTAAACTGCAGTGGGATTTCAAGACAGCATTCCTGAAAGTTCTTTAAACCACCTAAATATAGTCAAGACAGGGTGTTCATATTTACAGGATGTCCACATTGCTTGTTATATATATTTTTTACACTGTAACCCGGGTATCATTTAATCTTGCATATGTAACCCTAATTTCTTTCACATTCAAACTGGTATAAGTACAAATTAGATGATTTCAGGGGACTTAAGACGATTTTTACAAATTTTTAACAAAGATTTGATATTGAGTGAAAGAAAGTTGGACTAAATACACAAGATTAAATGATAACCTATTTTGAATGAATGTGAAAGAAATTATGATTAAATACACAAGATTAAATGATACCTAGGTTACAGTGTTGACTGTTACAGTTATTTCAATATTGTTTTTTTTTGCTATTCTTAAATCAAGATGTAAATACCTTTTAGATGAAGATTTAACTGATCTTTGTAAAACATCCTCATTTACAGCTTCACCTTTAACAAAAACAATTTACACATTTAATAAATATAATTTCCTAAAAAAAAACATAGTGGAAAATAAGGCCCAAAAAGGGACATTTATTATATCCTACTGGCCTACAGGGTGGCACCAGGTCAAAATTGGTTTGCGAAACTGTCCTTTTATTGGATGAAAACTAAAATCCATGCATAGAATCCATACCTGAATCAATTAAATGGATGCATAATAATCAAAATATGATGTAGGTTCCAAGTTTTTGATAAATATGCCCATCCATGATCTTTCATTGTACATTATAATGGGTCATACGCTGATTAGGGTTAAACAGAGTAAAGAACACTTAATTAATCATTAGCCCTAAACAGTATTCTCAGGAATATAACAATTAATATATAGAACATGCATAGCCTGATTTTCCCCTTTACTATAATTCTTTAATTATCAGCTGATTATGGAGATGCTTGATTCACAGTCCAGAACATCCAGAATTGCAATCGAGTGACGTGGAGTTCAGTCCTGTCACAGTTCTGTCAGTCCCGACAATGGAGGTGGTGTGAGTAGAATCGTGACATAATTAAACACAACAAATATGTTTCGGCTGCATGGTTGGCTGAGATATTTACTTATCCAGTCGACTCATGCGTTGTAGCCCGAATTACCCCTTTTCACTCAATTGTCACTATTTTTGGGAACGTTCAATCAAGTACCCCCAAACATAATAAAAGGGAGAAAACTCTTGGACTAAACACCTTTGATGTTAATAATTGGAGATAATGCAATAACCTACCATGTCCATTAGTTTCTGGTAGCAGTGCTGTTCTATTAACCAGGTTCTTTACAGCTTTTGTCTATAAAAATATACACATGTTACATCCTACATAATTATGTTACTTTTTTCTATTTATTAATCGTAATTAAATAATCAATCACCACTAGTTTCTATTTTATTGTATTGAACTTTCTGATACAATACCGTACTGCTAATTCACTATAGAAATGAAATGAAATGAAATGGGTTTTAACATCCTACTGTTCTGCTCTGACTGGACTAATGCAGTGTGCTATGAGGGGAATTTTGCAAGACAACAGTGTTACGATCTACTCTTATATCGAATTCCAACTGCCATGGGATCTTTATGACCAGAGAGTTGTCCTTGCCAGGCCCTCCGTCCTACACTACTGACAAGAGTAGACCACACGCTATTGAAATGAAATAAAGTTCAATGTCTAGTCAAGACAGTGCTTTGGTTATTTTGAGATTGATCTTCATTTCAATGGAGGTTATTTGCATAATGAAAAAGGGGGAATTTTGCCCAGACAGCAGCATTTCTGCCTACTCTTCTATTAAACACAATACTTTAATCATTTTGAGGTTGATTTTCATTTCAATGGAGGTTATTTGTATAATGCAAAAGGGAATTTTGCCCAGGCAGCAGTATTTCTACCTACTCTTCTTTTATGTGCACACCAATGATTACATTGGTGGACTTTGCAGTCAGAGCTGTTGACCGTTTAAAGCCTAAAACAATATATAATCGCTTGTCAGATATTATATATGACTGTACCTACCTTTCTACTGATTGAGGCATCTTTACGTTTAGCTTGTCTTATATTATTTCTAGGTTTAATAGGTGAGGGTGTACCAGGTAAAAAATGAGGTAAGACGGGGCCTTTAGGAGGAGTGACTGAAATAAATTATAACAAAATCTGAGGGCTATTCTCAAACGTAATTTATACATTAGTGGCCCTTTACCCATGTTCTGTATACCAAAATTTTATCTACTGGCATAAGAAATCTATATATATATTTGAGACTGTCGTTTGTCTGTCTGTCTGTTCGGGGTTGGCGGCTACACTAGGTCTGCCCCGAGTCTGAAATTTGGGGTATATGGATAACTCGGATCGGGGAGTAACATAGGCCAGGTGGCGTTAGTCTACCACTTCCGGTTTCGGAGTTATGACCCCCGAGCGACGCCGATCTGTTTGGGGTTGGCGGCTACACTAGGTCTGCCCCGTGTCTGAAATTTGGGGTATAGGGGTAGCTCGGACCGGGGAGTAACATAGGCCAGGTGGCGTTAGTCTCCCTCTTCTGGTTTCGGAGATATGACCCCCGAGCGAAGCCGGTCTGTTCGGGGTTGGCGGCTACATCTGCCCCGAGTCTGAAATTTGGGGTATAGGGGTAGCTTGGACCGGGGAGTAACATAGGCTAGGTGGCGTTAGTCTACCACTTCCGGTTTCGGAGTTATGACCCCCGAGCGAAGTCTGTTCGGGGTTGGCGGCTACACTAGGTCTACCCCATGTCTGAAATTTGGGGTATAGGGGTAGCTCGGACCGGGGAGTAACATAGGCCAGGTGGTGTTAATCTACCACTTCTAGTTTCGGAGTTATGACCCCCGAGCGAAGTCGGGGTTGGCGGATACACTAGGTCTGCCCCGAGTCTGAAATTTGGGGTATAGGGGTAGCTCGGACCGGGGAGTAACATAGTCCAGGTGGCGTTAGTCTACCACTTCCGGTTTCGGAGTAAGGACCCCCGAGCGAAGCCGGGTATCCTGCTAGTAATAATTAATTTGACTAATGGAAATGCTTAAAATGGAATTATTTTTGTACTGGAGTGTGGAAATATCAGATTTGTACAAGTGGTGGAGAGGGGAGTCTTTTTTCTGGAACTGCCTTACCATAATGTATTTTCACGAAAAATTCAAATAAACCATAAGTTCTGATTTTCACATATTTGGCCTCTGAAGGCTGCAGCAGGTTATATCTTCTTTCAAAAAACATGGGTAGGGTTTAGCTAATTCATCCAATGCTAGGATCCTAATTCATCAAATTTTTTCTATTTTTATATGGCGGTTGGGCTATCTGTTACAATTTGAAGCACGGAGAAAAGAAAAGTCATACTTACAAATATCACCTGAATCTTCTTGAAATGCATTAATAAGATCTCGTACATGATCAACGATACTATCCAAACCTTCACGATCTGTTAAACTCCTGTAAAATGAACAAATCACATATTGGAGAGGAAACAGAATTGATCACTCAACTAAAACAAACGAAACCCTATAGATCATTTTGAGTGATTGTATACTGTTGTCACATAACAAATCGGGGTTAACGTCTGCTTGACACAATCTTGGTCATTTCGGGACTAACATGATTTGATTTCATCTAAATAATTCTCTTGTACGTAGGAGTCTTTAGCAGTGGGAGGAAATCTGATGACCCAGAAAAATTCACAGCAAATTCACTGATATGTTCTAGTTCTGATATATTCACACACACAACACTTTTTAACAATTGGAGGTAACCAAGGAATCCAGAGAAAATTCAATCACCTGGTTAAACATTTGCATTACTCCTTCACATCCAATTGTATGTGTTTCAATGATTGCATTTTACCATGAACCTTATAAGGTCCATGATTTTACAAATCAACATATACCTGTGAAGGAATTCTGACTTTAATAAATAAAAGAAAATCTTTTTTAATTTGATATGCTTATAAAACATTTTGAAGTACTTTAATCCAATTGCTACTTCATACAGACTGCGTTTGTTATGAATTATATTATATGCATCTAATCACCAACTTCTTATTAGTCCGGGTTTTTAAAAAAAAAAAAATATCAGTAATTTTTATACTTTACCTTTCTGTGATTGGTTTATTACACAATGGACAAGGAACTGATCTTTTTTTCTGTAAAACTTGTGATATACAAAATCTGGAAATAGAAATTGTTGGCTACATACACCGAACATAAATGTTAAAGGTAGGCAAAGTATAGAATTTTTGTTTTTTAACATTTTTACAATGGCTAAGCATGGACCAGTGAGAGGTGGCGCACCATAGATGAAATGAAATGGGATTTAATGTCCTACTTTTAGCACCAACCGGGCAACTGAAGAGGGGACTATACCTTTCAGTATGCTATGAGCGAAATTTTCCCGACTGCAGAGTTTCCACCTACATTCCATTCATTTAAATTCCAATTGTCAAGGGTTCTTGTATGTGAGCGCCAAAGTGTAGGCTGCATGGAACCTCTCTTTTTTTGTCCAATATGAACGACTATATGCTCTTCCTTGTCACACCTTGCGTCAATCACCACCCACCAATAAGTGGAAACCATGCCAGACAGGCGACCATCTTCCTTGTCACGTAGAAGTGGGGAATTGAAACCACGCCACTTGACTCAATGACAGACCTTATAACCGTTCGGCCACCCAACCCCCCTTTTCCAATACAAGTCATCTGGTTACCGAAGACAATACCACTGAACCCTGAAAGTCAATACTCTGTCTATTGAATGATTGTGATTGATCGAGAAGAATATTTTCTTCATCTTTCTACTTTACCTGCAGAACTGATGATCACATCTCGTTGATATTGGTTTCGTTAATAAATCAAGACTGAAAAAAATTTGAAGAAAAAAATTGATATGAAAAATGGTGATTTCCTCCCACGAGCATGGACTACATTTAGATGCTGTCTGTGCAGTATGGAAAATTGTTCAAAATTCCATAAGACTGATAATGAGCAGGCTTGTTAACCTTGAGACTCCCAATATATAGGAGGATAACCCTCAACTTATAATGTGACATCATGAAATATCATCTTGAGCTTTGGAATAAAATTCTTTCAAAAAAGTGAGATGTCACTGCACAAAATGCTTTAGTTTCACTCAAACTCGAACACAATTTATTTTTAAAAAAAAAACATCTGCAAGATATAAATATATACATGTAGGTCATTATCTGTCGATTCGGAAAATTGGGGACTGAAAATCGAGCACACCCCATGTTTAATGTAAACATCCTGATATTGATTACTTATATCACAATCTCTCAGTCCAACATAAAATTTGACGGAACTGTAATATTTCCTAACTAAGATCTCGATCTTTATTAATATTATGAGTACAGGTGTCTAGTTTTTCGGGTGGAACGAAAACCTGAGCTCCTGTGTATACATTGGCGTGCATGTAAAAGATCCCTTGACAGTTGCCTGCGTTGGGATTCGACATAGTCATAGTGCCACTGCCCGGGCAAAATTTCCCTCATAGCACACTGTATGGCCGTCTTCATTAGCCCAGTCGGAGCAGAGCCCCATTTCATTCCATTTCCTTTTAGTTTGGTTTATGACCTTACAATGTTACATGTAGGACTATCATGTAAACTTATCCACGACATAGAATCAGCAGAAAAGTAAACAAAAAATAATTAAAAAATACCAGATAGGACATTCTAAATTTTTTGTCATCAACCCAAGCACTTCTTGGATTTTTCTTTTGTCCATTTCAAATTGGTAGGAGATATCTGTGATGGCTGTATCTGCTCATATTCAATTTCAAAATGGTTATTATTACATAAGTAAATATAAATAAACTCCCGCAAATTTATCATAAATCCCGCCCGTAGTCTGTTTATGTACGTCGGATGTAAGAGAGTTCTCCATTCAAGGAAGACAACTCTCATTTGTTGTGTTTTGTAGTCTAGGTTCCGTTTGCCCAAGTTAGGAACTGAAAAGTTACGTGGTTTTTAATGTAAACCCCCAAACAATCTTAATTCTTATTAATAATGGTTTAAAAGAAAAAGTGGAAGAAATGGCCACATCCGACACACCAAACGCTTTGTTAAAACGCAGTAAACGAAGTGTTGCGACGCATTTTCGTGGGGAATTTTCAAGGCATCACAATTCTCAAAAGCTCAATGAATTTCTTGACACAATTTTAGACCCAACAGAAAAATTAGATGATTCAGATAAAGTAGAATGGTGTAGATGTCTAATTGCAGGTGGTTCAACTTTTGAAGAATTTTCTAAGACAGGTAAATATGCTTGCCATATGAAAATTTTATGTGGAGGATAATAATATTAACTATTAGAGATGACAGCTAGCTGTGTCTTTGCATCAATCAAGAGAGACAAATACAGGGGATTAACGTAATTTTTATTTTAAAAATTTGCTTGTGTGTAGATGTCTTTACCATTGGAAGGAAACCGAATCACCCAGAGAAAACCTACGACAATGTGCATGTGACCCTACTCCTTGTCACATATATAGTGATCGAGGGTATTTCTACAAGTACCAAGTCCCACTTGGTGTTCCAAGGTGTCAACAATAATAACAATGTTACCTATTTGAAGTCTTAAGCATAATCTGAGCCGCAGCTACGGCAAAGCAGCAATATATAGGTTAAATCCCGCTGGTAGCACGGAACTCTGTGGATAGGTGGAAGTAGTCCCGGGCTGACGGACATCTGTATTATACAGGGCAAAATCACAACACATTCAAGCTTGGTGTCAAAAACACACAACTTGAGTCTTGACTCAATGGTTATGATCTAAAGTTCAGACATTCGATCGGCTTCCCCAAACTATTGGCATAAGTGACATTGGCAAGTAATATCAATGATTACAGATGGGAAGACAAATTTGGTAGTAAATGTTCAATTCTTGCTTAGTGGGCTTTATCATCTTTCCTGAAAATGTTCACAGTCTCAAAATCATCCTTTTCAATAGAAACTTATGACATCATTCATAGGTATAAAAAGCAGTGTGTTTAAGAAAATCTGCTAATCCTTCACCATTCCCTGCTGCCTGCTATAGACTAAACATAAAAATCATCAATCAAGTCTGTGGATTAAGACTTGGAACAATAAAACAAAATGAATTTGAAATCAATCTGTCAGTTCTATGTGTGTACGTTACCTGAACCCTTATTCACTGCAGTACGATACACCGTTAATGTGAGTTGTGAAAAGATTCTAATTATTAGCAGAAATAACTTCAAGGGCTATGGTTTCCATACATCAATCAGTTATTCTTGACATGAAGGTTGCAGACCATCCATGCCATTTTTACATGAACCGATGTAAAGAGGAAACTGTCTTTTACTCTATCTATGTACTACTGAAAGATGTAATGGTAATCTAAAGCATAGATTATCATTAATTTCACAGATATGGGTTTAACATCTTACTTTTCTGTGCCAACAGGGCTATTGAAAACAAGACATTTATGTCACTCACAGTCAAGCCTGGACATAAGTACAAATTATCACACAAGTGTGGACATAAGGCACTTGTCACAGCCTTTGTCAGACACAAATTATCACAAAACATATATATTATAATAAAAACGTTGTGTGATAGATTGAGTCTGACAAAGTTTGTGACAAGTGCTTTCTGTCCAGACTTGCTCACAGTCTTGTAAAACACAGAATTAACCTTAAACTTGAAACACACCATTAACCTTCAAATTTAAACTTGAATTACCTAATCAAATTTTGTTACATTGTATTTACAGTACGACAGTTTGATAATGCTGTAACATGTGGTTTGGTGTGGACGTCAAATTTTGTGGCCTACAGATGTAGAACCTGTGGTATATCACCTTGTATGTCACTATGTTCAGAATGTTTTCAAGCAGGAAATCATGAGGGCCATGATTTTAACATGTTTAAAAGTCATGCCGGAGGAGCATGTGATTGTGGAGATGTTAATGTGATGAATCCAGACGGGTCAGTATGATTTACATTGTCATCTAATATTTCACGTGTATTTTATATATGAAATATACTAATAGCCCGCAGTATTGATAAGTTTCGTATGTAATTTTAAAAACTCTCAGATGAAGCTTAGTGAACGCATATCTGTTATTTTCGTAGAGGCTTGTCAGCGAAAAACTCAAATCGACAATAGCTGCAAAAATTTATAACTTGTATGTGTTTGATGAGAAATAGATAGATTAAAATTTAAATGGACCTTATGGATTCCATATGAACTATGCATACTGGCATAACAAGCTTAGATATTGGTGTTATATATGAATAGATTAATTTTTTAAACAATGTAGTTCTATAGATTTTCTTGTTGTCTGATTGTCCTCTGCCCTTCTGAGAATGCAGAGTCAAGGACTTTGAACACTGGCATATATACAATATATGACCCTACCCCTGGCCCATGGGACAAAATTTGAAAATTTTTAAGGACAAAATATAAAATTGCTAATCCCCCAAAGTGCCAACAAAGTTGATATTCAGTATGTGTTCTGAGCGGAATTCCTAATGCATCATGCTTGGCTAGAAAACCGGCCAATCGGGATATAGACATTACTATCTTGGCCAGTCGGGTTCAAAGTGTAAAATGAGTTTGTGATGAGCATATTGGCAGAGATAATTAAGCAATTTGGTTTGTTGATGCTTTGGATGATGGTAAGTCTGGTTCTAATGGAGTAACAGTGTTGTAACTTGGTGTATAGTTTTATTGCATTAACGATGATGATTATTTCAAGCTCAGATTAAGCAGATTATTGTGTAAGTAATTATGAGTGTCATCTATTTATTTTTGTATTGAGACAGAGTACATCAGCCTCACTATTGACTTTTTTTAAGATTTTGTCCACGACATGGACCAGGTAGAAGAACTACTACAGTTACTCCTCCACCAGATCTGTTATCTATAGCAGAGATCATGTTACCTAAATTAATGATGAGACTTGTTTATCATCTTAGATGTTATATCAATAGTAAGTTTACATACAATTATTTACATTCTTACTCTTCTAGTTGTGTTTAATGTCCTCTTCCACTGAGTGTGATATCGCAGATAAGTTGTCTTATTTTTATTATCTGAGCGCATGCGCAGGGGTCTTTCCTATGGGAGGAAACCGGAGTAAACCCACAAGGTTGAGAAGGCACCCCTATCCCCAAGCCACATGCGCTCACACAAGGGATCGAAACCACGACCTCTAGCCAGAGGTGACTGGCCAGCTAGGACCTGCAGCTCGATACTCTAAACCACTAGGCCATCCTAACCCCCCAATTACATACAATTATTTATAGGACTTATATATTACTTATCCTTAATGAACAAAGCTTTTGTATTGTAGGGGGGGATGGATTGCCGAATGGTTAGCATGTGTGCGCTGTATCATAAAACCTGTCATTGAGTCAACTGGCGTGGTTTTGAATCCCTGGTTGTACGTGACTAAGGAGTAGGGTTGCCTGTCCAACCTCGTGGGTTTTCTCTGGGTCCTCCGGTTTTGTCCCACTGCTTAAGACCCCTACGCGCAAGCGAATTATCGAATTAAAATTAAACCATATGTTAGTCCCGAAATAACCTAGTCTTTGTCGAGTGGATGTTAAACCCCATTTCTCTCTCTCTCTCTCTTGTCTATTGTATGTAGATCATTACAATATCTGTAAAAAACTGATTAAAGATACATTGTGTAAGAATTGAATAAAGAGTTGGCTGTTCTTACTATAATAGTTCAAAAATAGAAAATTGAATATATTGAACATTTCAATCAAATTACTTTATTTAGAGCAAAGATTTAGCCCAAATAGTCAATGTCATGAAATCAATAGAAACTTACAGGAATTTTGATAAGTTACATATATGTTATGATTGATCAATTTTGATATGTTTTGGTACTTTTTAATGTGCATGGACTCAAAGTCTGTATCACACTAAACTTACACTGTCTGTCTACAGTAAACAGACACTAAGTTAGTTAACCAACATTTTAATTCCTAAATTGACGAAAACACTAAGTATAGTTTTAGAATTTTGAGAGGTATTTATTCTGCTTCCATTTGATTAAATTTAAAATGTTTATTTAGTCTTTCCTTTGTGTGTATGACAGATGTGAAATGAAGTAGAATGAAATAGTATACTAATATTTGGATATGGCAGCCATTCAGGGCAGAGATCTATTCTCGAAGTAGATAGTTTTCTGTGTGCAGAATGAGTCTATATGTATGGACTGATAGTTTATGATTAAAATCTGAAATAAATTATACCTTTAATACATGTAACTGCTGGATATATAATTTTATTGGAATCTAGTGTATAAGCTTACCTCAGGACTGGCAGTTTGGTGACATCATATACACATTAAATGAAATGGGGTTTAACGTCCTACTGTCAAGGGATCTTTTACGTGCATCCCAATGTGTACACTGGACCTTGGTTTTTTATCCCATCCGAACAACTAGACAGCTGTCCTTGTCAGGCACTCCGTCCTGCATCACTGACAAGGGGAAACCTCGCCGGAAAATCTGGATGAACTTTCTTGGCCAATGCAGGGATCAGACACCCGACCTCCAGGCTAGCGAGCCAGCGTCTTACTCACATGACAATATGAGATGTCACCATGTTTCTGTATTTAGCAATAACCTTTTCTTTTTCAGATTCATCGAATCAAAGAGCCACTTTTTTGACTATGTATGAATGTGAAAAATTTGTTAGTTTTCTCCACTCCCTGGCTGATATGGGAGCAGCTATGAGATCTGTTTTTGCTAAAGCTTTGACAAATACAGAGGTTTATGAGAATCTGACCAAAGGTTTGTATTAAATGTTTAGTTTTTATTATGCATTGTCATGTGAATCTGGAGATATTCTCTTGGCCATTATGGTAAATTATCTAACATTAGCAGATAAAATTATTTTATTTTGATATTGCTATGGTATATAATAGTAAGTGCAGGAGAACCACACTACATACAAAACAAATCCGATAAATCGAACCTGCGGACAAGACAAACGTGTCTTTGCAAGAAATAAACAACAAATGATTGAGTTTTGTTGGGTGAATATTTAAAGGGAAAGACACACTGATTTCTTTATTTATTTTGCTAAATACGGGATGTACTTCATTTCTGATTAATCTTTACATCTTTAGTGATGTAAATTGGTTCAGTTGGATCAGTAGTCGCTGAGAAAAAAGCGTTTATACACAATGGGGGAGCCGCACATGCCCTGCCTGTCACATTGTAGATAGGCCACTGATATATACATAAGAAGATTACTATATTTATATACTATTTTAACAGTAGGTACAAAAGATGAAGGTGGGAGAAGTCATTATTACACTGAGAGTCAGAAATGTTATCAAACTATTCTAACTTTATCAATGTATCCACAGGGATTTGAGAGATACCAAAGTAAGTATTGTTCTAGTGAATTATTCAAATAAAGAGTTATCTTATTAGTTCCAAAATTATCTACCTGTTTTGAGTAGTTGTTAATCCTAATTACTTTCTTGTCTTCTACATTAAAGATGCATTATTCAAGAGCTAAATCTGCCTATTGCAGTGTTTTATTTTGGCTTCAAATCTTATATAAACTATTATTTAGACATTTTTTTTTCACATGACAAGCCTATAACAACTCTCTAGGTCATTGGACTGCAGAGATTTAGACCAATTGAAATGTGATTGCCATTTAATGTTTTAATTTAAAAATGGAGAAGCCATTCTGAGTCTAGATTAACAAGTAACGTTGCAGTGGTAATAAACAGTATTTGCCACATCTTGCCACAGTGATATCGTGTCTCAGAATAAAGTAGTTTGTATGAAATTTTCAACATTTTCTCTTTTCATTATCTATTTTTGAACTAGTATAGCAAGTATGACCAGCTCTTTATCTAATTCTTACATAATGTATCTTTAAGATGGTCAACATGAGAAAATTAAAGTGATCATGAAATATGTCCTCTTTTTTTTTTTTAAATTATAGATTTACAAATAATAAGAAATAATGTGTTTGGGTTTGTTAGTTTGAGAATGTGATCATAAACATATATCAAATTTTATAGTGTCTAGCCATTGAAACTATAAGCATAGTGGGTTTTCTCTGTGTTGTCAGGTTTCCTTCCATTACTAATGCACCTTGCTGACAATTAGATTAGTGAAATGAAGATATAACATGTGTTAGTATCTGAGCATGATAAGATTATCCACGCAACACAAACTAAGTCATTTCGAAACCAACATATGGTACAATTTTATTTCAATAATTCGCTTGCACATAGGGATCTTTAGCAGTGGAAGGTTAGCCATACAACACAACTCTGAGATTGAAACCATGCCACTTGATGCAATGACAGTTAAAGAGCACATGTCAGACCATTCGACCACCCACCAGGAGATTTGATCTATGGAATAAGTGAGCAATTAACCAAATGCATATCACACTCAAGTTTTTCCAGTTTTCTCCTGGTATCTTTACAAGTAAAATGATAAAATTGATGTTTGTTTGTCTCAAAGATGGTGGTGTTTCAATATTTTGTTCAGTTGTAGATATATATGTAATTAATGTAAATTTGTTGTAGATAAGCCTGGTTTAAATCAGAAGATAGTACATAAATCTCTATTAGAAGAATTAGTATTTTGGATAGTAAAGTATGATTTTCCTACCAACATCAACACACTACTGTTAAAAATGTTACCAGAAGATGACTACAAGGTAGACTTGATCATATTTTACATTGTAGTGTATACATGTATATAGTAGATATTGTGAATAGAGGTTAATGTCTACCTTCAAGCTCGAAAGAAGAGTATGAAGAAACAAAAGCAAAATTTAGAAAACAGGCAATATGATTAGTAAGCATCCCATCAAAAGATATTACCCAACTCTTGTAATATGTGGCACTGGCTTGTTTATATCATGTACAGAGGATGCCCAATTGTAGTTAGTAAGAGATTCCTTCAAATATCTGATCAGTGGGAAATTTATGATCTTTAAACAGATATAATCTTTAATTTATCAATAATTATGAAGGCATTCGAACATGTTATATATATATTATTTTAATGCTTTACATAAAGATCAGAGACTCTTAAAAAACATGTTTTTTTTATGATATATGTTCTTTAAGAATCTTTGATCTTTATGTATAAGGCATTAATAATTATCACTTTTAAACCTTAATATTGTGGAAGTTGGAACTCTGAATGAAATATTGGTCCAAATATATGATGATAATTAATCTGATGAAGCTGTGAAAAATGAAAGATTATGATGATAGGCAGCTTTAAATTATAATGTGGGTTTGTAACATATTTTAAAATACGAGGTAATTATATGTTTGTCTGTTTGTTTTTTTTTTTAAGATTGCTTTTGCTAAAGCGTATGTACAACACTACAGTCGTACTGCCCTAGTACTGTGTACAACAAGAGAACGGGTTATTGTTGCTAACAGAGTTGTGCATATCAGTGTTCAGTTGTTTAGTAACGAGAGTCTAGCATTCAAGATGGCTGATGAATACAATCTTCTGTATGCTATAGTGATATGTCTAACTCATATGTTGGAGAATCACACCATACCAAGTACATTGGAAGGTAATATTTGTTATATATACAGTGCACTCTGTCACATCCGACCTCTGATCACTCCGGCACTTTGTTACATCCGACACCATTTGACATCAATCAGCCGTCCGGTCATACGATTTCCATTGAATCGACACCGTATAATCCGGCCTTCAATCGGTGGGTGTGAAGCAAACAGTTACCGATCAATTATCTGTGAGATTAAAACTGGATGGGTGTGAAGCCACAAAAGATGAACAAGCAATCACCAATCAATTATCTGTGAGATTAAAACTCGCTACCGTGGGTCTTTGTTGATTACTTTGATAATTTTAATCTCTTGTGTACGACAGTTGTGACAAATACTCAAGAATATCCATGAATTTTCCCCTGAATTCTCAGTTGTAAAAATATTCCTAGCACCTGTTGGAAACATTCGTTGCGCATGCCGATTGAACCTAAATAACCTATAAGTTTGGTCACCCTACGGATCTCTTCGAACCGTGTGACGACGACCTGGGGATGCTCGATTCACAGTCTGGAACGTCCCGAATTGACAGAATTGCAATCGAGTGACGTGGAATTCAGTCCTGTCACAGTTCTGTCAGTCCCGATCTTGGAGGTGATGTGAGTAGAATTGTGACGTAATTAAACACGACGAACAGGTTTTGGCTGCATGGTTGGATGAGATATTTATATATCCAGTCGACGCATGCGTTGTAGCCCGAAGTACCCATTTTGGGATTGAGAGAATTCAATTCCGGAACGTTTAATCGAATACGCCCATTATCAATCGACACGTGATAGCAAAGACAAGAGTGCGATCAACTGAAGACGGCGAAGAAGATAAATTAACGACAGACTTGACATATTCAAAATGCCTACGCATGTTAAATGAAATAAAAATTAATGTAATAAAATTTTGGATGTACAGAAAGGTTTATCATTTTTAAAGGGAATAACATTCTGGTGATTCGAAGTTCTATGTTCGAAGCTACATTATATTAATACATCCGGTTTTCGAAGTTACAATATTTCCGGTTTTGAGAAAACTGGGTATTCCGACACTCTGCATAATCCGACATATTGTAACGATCCCGTACGATGTCGGATGTGACAGAGTGCACTTTAGTGTGTAATAACACGATACCAAGTACATTGGAAGATAATATTTGTTATCTATCATGTATAACACCATATCAAATATATTAGAAGGTAATATTTGTTATATACAGATTAATTAGACAGTAATATTAGTTATATAGTGTAATAACATGATACCAAATATATTAGAAGGTAATATTTGTTATATATAGTGTAATATAACTCCATGACAAGTACATTAGAGGATAGTATTTGCTATATATAGTGTAATAACACCATACCAAGTATATAAGAAGGTAATATACAGTGTAATAACACAATACATTAGAAGGTAATATTAGTTATATATCGTGTAATAACACCGTACAAAATACATTAGAAGGTAATATTAGTTACATATCATGTAATTACACCATACAAAATACATTAAAATTTAATATTTGTTATATAAAGTGTAATTACACCATACCAAGTACATTAGGGGATAGTATTTGTTATACACATTGCAATAACACCATACGTTAGTATAATAGTGTAGAGATTGGGAAAATAAATCAGCATTATTGACATTGTCATCAAAATAACTACAACACTTCTGTGTGAGTCAATTTTAATCAAAACGCTTTGGTTCCAATGGTTCTCTTGTCGTTTTAATATAATAATAACATACATAGTAATAATATGTAATAATAATATAATAAGATACATAATAATAATATAGATTATAATAATATGATAAGATACATAATAATAATAATGAAATACACAATGATGAAATATACGATCATAAACATACAACAAATGCACAGTAATGAAATAATCACAAAATATTGAAATACACGATAATAAAATACACATTAATGAAATACACAATAATAAACACAGAAGACTACAACACAGAGTATATATAAAACAGCAACAGGATATCATATTAATCAACCATATTTGTTTAAACTATTACAGATGCCACAGGTGAGCCAAACTTCCATCAGGTTGTTGATTGTAGTAATGAAATAATGAAAGATCATTGTTATTGGTCGATTGTCACCGATTTTATCAATCTATTATCACATCGTAGAATAACATTAAAGTTTTTAGAGGATGAAGAACTGGTGACATTATGGGTTGAAATGCTGTCATACCTACAAGGTAAGTTGAAACATAAAAAATTATTTCCTTAAACTGGCAAGTAGTGGCTGTAATACATAATATGGTTTTGATCCAATCCTTGTATATGCCAAGAAATGTGTTCACCTGCCTAACCACATTGGCTTTCTTTGTTTCCTCCCCAAAAACCTTGTGCACTAGCAAGTTATTGAATAAAGATATACTATATGTCCTTCCTGGAATAACCAAGTTTTTGTTGAGTGGAGTTATATCAGGGATAAGTCAACAGCAGAGTAATGGTAGTGCATGTCTTGGCAGTGGCATAGTTTTTTAACCATGATCCTTATAACTAGGGGAAGCAACTCTTTATGTATTGACTACTTTTTTCTGTGTGTTTGTTTTAGGAATGAATTTAAATCAGAGAGAAGTGAATCAACATGTAGAATTTGAACCTGATACGTATTACGCTGCCTTTTCTGCTGAACTAGAAATATCTGCTCTTCCTATGTGGTCTATATTACAACACTGTAAAACACCTGTAAGTTATTTATCATACGGGGGTTTGGATGGCCGAATGGTTAGCATGTGCGCGCTGTATCATGAGGCAAATGGCGTGGTTTTGAATCCCCGGTTGTACGTGACAAGTAGTAGGGTTGCCTGTCCAACCTCATGGGTTTTCTCTGGGTCCTCCGGTTTCCTCCAACTCCTAAAGACCCTTACGCGCAAGCGAATTATTGAAATGAAATTAAACCATGTTAGCCCTGAAATGACCTAGTCTGTGGCGAGTGGATGTAAAACTCTCTCTCTCTCTCTCTCTCTCTCTCTCTCTTTATCATACTATATCTGAGAGAATATGACAAGAAACATGGCCCCAGTTAGAAGCTGTCATTACCAACTAGTTAGTTAATTTGATTTCAATATATAATAGTCTAGCTTTGTAATATATATGAAGCCACAGAGGCCGAGTGAGTATTGCACTGGCTCAATAGGTTCTATATCCCTGTTGGCTGAGAAAGTTCCCTCAAGCTTTTTCAGCTTGGTTTCCTCTTTTTAGTGGCACAATATGTTGAAAATTTCTCCACTCTGAACCGAGACATTAGTTTCGGAATTTTAGGCTAGCCTTGATCATCATTACTAAAGTATGCACGATAAAAAACAAATTCTCGATTATCCATTTTTACGTTTAGTTATTTTTTGAAAAATGTATTCCAATCTGCTAAATATCAACGGCTAATAGCGATGGCATCAAGATTTGATTATGGTCTGGATAAGTTATAATTAAATAATGTCTAATTGATAATTTAGATAACATTTCAGGCCTAACGAAAGACCTGCAATTGGCAGATTTAAATCTTGCATAATGTATGTTTATTATTTTAATGTTTCATTCTGATACAGGAAACATCTTCCTTAACTTTACGAATGATAGCGGCATGTCAGACAGCTCTACAAGATTGGTTTGATGCCATTAATATTACAGAAAATTCGAAGGTAACTATATGTTATAATAGAAGAGATTGAATAACAAATTGATATTATAAATTTAAAAACACAGATCCATTATGCTGGGTTTGATATTTGTATTCTAAAATAGATTTATGGAAACACCACTAAAGTATCTTTAATTTTGGTTTGTATCTTTCAGCCAAATCCAAACCAGTTGACCTTTCACCTTCCATTACATCGTTACCTAGCAACATTTATGATGCAGGCTGTGCAATATCAGGGAATAGAACTGGCCGTCATTTTACCAGATGAAGACATGCTGAAGAAAATCTTAGTTCACGTTCTTCAAACCCAGGTTTGTAATTCTGGAGTAGATCCATACTTCTCTTTTTTAGTCACTCTCCCTCCACTTCGCCAAAAGGCATAGATGTTTTTATATTCCCATTGATTAGGTATGCATAAATTTGATCCAGTCTTATACAATATCAGGATAGTTGAATTAAAGTGATTAAGATTGTGCCAAGTAAAACCAAATTTCTAAAAGTTTTTCTGGGGAGCATTTAATCAAACTTGTATCTTTAAAATCCATGCATGGGGGGTTGGATAGCCGAATGGTTAGCATGTGCGCGCTGTATCATGAGGCCTGTCATTGAGTCAACTGGCGTGGTTTCGAATCCCCAGTTGTACGTGACAAGGAGTAGGGTCGCCTGTCCAACCTTGTGTGTTTTCTCCGGGTCCTTCGGTTTCCTCCCACTGCTAAAGACCCCTACGCGCCAGCAAATTATTGAAATAAAATTGAACCATGTGTTAGTCCCGAAATGACCTAGTTTGTGTCGAGTGGACGTTAAACCCCATTTCTCTCTCTCTTAAAATCCATGCAATCGTTTAACTGATTTCCTGACCCTGCTACTATATATGTTGTATGTGACAACATCTGTTTCACTGAATTAGTATGAATTCATTAATATGCATTAATTTAATATGTTGCACTGTTTGGCTATCTCTGCTGTATCACACAAAAATAAAATTCTTAACATGTTTTAGTGCAAGGATCATACTATTTAAAAAACAACAGGACTGGTAGCAAACAAATTTGCAGATCCCTCAACAGATTTTAAATTGTTAATGAAATGAATGTGTATATTTGGTGTGTATGTCACAGATATTGTTAATGAAATGATTGTGTATTTTAGGTGTGTATGTCACAGATATTTGCTGGTATGTGGGTTAGAAATGGTATTCAGATACGTGGACAGGCCATGACCTACGTTCAGTGTCACTTCTGCTATTCTATGTCTGACGCAGATTTACATCTTACACAAGTAAGTGAACTGATTACAATACTAAGCTCCCGAGTTCGATCCAAGTGCTGACCCAGATTTTTTCTTAAGATTTTCCAGTCTCATTTCCCCTTAAAACTGCTAGAGGACAGAGGGCCTGGCAAGTAAAAGCATGTAGACAAAAGGCGAAGGTCCACCAGTGTACTTTTTATTTTGCACACAAATGAAGCCTTGACAATCGTAATTTAATAAATAAAGCCTTGACAGTCATAATTTAATAAATGAAGCCTTGACAGTCATAATTTAATAAATGAAGCCTAGACAGTCATAATTTAATAAATGAAGCCTTGACAGTCATAATTTAATAAATGAAGCCTTGACAGTCGTAATTTAATAAATAAAGCCTTGACAGTCATAATTTAATAAATGAAGCCTTGACAGTCATAATTTAATAAATGAAGCCTAGACAGTCATAATTTAATAAATAAAGCCTTGACAGTCGTAATTTAATAAAGAGCAAGCGGAATGGAGATTGTTAGATTGTACATTAATTATTTTTTTTAAAACGCCCGAATCTCAGTTGAGAAGTATAGTTCCACAGACTTTACAGCTGAAAATCACTCCAGAGGATGCAATCCTGGCATAAAATCCAAACCATAAGCCTTATGAATGAATAGAATCACTCTCCTTATTGTGATATAACATTACTTATTTACCAAATCCCTCACCCTGTCCTGACTTGGAGAACAACAATTGATTATTTATGTGATATAATCTGTTTTTTTGTGAAACAGGTCTGTGCCTCGAAATTAGATCCAGATTATTTTGTGAGGACTGTTTTAGAAAGGTATGTCTGTGCTTTGTCAATCTAATTGAATCAACAATTTCATTTTCATTTATTTTTTCTGATTTATACACGACAATTGTAATCTAACAGACATTCTATGTTCTCTCTGGATGAGTTCTGTTTATATCAGTCAATTGTATTCTAAATTGGTATAACACCTAAACCATATTACACAGCTCTGTATGACAATACACAGTCCTTTATACCAGTAGAAAGCCCTGTATTCCAATACACAGCCCTTTATACCAATACACAGCCCTGTACAACAATACACAGCTATGAATACCAATACACAGCTCTTTATGCCAATACCAAGCCCTGTATATCAATACACAGCTGTGTATACCAAAACAGCTCTGTATACCAATACACAGCTCTGTATACAAATACACAGCCCCTTATACCAATACGCAGCCCTGTATACCAATACCCAGCCCTACATACCAATACCCAGCCCTGCATACCAATTCCTAGTCCTGTATACCAATACCCAGAAGAGTCTACCAATACCATGTCCTTTATCCCAATACCATGTCCTGTATCCCAATACCCTGTCCTATATACCACAGGAGTACATATTCGTAGGGTCGTCTGCATCACCTTTCTTGCAAGCAAACTGTTGAAACAAAATTGTATCATATGTTAGTCCCGAAATGACATAGTTTGTGTTCAGTAGACATTAAACCTTAAAAATTGTCAGTATGTTAGTCCCAAAATTACCTAGTTTGTGTTCAGGGTCTTTAAATCAGACTCTCTCGTGTTGGGATCATTGGTATTTACTTATCATTGTAAATTGTTTTTCTAGATTTAATGTATTAGATTGGTTATCATTCTCATCAACAACCGATATAAATAACATTAAACTGACTGCTGATCAACAAGTAGCTATGGTGGAAGGTGTTCTTGCTTACTTTACAGCTCTTCTTAGTATCAGAACTTATTTAGGTAAACTACTGTATTAAAGATACATTTGATTAACCCTTTAATAACCAAAATATCCAGGGTAGATAATCTTGTGGTGTTCAAATAAAGGGGCTTTATGGGAGATAAGATAAAGAGCTTGCAGTTCTCACTATAACAGTTAAAACTAGATAATGTGAAGGGAATTTGCTGAAAATGTCAGTCAATTTGAACCACTCTGAACCGAGAAGTTAGCTTTTGAATTTTATGCCTAGCCTCGATCATCATTACTAAAGTCGTTACAATAAAAAACAGTCTCGATTATCCATTTTTGGATTAAATCATTTTGGATTAAGTCATCAATGAGTGTTGAGCAGCAAATCAGATTCAAATCCAGTAAATATCGCAGGTTAGCGATTACAACGAGAGTTGATAATGGTCTGGATAACTTAATTTATGTCTAATTAATAATTTAGATAACATTTCAGGCCTAAAGAAAGATTTGCAATATACAGATTTAGCTCTTGCATAATGTATGTTTAAATCAGATAAAAAAAAAACGAGGCCCATCAATCTATATTACCCAACACTTGATTATAATCATCAGCTGAACAGAGGATGATCAATGTTGCGAAATATTCAATTCATTGTAAATACTGCACAGAACTGATCCATTTTGTACTAATATTCCTGTTAGAGATCCATGTGTCAGTTTGTGAAAGAACATGCTCCTGTTATTCAACTGTGACCGGTGTGTACATGGAATTCAGACAGTATTGGTATTCAATCCATCCTGTTGTCTTTCTTTATAGGTATTACAGAACAAGCATTGATAAGAGAAGAAATGGTGGCTTTGTTGTGTATGAGTGATCAGCAACATAGTCAGTTGCTGGACCTTATGCCAGAAAAATCAGGAAATTCTAGCAGAAACAAAGAACTGTTTGAACCTATTTTGAAACAGGTTATTATCTATTTGAGACATAACTTGATTACATGTCAATTGCTCACCAATCTGATTAAAACACAGATCCTATTTCGTTTCGTTGTTTTATAGTTCAAAATTTCGTTTTACTTGTCTTCACTACACTAGGATCTGGAAAAGTTGTTATATAACCCAAGTTCTGATTGATATGTCTGAATGGTAAGCACGTGCGCGCTGTACCATAAAGTCTGTTATTGAGTCAACTGGCATGGTTTCGAATCCCCGGTTGTACGTGACAAGGAGTAGGGTCGCCTGTCCAACCTCGTGGGTTTTCTCCAGGTCCCCCGGTTTCCTCCCACTGCTAAAGACCCCTATGTGCAAGCGAATTATTGAAATAAAATTGAACCATATGTTAGTCCCAAAATGACCTAGTTTATGTCGAGTGGATGTTAAACCCCATTTCTCTCTCTCTCTCTCTCTCTCTCTCTTTAATATTTAGGATACAAATTGTGTGTTAGAACCATTAAACGTAAAGCGATCTATATACATTGTTTTTTTTATGTGCTTTATATTCATTAATTAATCATTTGCATTTACCATTTTACAGATAGCAGATTTTAAGGCACCAAATTTTGAAGCTGGTGGAGGAATGCAACAAGGAACATATGTACCTAAAGGTAAATTGCTTACCACACTGGTAGCACTCTTGATTTTCAAATAGGGGGTTGGGTGAACCTACAAAACATTTTCAAAAAATCCTGGTCAAATATACAATTTGAGTATGTCTTTCATAAGATTTTGTGGGCTGTCATTATGAATATTCAATATGAACTTTCACCACACATCAAAACCACCACATCAAACAAATCCACCTTGCTTTTTTGACAGCAAATCTTCCAGTTAATCTGTCAATGTCCAAAACATATCTTGCAGCATCGATTTTACGAAATATTGAAATAATCTACAATGTACATTATGAGTATAACTTGCAAGAATAAAAAACAAATAAAGTTTTTAATCATAGTTCAGATTAGTTATTCTTATATTTACAAATGGAGTGAAGTCTGTGTTATACTTACCTATATATATTATTATACCCATATAAATTATACTCACCTATATGGATCAAAATAATTAATGCTAATTGCTGGACCCTAGGTCTATTCCATTCTACTTTGAGAATAGATCTCTGGCCTGAATGGTCACCATATTCAAAAATTAGTTATGAGGTTCTGATCCCTTTTACATTTTTTATACACAAAAAGACCCCCCTAAAAAGTTTCTCACTTTATTTGAGCATTAGATATACATCTTAAAATTCTTAAAGTAGATTTAGTGTTTCCTTCTAAAATAGTTTAATTTAAGAATGAAAATGTTGGTCAACGAGATTTTGTGTCTGTTCTCAAGAGGAGCTAATTGTAAACAAACAGTGTAACTTTCTATGGATCTAATCACTTCTGATCACTTACAATGTCAGAGTTTTGTCTATTTGTTTTTCCTGTTTATTTTTGCTTGTTATAGGGTGTATCTTCCCTTTTCTATATATATATTTGTGACTGTCGTTTGTCTGTCTGTCTTTCTGTCTGTCTGTCTGTCTGTCTGTTCGGGGTTGGCAGCTACACTAGGTCTGCCCCGACTCTGAAATTTGGGGTATAGGGGTAGCTCGGAACGGGGAGTAACATAGGCCAGGTGGCGTTAGTCTACCACTTCCGGTTTCGGAGTTATGACCCCCGAGCGAAGCCCGTCTGTTCGGGGTTGGCGGCTACACTAGGTCTGCCCCGAATCTGAAATTTGGGGTATAGGGGTAGCTCCAACCAGGGAGTAACATAGGCCAGGTGGCGTTAGTCTACCACTTCCGGTTTCGGAGTTATGACCCCCGAGCGAAGTCTGTCTGTTCGGGGTTGGCGGCTACATCTGCCCCGAGTCTGAAATTTGGGGTATAGGGGTAGCTCGGACCGGGGAGTAGCATAGGCCAGGTGGCGTTAGTCTACCTCTTCTGGTTTCGGAGTTATGACCCCCAAGCGAAGCCGGTCTGTTCGGGGTTGGCGGCTACACTAGGTCTGCCCCGAGTCTGAAATTTGGGGTATAGGGGTAGCTCGGACCAGGGAGTAACATAGGCCAGGTGGCGTTAGTCTACCACTTCCGGTTTCGGAGTTATGATCCCCGAGCGAAATCGGGTATCCTGCTAGTTATAGAATAAATCCTACCATATATTTTCCACAGCTTGTTATTTTGTGTGGTGTATCCCTTCGTTACTTCCTGTAAATTATTTACTGCCATATTAACATTTTACAGGTTTTCTGTGGGAGACTGAATATGATCCAGTTAAAGTTGTACAAAGAGCTGTATATAAAAAGGATGTACAATCAGCTTTAGATAGATACACACAACAGTAAGTATTTATGACTTAAAGCTAGACTCCTGTTCAACGGGTATATATGTATTTTGACCAAACAGTTTCCATTGTGAACAGTAGGATGTTAATAAACCTCATTTCATTTCCATCATTATTGTGGATTGAATTTAATGCCCATCATCCCTTTACCTCTTGTTGCAGAAAAGTAGGATGTTAAACCCTTTTTCATTTTATTTTCTTATAAATCGCGCCAAACCCAATAGCTTTGTTTGAATTAAGTATTTAACTATATTTCAGTATAAAGTGTTCAACCCAGTTAGCTATGTATAAGCCAATTGTCTAACTATATTTTAGTATAAAATGTCAAACCCAGCTAGCTAGCTATAATTCAATTATCTAACTGTATTTCTGTGTCAAATCTAGCTAGTCATAAATCAAAGTCCATCTATATTTTAGTATAAAGTGTCATTCCCATCTAGCTATGTATTAATCAGCCCCAGCTAGCCATAAATCTGAGCCCTGTTTCTTGAAATCTTGACTAAAGATAAAATCCAAATTTTAGTAGATAGTTCAATTTTGAGTGGCTAAGCACTAAAATCAATCTAATATTATCCAATCAAATTACTAAAATTTTCGATTTTATCTTAGTTAAAATTTCGTGAAACTGGCCCCTGGAGTCTAACTATATTTCAGTATAAAGTGTCAATCTCAGCTAGCTATGTATTAATCAGCCCCAGCTAGCCATAAATCAGGAGTCTAACTATATTTCAGTATAAAATGTCAATCCCAGCTAGTTAATCAAGCGTCTAACTATATTTCGTTATAAAGTGTCAATCCCAGCTAGCTATATATTAATCAAGAGTCTAACTATATTTCGGTATAAAGTGTCAATCCCAGCTAGCTATATAATAATCAAGAGTCTAACTATATTTCGGTATAAAGTGTCAATCCCAGCTAGCTATATATTAATCAAGCGTCTAACTTTATTTCGGTATAAAGTGTCAATCTCAGCTAGCTATGTATTAATCAAGTGTCTAACTGTATTTTAGTATAAAGAAGAATTGTAATTATAAAGAGAAAGGATCACCATGGCCACCATATAGAATGCCTGCAGATATACATCATAGTTATAAAGGATTATTTAAGATATTAAACTGTAAAACCATGCATGCATTTCTATATATAGTCTTGTATAAGGTATGTTATTTATCACATAGTGGGTTTCTGTATACTGTACGGGAGCCACAGTGACTGTAATCTGGCTCACTAACTAGCAGGTCTCTGGTTCGCTTCTGTTGTTGGCAGAAAATGTTCCTTGGGATTTTCTGTCGCAGTTTCCCCTTGTGTTGCAGGATAGAGTGCATGGAAAGTACAGTACGTGTCTATTCGTTCGGAAGGGACAAAACACAGAGGTCAAGTGTACATATTGGTGTGCACGTAAAAGAACCCTTGCCAGTTTGAATTCGATATAAGGGTAGTCCGGAGCACTGCTGTTCGGGCAAAATTCTCTCATTAGTCCATTTGGTGTAGAAATGTATAATTTTAAACCCCCTTTCATTTCATATCAGGTTTCAATCCTGGTGTATGCTGAACAGAAGCTCCGCAATTTTTCAAGCCTTTGGGGCTGACAAGGAAAGTGTGCCTAGTTCTTACACATTCATTCCTAAATCAAGGACAATATTTTCTAAAGATAAAAATAAGTCATGCAGATCTGTTTTGAGAACCATAGTTTAGATATCTGATCTAAGATGGATTTTGATTTGAATTACATATTTGCAGACATACATATATATATTTGGGACTGTTTTTTGCTCTGTTTGGTATTGATGGCCATACTGGGTTGTCTAAAAGCTTAAATTAAAAGCTCGAGCTGCCTGACCTGATGTTGCTCTACTACTTACTTACAGTATCAGAGTTATGCTACTTCTGGTTTCATGCAACTCCTATAAGTAATTGTCACACATTGCTCTACCAATACAACAATAGTTATATAATATTCTACAGTTAGCACCTATAACAGGTCAGGTTATTGAGATTAAATTTTAATTTGTAATGTTTGACTATATTTAAGGCTGTTAAATGTGAAACCAATCTACCAGACAGTATTCTATATCATTGTATTCATCTACTATCCATGGCTTTTCATTTTGCACCAAGAAAATCTACAGTTAGAAAGGTGAAAATATATATTTTACATATAGTTTGTATGATTTATTGTAGCTTTTACTGTAATAACATAAGTGTAAGAATAGCTATACAGTGCAGACATGCCACTAAATTTACCTTGCAGGACAACTAAATGCTTAGGTTCCCCCCCCCCCCTCTATGTAAAGAGTGCCATGTCTCTGATTGTTCATCAATGGGTTTCCTCCTGGTTCTCCAGTTTCTTCCCATTGTTAAAGGTTAAAGATCCCTACGCACAACTAAATTTTTGAAATAAAATTGAACCATATGTTCATCCCAAAATGACCTATTTGTCTTGAAAGGATTATGAACCCCATTTCATTTCATATCATTTCTGTTTTTGTTATTCACGTGTATATAATGTCCGGTTATGTTTTATTATCATCATTGCTTGATAAAGACTAGAGTAATGAAAAGTCACTCAGTAAGAAACAGTAATTAAATTTTACATAACATCCTGAATAGTTTGTCAATGAAACTATTTCATACAAGAGCTTCATTAACCACTATGGAGCAGAAAAGTCGGACGTTTAAGCCCAATTTATTTCGTTTCAGACCAGAGTTGGAGCTGGTACCGTGTCAGATTGTCAGTTAAAAGACTGGTTCTCTAATTCTGATATCCGTCATAATGTTTGTGAAGTAATAGACGAGGTTATAATACATACTGATAACACAAGTGATATAGAGACAGAAGAATCGTGTACTATGAATGTTGATATGGACTCAAATAGTTTAGTGGAAATGTTTGATCTAGCGACAAGTAATGTAGTTGTTGGTATGTTAACTTGTTTATATGATACATCTAATTTGTTGTTTTGATACATCTAATTTGTTGTTAAAATACATCTAATTTGTTGTTATGATACATATAATTTGTTGATTTTGTTGATATGACACATCTAATATCCGTTTATCATATTAATATCTTACAGATAGTGCTGGTCCTATGACATCGGCAAAAGTTGGACAGAAACCGATAATTACCATGATATCAAAACCTGGAAGTGTCAGCAGTTCTTCTTTTACAAGTTCCTCTCACTCTTCTGGTGCCAAACCAAAATACGAAAGTCACACAGTACCTACGGAACAATCACACGGACAATCAGTGTCTTTTAAAATGGAGGAGAGTATGATAAGTCTGTTAATAAAACTACATTCGAAGCTGTCAGGAAAACCAAACTCCTATACTCCTATCTCTGTGAAAAACCGTGAACCTGTGACATCATGTATAGGCGATGGACTCCATTTTATATCACGATTATTAGACAGTATAGCTAACACTAACAGTGACTGTGCTACTGCTGTTAAGCAGGTCTATACAGCTTGTAAACCCAAGGACACCAAAGATAGTCAGACTCAGAGTAAAAATGATGAAAGTGAAGCGAAATCACGAGAGACCAGGTGAATATATTATAGTTTAAAATCAACCCTGTCAGACACAAATACAGGCTTTTTTATCAACCACAATTCCTCTGGTGCCTGTTATTGCAATGGTCACATCCCTGGGATTAAAACATGGACCTCCTGGCCCCGGTTTTACAAAGCATTTTCAGACATAAGTTAAGAATTTACTCAAAATTCTTAGCCTTATTTTAACTAAACTACAATGAAACACTGCCCTAGTCTCTGACCTACTGTGTCTCCAATCTATTTGTTGGATGGCTGAATGGTTAACGCATGTGTGTTGTATCAAAAGGTCTGTCATTGAGTCAGCTGGCATGGTTTCGATTCCCAGGTGTGCGTGGGTTTTCTCTGGGTCCTCCAGTTTCTGCCCACTGCTAAAGAACCCTATGCGCATGCAAATTATTGAAATAAAATTAAACGATATGTTAGTCCCAAAATGACCTAGTTTGCATCGAGTGGACATTAAACCCCATTTCTTTCACTCTCTGTAATGGTTCCGCTAAATTTTTTGTTGACCAGCTACTGGTATTGTTTGACTAATCCGTGTTTTAACCCAAAAGAATAAACTGTAACATACAAATTAATACCCCAAACTATGTTAAAAAGTTGAAAAAAGAAATCTCACTATGTCAAAAAGTGCCTATCTGGAAAAGTTTTGAAGGGAATGCTCTACATACCACGGTTTTGTTGATATATTTTCAGACGACGTAAAGCTGCAGCAAGGCAAGAAAAACTTATGGCAGAGTTTGCTTCAAAACAGAAAGCTTTTATGGAGCAAGCTATGGAGGGAGAAGGTAATTTCTAGTAGTGTTCTTTTTAATCACAGGATAAAAATATATGACCAGAGAAATATCCAACGATAATCAATTCGTAATCTTTTTAATTTTTAGACACAAGGTAGTGACTTTAGAACATATAAAATAATATTGCGATTCTCAGATACTGCTGCATTACTCGAACTATTATCTTTTCAACATGTAATTTTAACTAGAGAATTCTGGCGTCTAACAAGATTTTTTGCGGCCCCATAGGACTGGTTCACGCTGTGTCAGGTTCACTGGTTCACGAGCACCATTACTGTTACTGTAACACTATCGCTAGTGATAACAGTAGACCAGTTTAGTAAATACAGCATTTATTTACAACGGGAACATATAACAGCTACAGTTACATACATACAACAACAATACGGTACTTAAACTATACAAGAACTAGTCTACGACAGGAACACATCTAACAATCTTGAATCAACCATTCCACCCCTCTGCCAAGGCAGCGGCTGAACTCGGGGGGAGCTCTATTCCAAGTCTGACTTGCTGTTAGTAAACGTTGCTTATAAAGCCTCTAACAATTAGCTGAGGTGGACAGGTGTGATAATCAAATATGGTATTGTTTATTATCAATTATGGTGTTTGTAATTAAACTGCATATTTCTTTAAAAGTCATTGTCAGGTCAAGGTATATATGATACATTCTCTTTGAAGTTCAGTCTAGTTTTACACGCGGATCATGTGTAGCTTGTTAAAGAACATCTTGAATAAACTAGATGTTTATGTGTAGCTTGTTAAAGAACATCTTGAATAAACTAGATGTTTATTAAGAACGTGTCTTCACAGAAGTTGTCGAGAGTTTAAACGTCAACTTCAGTTATAGATCAGATTGTCACACCAGGTTATTTATTAAAAATAAATAACGAACATAAAATAAACGTCAACTTCAGGTATAAATCACTCTGTCCAACAATACACCCCCTTTTAAGTTTAAATGTACGATTAGTGCTGTTTGTTATCATAATGGGAAATCTACGGCGTTTAGTCGCATTACTGACACCATTACTAATTAACAACCCGGGTTGATTACTAATGAAGCCAAAATTCACAGGAGAAATGATAACGGAATCGTCATGCATCAAATTAGCAACTGGTTTGGCATGGGTGAAACATACACTAGACGTTTGAGGTTTAATAATTACCTGATTAGCTATTCGCACTAAAGAAGATATGTGTAAATCTTCAACCAAAGGTATATATTCATCCTTAACTTTTAAGCACCCTAAATCATAATATAATCTAACGCCATTATTAAGTAACCAATCGCGCCCTAATATAAAATTGCGATTGATATTTGATACAACATAAAATTGATGTGTCATCTTAGTCTTGCCTATTGTAAAAGGCCATTGACCGATTGTAAATGAACCCAATCTTTTATTAATTTAGGTTTATACTGTAATTTTTGGTATATGCGATTATTAATTATGCTTACTTCAGCTCCGCTGTCAATTAACGATCTGAAGTTTTGAGATCCTAGTGCTAGTAAACAAGAACTTGGATTGTTAGAAATATTTAAATTAAATAAAGGCATTTTTTGTGAGCTCTTTCCATTAGCTTCAACATGAAAAGAGCGTTTTAGTTTAAATTTTGATGCCGCCTTGAACCATTAAACCTAGGTGGATTAGGAGGGCGATGGACAGACCTATTACATTCGCAATTTCTACTAATATGTCCCTGTCGATTGCAAGTCCAACAAATAACATTTGGATTGCGCCAGAAAGGCGGCCGATGTGAAAAGTTGGACCTATTGGGATAAAAAGAAGGTTGATTTATAAAATTAGACCTATTTGAAGAGAAAGGTGGTTTACATCGTAAATACTATTTATGGCAGGTGGTAAACTCATGAGTGACCTACAATCATTAGTGCGATGGCCGAAAAATTAAAACATTTCTGGCATTTTTGCATTGGCCGAAGATGATCAACTTCCATCAGCTCATGATTATGGGTATAACGTGGGGTAGAATGCTGATTTAAGCGTAAGGCAAATCGAGCTTGCAAATTTTGTTCGGACATGGCCGAAACTGTGGCTTCTTGTAACGTTTTCGGATTGTCCCGAATTAATTTTATTTTTAACCGATCATCGAGCAATCCCGTAATAAAATAGCCTACTAATTGCCGCTGAACGGGTTCTAAAATAATTTCGGCAGAATTATATGCTTTTGTAGCCAAAGAAAGTAACCGTTCAGCATATACCTGAACATTTTCAGAAATAAATTGTTTAGCCCGTTGTAAGATAACCAAGGCATGTTGTGGGTCCGCAATAGTGTCATATCTCGTGGCCAATTCCTTTTTTACAATTTCCCAAGTACAATTTGGATTTTCGGTTAAAAATCTATTTAAAAAATTGCTCACAGTACCAATACTGGATTGATAAGCCACATTCTTAACCTTATCTGTGGCAATTTCGGCCAAAAAGGAATATTTTTCAATACTTTTTATCCAGGGTTCAAAAGTTTTAGGCTCCCCCGAAAAAGATTCCACTAAATTAGAAATTCTGTGATGTTTCAAAGTTGTAGACAGCCCACTTAATTCCCCAGTTAAATTCTGAAATAAAGTTGCAACTTCAGGATGTTCAGCCATGATCGAAAATTAACAAAGACAAAAGCTAACGTACCTTTTCAATGTGGAGTTTTAACTGGAGAATTCTGGCGTCTAACAAAATTTCCTGCGGCTACGTAGAACTGGGTCACGCTGTGTCTGGTTCACTGGTTCACGAGCACCATTACTGTTTCTGTAACACTTTCTTACAGATAACAGAATATCATAATGTATATAAGACCTTTATTGAGAACATGAAATAGACACAAATCGAGAGGAGCTCTATTCCAAGTCTGACTTGCTGTCAGTAAACGTCTGCTTATAAAGCCTCTAACATTTAGCTGAGGTGGACAGGAGTGATAATCATATATGGTATTGTTTATTATCAATTATGGTGTTTGTAATTAAACTGCATATTTCTTTAAAAGTCATTGTCAGGTCAAGGTATAATGAACTGACAACTAATACATTCTCTTTGAAGTTCAGTCTATTTTTAAACGCGGATCATGTGTAGCTTGTTGAAGAACATCTTGCATTAACTAGATGTTTATTAAGAACGTGTCTTCACAGAAGTTGTCGAGAGTTTAAACGTCAACTTCAGTTATAGATCAGATTGTCACACCAGGTTATTTATTAAAAATAAATAACAAACATAATATAAACGTCAACTTCAGGTATAAATCACTCTGTTACACATTTGGGACCTAGAAATTGCCACAAATGGGTCACAACGCATATAATAATGTAATATAAATGTATATAAACTGATTTACATTCAGTCGTTTCCATTTTTACTCTAATTTCAAATCAGTTATGTTCGGTGAAATATGCAAGAAGTCTCAATCGAATGGCAATCCATAGCGTCTGCTTATTCCAGTCTACCCCTGTAGTATTTATTGCGCATGCTCTTCATATAAAAATAATTCTAACTCTGGACCTAGCCCTAACATTTACCCTCTCAATCTTGCCAACAATCACGTGCCCTAACCTTTTTTACATCTCAACGACCATGACAAAATATTGAGGTGGCCTTAAGAATTAGATCTAGCCTAATGCACGGCATGTGTCTGTCATCATTAACCTGGTTGCTGTAGTGAGTAGGATGTTAAACCCCATTTCATTTCATTTATTGTACTTTAGCTCATTGTGGTGATTATGTTATACATATATATGTTATAGATGATGGAGTTGATGATGGTGTAAAAGATGAAGGAATGGATATAACAGCAGATGAAGGTTATGATTGTGTGATATGTAGTCAGTGTACAACATCAACAGCTGAAAGACCAGTAGGATTAGTTGTATTCTTTCAGGCTAGTAGTGGTAAGTTATATATTGTACTGTCATACGTTAAGATAGTTTGAGGCTAGTAATGGTAAATTATATATTGTACTGTCATTCGTTAAGATAGTTTCAGGCTAGTAGTGGTAGTCAGTTCTGCACGTTGACGTGCACGTAAAAGAACTCTTGACAGTTGGAATTTGAAATAAGTGTACATGAAGGCTGTAGCGCCTCTGTCCATGTTATAATTTCTCATAGCATACTGCATGGCTTAGGCCTGTCTTTATTAGGTCAGAATTGCAGGACGTTAAACCCCATTTCATTTCTTTAGATAACTAGTTATTGTGTTGGCGAATTGATTATTAAAGACATTTCATTTATTTTGTTTGCTGTAGGTAACCACTAATCCTAAAGCTGTATGTTTAGGTGGTGCCCCTGCTATGTTGCTATTATGTGGAGTAAGCAATTTGATTTAAAGATACGTTATGGGAGATTGGATAAACAGCTGGCAGTTCTCACTATTATAGTTAAAACCTAGATAATGTAAAGGGAATTTGCTGAAAATTTCAGTTAAATTGATCCACCCTGAACCAAGTATTTAGCGATTGAATTTTGGGCCTAGCCTTGATGGTCATTACTTAAGTTGGTACGATAAAAAACATAGTGTTGATTATGGTCTGGATAAGTTAATTAATGCCTAATTAATAATTCAGATATTTATGGCCTAAAGAAAGACCTGCAATTGGCTGATTTAGCTCTTGCATAATGTATGTTTAAACAACATGCCTTGAAATCCATCAAAATGACTCATTCTTTACACAGGGCAGACGATGGATGGAGGTAAAAACATTAGCTTCTTGTACGACAGTCAAAATCGAGAGCTAAATAATTTTTATAACGTATATATTTCCAGTACTGGGTCATTGTCCGAAAGTTGAAGTAGAGACGCCAGTTAGTATTATAGAGAAACGATATCCACGTCTATCAAATAGAGCTATGGTTCAACGCAGAAGATTAGATGAACTTTGTAAAGACTTGAATGAGGTTTCTTACAGTTTTCTTTATTTACTGTAAAGATACTTATGATCATTTGATGGTCCCTTGATAACTATAATATTGTGAAAGTTGAATCTCTAAAAGGAATATCAGTCCAAAAATTGGATAAATATCATTCAGAATTACAAAGATATGAGGAATTGAATATTTCACAATATTTGGCATACTCTGTTATTGTTCATTTCTGTTAAAGACAAATTAAACATTAAATACAAGAATTAAGGCCATAAGAAAAACAATATTCTGGTTCTGACCTGTTTTTATTTTAACAAAAAAATCACCCTACGTGTCAGTATTTCCCGCTTTTAACCAAGTATCCAGTAGGCACATTTATCAAGTAAAACATTACTCTATACAATCCTTTGGCAAAATTAAAACCTCTTATCTTGTGAAAATTGAATTGTTTTAAATGCAACCTGAAACTTGAAATTATAACAACTTTCTTTTTTTCTCAGGCGTCCTGTCAAATGTCTGTTAATATTGGATGGGAAGGTGGGGTCATAGTTCAAACATGTGGTCACTTTCTACATCTTGATTGTCATAGTTCATACATCAAATCTTTAAAGGTAACTCAATTTTTTTTATATTATTGTTTAAATAAATACTTGAAGAAAACAAAAATCTGTTATGTTTGGAGCTCTCAATTACAGTTTGATCTCTTGACTTTCGTCACTGGCAGTCTGTTTGATATTGCCTTAGAAAGTATTAGATAAAAAAATCTGTTATGTATATTTGGAACTCTCAATTACAGTTTGTTATCTTGACTTTCGTCACTGGAAATTTGTTTGATATTTCTTTAAAAGGTATTAGATAAAAAAAGATCTATTTTGTTTAGACCTTGAATTATATTATGATCTTTTTGAAGTTCCGCACTGGAAATCTGTTTGTTATGAAAGCGATTAGTAACCTGATGAAAAGACAGTATGGTAGTTCAAACCAATTTGGTTTATTTGATCCTAATATTTTAGTTCTTGAAAAATCCAGGTAACATAGAAAACCTTCCAAATTTCAATCCTACATCCTGGTCACAAGAGATCAAGGGATGTAAAGCTGTAGTCCAGTATTAGTACTTCTCTCTAAATGGCCTCAAATCACCAGAGTCACAAGACAAGTATACAGTCCTTAAATAATTCATATACCCTAGCCTCTGGTTCCTGATATTTTCGGGTTATCCAGGTACTAAAGGGGTTGATTAAAGCTTTCATAATATAGTAAAAAATCTGTGAGTAGACGAACAGCCCTTCCAGATTTCTCTCAGCTACTAGTTTTGTTCTTATTTGAACTCTTCAGGCTTAAATGAGGATGTGCGGTGGCCCTCTATATATAGTCTCGGTGGGCACCGGAGCACATGTGACGTCACAGATGGACCGGAGTCAATCTTTGGCATAATATATACATATTTGTTGAATATATTTTATACTTTTGATGTTGTTCAGTCCCAGGAGAATACGGATAATTTAGCTGTAAAGAAAGGAGAATACTGGTGTCCATTATGTCGACAATTATCTAACTCGGTTATACCTATGGTACCAGAAGAAAACAAACATGTATTGGTTAAACCCATATCACATGACCCAAAACAAATGATGGCTGATTTAGCTGAGATGATGGTGACACGACCAATTACACCGGTAAGGTTCAATGTGTGTTCAAAGAAATGTATATTTTATACTTAATAGTCTCATTTTACTGCAAGAGAGAGAGAGAGAAATGGGGTTTAATGTCCACTCAACACAAACTAGGTCATTCCGGGACTAACACGTGGTTCAATGACAGGCCTTACAATCTTACGATACAGTGCGCACGTGCTAACCATTCGGCCATCCAACCCCCACCCCCCCATTGTCAATGGTGAATCTCTAATATCAGTCAAAAATGGTTCAGTTGTGTTCAATATAAATATCACACAGCCATCTTTCATTTCACTCCCTCCCAAAATTCCTTCTAGGCTCAAAGCCTTTTAGTAATAAAGGGAAGTAACTTATTTAAGTTACTCAAGAAGGTTTCAGACCACTATTCCTTAATGACATGAATAAGTTGGTTTAGTAACAGAGTATATGACAATATGTTGAATTGAAATTTTATCGATCTATGCTGCTCGCTATAAAATAAAACTGCTGCCATTTTTTTTCGCGAGCATAGTTAATGACAGATTATTATTCTATGCTTGATAATGACAAGAGAACCCTCGTCGAAAGAGAACTAAAACTCCATTTTATTTCATTTGCAGTAATTTAGATTCTTAACGAAATAACAGAATATGATATGGTGTATACATGTATGTCTTTTAATCTGTTGTAGGGTTCAAAAGATTTAACTCGAGCAATGGGAAGTGTCATGGAAGATTTACTACATACAACCTACCCCAGATTTCGCTCATTGTTTGGTAGGATAGGTACTGATTCAGTCTATCTTTTGTTTGTTTGCTCTGTTGCCAGGTAGGTCTATATTTAGATGGTAGATATTATATTTAGACCACAGTGGTTAAGGGTTAAGGCAAGATATTTTTACAAACCTTAAAGCCTTTTGCTAATTAGAAATTTCTTGGTTAACGATTCGTTAAGATATTGATAATAGTTCAAAAATAGATAATGAAAAGGGAATATATTGAAAATTTCACTCAAATTACTTTATTCTAAGCAAATACTATTAATGTCTGAAGTTGTGACAATATAGTCTTGATTGTCAAGTACCCTTACAACAATAAAACACAAAGTCTTGATTATCGATTTTTAAATTAAATGGCAGTTGTGTTTTAGTCCATTAAATATCACAGCCATCCGAAAGTCTAGAGAGAGTTGGTCATGTGAATAAATGTCTGAATGATAATATTTATACAATTTGAAGCCAAAAAGACTACGATGGACAGATTTAGCTGTCACATAATACATAAGCACAACTCTGTCACATCCCAGTGCAGCTAAAAATTGATTTATCTTAGCTAATTCTAAACTGATTTTGGCATTCATTACAATTGAAAGGGAACTAAATGTACCAAGACGTTTGCTGACGCACAGATGCTTTAAGGGACAAAATTGAACCTCAATATCAAGGTGAATATAAAACTTTTAGATAACTGTTTTTCTGATCTGTTGTATATGAAATATTTTACAGGACTAATTTAGAATTACAGTTATTAGGACTTGGTGGCCAGTTAAACCAACAACAAGTTCAAAACATTAGCAAGAAAAACAGTTTCTGTGAGTCTGTTTAATTTTTTTAGATAAATAGTTATGGAAATGTTTTTGAAGTAATTGGCTACGGAAAATTAGTTAAATAGAAATGGTTATAGAAAATATTTTTGAAATAAATATTTTTTTAGATAAATTTTTAATAAATAGTTATTCAAAATTGTTTTTAAGTAAATGGTTATAAAAATATTTTTTATGTAAATAGTTTTAAGATTTTCTTTTTGAATAAATGGTTATAAAAAATATTTTTTAAATAAATGGTTATAAAAAATATTTTTTAAATAAATAGTTATAAAAAATATTTTTTAAATAAATAGTTATAAAAAATATTTTTTAAATAAATAGTTATAAAAAATATTTTTTAAATATATAATTATAAAAAATATTTTTTGAATTAAATGAGACTGTAAGGATAAAACTTTATGTTGAAAAGTTTCAACATATGGCAGTAAAAGAATGTGTTTAAATTTGACTATGTTTTTATAATTACAGTACCATTATTACATGTATTAAGTCTACACAGTAAGCTGATAACATTAGCACCAACACCTTATACAGATCTATGGACACATATTACTGGTATTAATTTAACAGCAGAATCGTCAAGGTAAATCATAATATACTGAGCGCCATGGAAAACGCATCACTTTTTTTTCCCAAATATTTTATTACTAGGTGGTTTTGTATGTATAATATTATGCAATACTATGAACTATTGTTTCACACAATGCTCCCAAATGCAAAATATATCGGCCTGTGTGCAAAAAAAAAAATTGCACGAGATGCACATGAAAAACCCAATATTCACGTGCAGCATTGTGTGTGAGCCCTTTAAAAGCATGTGCAGTACATGAACTGTGAAACGTCAATCTGTCGTAATTTGTTGTTGGACGTGTGAAGGAATCGAGCTAGAGATGCCGAGACTTACTGAAAATCAACGGAATGAAGCCATGGGAATGTCCAGGGCTGGCATGTCTACACATGCTATTGCCAGACACTTCAATTGTCATCAGTCCACTATTGTAAGGTTGGTGGAACGTGTTCGAGTTACTGGATCAACACGTGACCCTCAACGTCCTGGTCCACAACGCGTTACAACCCAGGCTCAAGACCGCTACATGACAGATTCCGCCAAGTGACTCAAACAGGTGCAGCAGTCGTCGGAAGACAAGGACCAGTAAGTGCCAACACCGTAAGACGTCTAAGAGAAGTAGGACTCCGTGCACGACGACCTTATGTTGGAGCTATCCTCAGGGATCATCACCATCAGCGGCGTTTGATATGGGCTCAAGGACACCAGACATGGAGAAGAGTAGACTGGCAAAGTGTGCTCTTCGGTGATGAGAGTCGCTTTCATCTTTATCACGCTGATGGCCGTCAACGTGTGTGGAGACGTCTTGGGGAACGTCTTGCAGACTGCTGCGTCTTCGAAACGAATCGGTGGGGTGGGGGTAGTGTAATGGTGTGGGGAGGCTTCACATTTCATCATTGGACCGCCCTACACATTTGCAGGGGTCGCGTTAATGCTGTAGCCTACAGTGATGATGTCTTGCAACCAATTGTTGTTCCGATGTTTCGAGCGCACCCACAACTTCAGCACTTCCAACAGGATAATAGATGTCCGCATACCGCCCGTTTTAGTATAGACTACCTGGCTGCTAACAACATCAATGTCTTGGACTGGCCAGCCATGTCTCCGGACATGGCACCGATAGAACATGTCTTGGATGAGATTGAAAGCCGTCTGTATCAGAGACCACAGATGCACACCATTGCTGCTTTAGAAGCTGCTCTTGTCCAAGAATGGAACAATTTGCCCCAGGCCTTCTTTCAAACATTGGTAAATTTCATGCGACGTCACTGCACAGCGTGCGCAAGAGTCCGTGGAGGACACACGCGATACTTACATCTGTGTCGTACTTTTGGTTTTGACCCCTCTGACTCTGTACTGTTGATTACAGATTAAACATCCATAAGTGTACAAATGTGTTGTTATTGATGTGTTCCCATTTGAATATTGTTCACAATAAGAAGCAAAATAAATAAGATATGTTTACAGGATCATTTTGTTATACGAAAAACTAAGTGATGTGTTTTCCATGGCGCTGAGTCAGGCGCGGATCCAAGGGGGGGTGCACCCGGCGCACGCCCCTCCCCCCCCCCCCCTTATTCCGGCAAGGTGTAAAATTTTTTTAAAAATTGCGGACCAAAAACGAAAAACGAACGAGCCAATGCAGCAAACTTTTTTACACGTTCACTCTCATATAAAACATGACCACACTCCTTGGCTTTAGCGCGAGAATATGTACACGCTGTGATCCCACAAAGGATCTTACTTACGGCAATCGGATATCTGTCACGCGTGCAATGGTCAGCTGACGTCAAGTCACCAACGCGCCGCAGATGCCCTACAGACAGGTAGCCTAATCATGTCGGAAAAACGAAAGTCGCAATCATCTCTCGTCCATTTATTTGCGAAGAGTAGAAAAAAGGGTTAATATAAATCCGAATTTGTAGTGTCTAGCCATAGAGGTGTATATATTGACTAGAGTGTATTGTGGTCACGTAACTCCCATTGACGTAACGTTAACGTTGTGTGCCGTCACTGGAGAACGGCCGCCATGTAAGGCATGTTTCAACTGAGAAGAATTACGGAAGTGCCCGGATGAACGCTATGTAAACAAAGGGAAATGGACTGACGGAGGACAACAAACCCATTAAAAAAATAATTTCTAGTTCATCAATGACAAATAAAAAATAATGATGACTCCCAATTTCAGGCGATACTTATTTTTAATCTTGGTCCCGCAACCAGCCTGCAGGCCCCAAAACCTATGTGACCCAAAAGATTATCACCGGTCTATAGATTGGTGGGGCTCTAAGTATGACTAATTTATCCAACAGGATATACCTAAATAGTTATAGGGGATTTTATATTCGTTATTCTCTTACTATTTGGAGTGGATTAAATATTCTATATATTGTGTGACTTAAATAACCATATTTGACCGATCATGGATATACATTACCTCACAGAACTTTACCTGTCATTTAGCTGTCCCTTGGTAAGTGAGCCCTTGGTAAGGGACAGGTAAAGTTCTGTGAGCAGCATGATTTCTGCATCAGCATGACCAGATTCTAAAAAAAACACGCTCATCTTTGAAAAAGCATTTTGCAACCTTCTTTCATAAATCACTACCTCCTTCAAAACTCACGTGCATTTCCTTCAGTCGGACTTTCTTTTAGAAATTTTTCAGGCAGTAGGCTACCGATCTGTTCCTGATGATTTTGCAGACAAAAAACACTGAAAATAGGGTGGGAGTTGTGTTTAATATTTGAAGATCAGATGCCAGGAAATCGCATATATGGAGTCTTATCTTAAAAAAAATTCTTGGGGAGGCCCCCCAAACCCCCCGCAGTTGTTACGCGCCTTCGGCGTTCATAATTCGGGCTTCGCCCTCAAAGTACGCCCCCCCTTTCCAAATATCCTGGATCCGCCCCTGTCAGTATACTTGAAAATACTCTTATTTACAATATATACAAATATAGGGTAGTCACATGTGGTTCTTGTTTTTTTAAGTATCGGTTGGTCTATCCACAATTATTGTAAATACTTTAAACTGTCAGCTATCTATAATCTTGAGCTAGGGGGGTTGGATGGCTGAATGGTTAGCGTGTGCACGCTGTATCACAAAGTCTGTCATTGAGTCAACTGGTGTGGTTTCGAATCCCCGGTTGTACGTGACGAGGAGTAGGGTCACCTGTCTAACCTCGTGGGTTTTCTCCGGGTCCTCCGGTTTCCTCCCACTGCTAAAGACCCCTACGCGCAAGCAAATTATTGAAATAAAATTAAACCATATGTTAGTCCCGAAATGACCTAGGTTGTGTCGAGTGGACGTTAAACTCCATTTCTCTCTCTCTCTGAATGTTGAGCTAGTCATACAGTAGAACCTTTTGAAATTCATGTTATGCTTTAAAACCATGTAAACATGGGATAACCTTTTGCTTTCATCACAATGATGCATGATTTGTATTTTTCATAAAATATCAAATTTCTCATGGCTTAATTTTTATACACCTACATTTTTATATAGAGGTCACAATTTTTATCCGATATTGATGAACTTAAAATATATGTTTATATTCATTCTGACAATTGTGTATATCGGGCTGTAACTTTCTGGATTATGGCCCCTGATTGTACGGAAAGTTGCATTTTTAGATTGTGGACCTTCTAGAGGTCGCAGTTGTTATCTGATTTTGATGAAACTTATAAAGTATGTTTATATCCCAAAGATCTTGGTTCCTTTCGATATTTGCACATATTGTACCGTAACTGCCTGGATTTAGACCCTGATTGTACGAAATTCACGTTTTTAGCTTTTGACAATTAAATATATCACCCTTACACCATAAAGATGGTTGAGTTCGAATTTCGTGAAAATCAGACCGAAATTGACCGGCAAAATGGCCGCTCCACGTACAGAAATAGTGTTAAAGTATGTAATACCAAGGTTGTGGAACGCCTAGAGGTCACGATTTTTTTCGCGATGTTGATGAAACTTAAAATATATATTTATATCTCAAAGATCTGTGTTCCTCTTGATACCTGCGTGTATTGGACTGTAACTTACTGGAATATGGCCTCTGATGTATGTAAAATCGTTTTGTTTAGCTTGTTTTTTATCCATCTCTTGCATAATGTGGACGTATCTTGTATGGCAACCACTTGTTACACATAAAAACCATTAATTTAGCTGTATTTATTGAGTTTGAATATTAAATTGATCAAATTGTAATTTTATGGTATGTAAATTTTACTGCCAGTTCATCAAGACAGGCAAATATGACTGAATGAGAGCTCTGATACTAAGGAACTATTTTGAATTGAATTGAATTTTTTTTATTATATTCAGTATAACTCTGTATCAGAAAGATGTACCGCTATTATTGAAAGATATTTCATCACTTCTCATACAGTTCATCCTAACTTTACCATTTACTATTAAAGAAGGTAATTGTTATTTTATCATGTACTATTATAGAACGTATCTGTTGTTTTCTTTCTAATATACTTCCTAAGGGTGTTTGATTGTCATTCTGGAATTTAAAGAATTACAAACCAATGGCACAGAATTGATTCTGTTCACTGTTCTGTCTGTCCTGAAACAGATGTGATATGAACAGAATTGTGACGTCATCATTTGTGTCAGCTTTTCAATTGAAAAAATTACCTTCCAGACTCTTCAGTCAGGTATCTCCCTTATGAATTGAATTACAGTGTTTATGATTTCCTTTTGAAATATGAATTACAATGTTTTCCTTTTGAAATATGAATAAAAGTACATTCCTTTTGAAATATGAATAAAAGTATGTTCCTTTTGAAATTAGAATTACAATATATATGTTCCTTTGAAATAAGAATTACACTGTATTCAGCTGAATTATGAATTAGAATGTATTCCTTTGAAATATGGTTTACAATGTATTTTGGTGGAATATGGATTACAATTATAGTTTATACCTTGGAAATGTATTCTTCTGAAATAAGAATTACAATTTATTACTCAGGAATATGATTTACAATGTATTCCTTGACATTGTAAATTGCAGTGTATTCCTTTGTATTATGAACTACAATGTATTCCTTGGGAATATGAATTACATGATTCTCAAAATGTGAATTATATGACAAGGAAAGATATACAATAGTGAGTTGCATCACAGACTCTTTATGAAAACTTAAATTTTTATACGCCCACATTTGCATGTGGTCGTATATTGTCGTCGCCTATGTCACTTCACAATTTGTTTGTGGACACTTTACAGGTCACAATTTTTATCCAATTTTGATGAAACTTAAAATTAATGTTTATATCCTAAAAATCTGGGATCATGTTGATACTTGTGCGTAGTGCTGGGTATTGCGACTGCAGTCACGATACGATACGTATTGCGATTCATGTGCCACGATACGATACGTATCGCGATTCATAACTAGGTCATAGATTTATCAATAAAACAACAAATTAAATATGTGATTGTGTTTTTAATGAAGCTTGAACTTCACCACAGGTTGAACTGGCCGTCGTCTTAATCTTAGCAGACGAACTTAGACAGTCGCCACAATGGTCTCTTGTCAAGCGAGTGCTGAGATTGGTTGTATTACAACAATATTTTAGAATAGTTTTGCATATTCTACAAACAACTTTCATTGTGTCACCTTTTAAAAACCCAAAGTTTAACCAAACTTTAGATTTATATTTCGCTGAAGGATTTGTTATTGCGACTGTGTTTTCCGCCATTTTGATTTTTACAAGAGCTACTATCTATTATATTTACGTTCTAGATTCAACGATATATCGTGCCAGCACTACTGGTGCGTATCGGAATGTAACTTCCTTGATTTTATGTCCCCTGATTGTATGAAAGATCACTTTTATTTTTAGCTTGTTCTCTGTCCATCTCTTGGGAAATGTGGGCGTATCTTGCATGATAACCACTTGTTACTTAAAATATTATATTTTATATATTACAGAACATTATACGTTTTTAGTCCAGATGTTATATAATGCGTTATATGTACAGGCTCTAACTGTGATAATCTGTAAATTCGGAGCTGAAGAACGAGAAGCATGGAGAAAGAAGGGAAGACATGTAAGTATGTGGTGCAGCAAAAACATGATGTCATAATGACAGGCCTGGAAATAACCATTCTATATATGTACCTGACAAAATATCAGAATGAACCAATATATGATGTTTTTAGCCATGTGCTAGATGTGTATTATAAATATCGATAAAAATACTGTGCCCAACAAAATGTCAGGGATCAGAGGGATTGTCCTATGTTATATATGGCACAAAACAATCAAGATCCATTGCTGTACGGACATTGAAGGTCGAAATACAAAGAGAAAAACATTATAAGGATAGTTATATGTATCATGTTATAATTACAGTCCACAGTAGAAACATCAGGATTATTATATTATAAGTACAGTCCACAGTAGAAACATTAGAAAGAATGTTATATTTATCTTGTTATATTTACAGGCTACTGTAAAACATTAGGAATGTTATAGTATCATGTTATATTTACAGGCTACTGTAGAAACATTAGAAGGAATGTTAAGTCATCTTATAACCAGATTAAACTGTAGCAGATTATTTGAACAAGAAGAAATGGATCATTCTTTTCCTGCTGTAAGTATCAATAATATATGTTTGCATGCTAAATCTGACACTGCCTATACAGATAATGCAAAACCAAGGACCAGGGTAGATGTTGGCAGGCAAATAAAAGAACTGTTAGCACTAGGAATTTGAAAATGCCTAAAAGTAAGTGGAGACGGCTCTTCATTAGCCTGTTTGGTGCAGAGTAGGGTTTTGAACACCATTTCAGTTTTTGTCTCTGTATAGATAAACCTAAAAAGTAAAAAATACCAGTAATAATGGCCCACCCATTTCTTCATTGAACAAGATCGAACAGTAAGATATAGGCCCACCTCTATCTCCATTGAACAAACCTTAACCAGTATTAAACCAGATAACTGATCAAGTAAACATACACTTCTTGTATGTTTTAGCCTAGTATAGCGGTAGTCTTGGCCATCTTAATGCATGGGCATGCTGGGTACGATCATAGGAGCCCCAATTTTAATCTATGTATGTCAATAGATAAATACTATACTATGTATGAATGTTTGTTATTGTGTTACAAGTGGACAATGGCATTCACCTCTGATTTATTCCTATTAGTGATTGTGTAGGTAGGGGCCACACATCTTCAATAGAAGACTTGATCTCACTTTAAATCATACATCTTATCAAGGCCTTCATGTAATACATGTACCCTGCATATTTAGGCACTAATTTTGATTGGGTATTCACCGAGCTTGTGAGCCTATCAGATTCTTCGATCATCCTGAATAACAAGTTTACGCTTTCCAGCTAAAATGTCTACCTGTGACATTTGTGTTGCAAAGTTCAAGGATTGTTCAATGTCAAGGTTTCCGTGGAGGTTGCTATGTTTGATTTGTGTCACAACTTCTGATTGAACGCTGCTGTTCACGTGTCTGCAGTAATGGGAGATATCGTAGCAATAAGTTTGGGAATTGTAAAGCAATCTAGCAATGTCCAGACGTGTAAAACTTGCAGTCGTTGCTTCAGGAACATGGGGGCCCCATTGCTCTGCTTTTCCCAGGGGCCTATAATGCTGTTACGACAGCCCTGCCACAAGTTAATTCATTTGTAATAAAAAATCTGTACAGAGTTTGTTCATTTTTTTCTAAGATTTGTCAGAGTGTTTGGTCCCCACAGAGTGTAGCTATGAGTCTACAGGAACATATTCTACCATTTATAAGGATAGCAGTTTTATTAAAACTTCACCTGTTTAAAACAACACTTCCGGAAAATCAAGTAGGTTATATATAGATATTATTTTTCACTGTCAACTCATAAATTTTTATTTCTATTCTTGATTTGATAAATATCGAATATACCCTGGGATTCATATCTTTCACATTCGGGAAATTAAAGTAGCTAAGTCTCTAACTCAGTATCATCCAAAGTCTTACCGGTTGAAAACACGAATTATTTGTCAATTCAAATCAACATTGATTTTGTGATCTTACTGGGAAAAGGTAGGCTTCTGATATCCAATATTTAAGACAAAATAAACATTTTACCATTGGTACACGAATCGTGTACAATAGTGCGTGTCAGCGTCATTTGTAACATGTGACCAGAAAGAACGAGGCTAGACATATTCCACAACTCATGTCAAACGGTGACGAGATATTTTATCTGGAGAGCATGCGCATTTGACTGGAATAACCAGATGCTAGAAATTGCCATTCGGTTGAGACTCATGATGTATTTTGCTGGACATAACTAATTTGAAATTAGAGTCAAAACGGAAACAATTGAATGTAAAACAGTTTATATACAATCAGATTATATTATTATATGCATTGCGACCCATTTGGGTCAATTTCTAGGTCCCAAATATTAGCGATTTAGCTCCTTTAAATGCTTATAAACTGGACACTCATTATCAAAATTAAAATGGTCAACTTTAAACTGTACAAGTACATATTAGTTGATTTTGTATGAAAGTGAAAGAAATTTAAGCTAAATACACAAGATTAAATGATACCTGGGTTACAGTAATATGGCGTTATATAGAAGTTCATTTTGTCGCTACAATGTGAGTGTAGTCATTGGAGCAATCTCTCTCTAATTGGCTTTGCATAGCATATTGAAATAACAACCGAGTGATTAGGTGTGCGCTGTATCATAAGGTCTGTCATTGATTTAACTGGGGTTGGTTTAGATTACGTGGTTGTGCGTGACATGGAGTAGGGTCGCATGTCCAACCTCGTGGGTTTTTTCCAGTTTACTCCCACTGCTGAAGACCCCGACATGCAAAGCTAATTGAAATAAAGTTGAACCGTGTGTTAGTACCAGAGTGACCTGGTTTGTGTCGAGTGGACGTTAAACCCCATTGCTCTCTCTCTCTCTCTCTCTCTCTCTCTCTCTCTGAAATACCGACCAAGAAGAGCTTTGTATTTAAATAATTCCTAAATTTAATCGTTCACTTCTTGTAATATTCCAAATGAAATTGATACAAACATTGAGAACCATTCCATATAATATTAAAGCATTTTATAACTAATAAATTTATGTCACAGAAGGAAACTGATTATCTACATATTTTTATTACAGAAGGAGAGTGAATATCTATATCTATGTAAAATATTAAACTTATCTAGTAAGGAATCTTTGTCTCAAACAGAGGTTACTAGTACATCATTTGTTAAATGGGCTACAACAGAACCTTTACAGTTAACTAGAGCATGGTGTGTTGATTTCATGAACTATGCCAATCTTAATCCAGACAGAGGCAGGGTAAGAATCACTGTAGAGTGTATGAAATAGCTTTATTAACGTCCGCTTCCACCGGGGTGATATTACAGACAAAAATAACTGTAGAAATGATATTGTGACTTATGAACAAATATCTTAAATATACTATTCAAAAAAAGTAGGGGATATTTGATTTTGGGGGCATAATACTAAAATATGCAAATGACTACGAAAAAAGTCACTATAGAACCTAACAGAAGAAACATTTCCAGTTACATGTGACGCCCAAACGCACCAATAGCTACCGCATGGAATGCAGGTGATGCTTGGGATCATCATGGGGGTCCAACCCAAGATTTGCACGACTCTGACTTTGAATGTTACAGTCATTGTGGCATTGAATTCCAGGGTGGAAACATCAGTTTCGGCTTGCCCAAAATGAAAGGTTACGTGCCCTTGGCATGCTACAGATCGGCACAACACAGGCGGTTGTGGCACGGACGATGAATGTTTCTCAGTCTGTCATAAGCAGGCTATGGTCCAGATACCGTGATACACAATCTGTACAGGACAGACCACGCTCAGGTCGACCAAGGGCGACAACTCAAGCCCAGGATCGATTTATCCGTACCTTGGCCTTGAGAAATCATGTCATCACAGCAAATCAGATCAGCGCTCGTCTTCAAACAGACACTGGTGTGAGAGTAAGTGGCCAGACGATTCGGAATCGACTGCATAGGGGTCACCTTCGCGCCCGACGTCCTCACGTGATCCCTTGTTTGAGAGATCATCACATTCAGGCAAGACGTCGTTGGTGTAGGGATCGTCAACACTGGGATAATCGATGCTGGAGCAATGTGATGTTTTCAGATGAGTCAAGGTTCACTGTTGATTTTTTGGACAGACGTAGGAGGGTGTGGCGTCGTCGAAACGAGCGCTTCCAAGACGTTAACGTCATCAGACATGATCAACTTGGGGGTGGCTCTGTTATGGTGTGGGGAGGCATCACTGTTGCTGGAAGAACGGCTTTACATGTTGTTGCAGGGCGTGTTACAGGCCAGTACTACCGGGACAACATCTTGGCAGTCCATGTTGTGCCGTTCGCACGACGTCATGGCCGCCGTTTCATCTTCCAGGATGACAACGCAAGATGTCACAGGGCCAGGATCGTTACAGGTTACCTCCAACAACAGAACATCACCACATTGCCTTGGCCAGCACTGAGTCCCGACCTCTCCCCCATCGAGCATGTCTGGGACATGCTTGGACAGAGGTTACGTCAATGTCAACAACGTCCAGCCAATGTCCAAGAACTTGCTGCTGCGTTGCAACAGGAATGGGACAATCTGGACCAAAATGACCTTAGACGTCTCATTAGGAGTATGCCACGTCGGATCAATGCTTGTTTGGCAAACAGAGGAGGATTTACCCGTTACTGACTTGGTTGTGATGCTGTGGTAACTTTGCTGTTTGACCCCGGGTATCATTTTACCCTTATAATGGTCAGTCTGTGCCTTACTTAGTCTAACGATCATTTGGAATAAATCGATGAATGTGAACTTCATTTCATTTTGTCATTTGTTTCTTCGTCAGTTTCATAAGGTGACTTTAATAACACTTAAAAATCAAATATCCCCTACTTTTTTTGAATAGTATATTTGTCACAAACAGATCAAAATTAGTAATTGTTAGTAATCAGGTGGGCAGTAATCATTAAGTAGGTATTCATAAGGTGTTAAAACTGTGACTAATGAATGGTACACACTGTTGGTTACGTTTGTGTATTCAATAGTGGTTGATATTAGAAGTGACATCTTTTACAGCTAATTAATTACACAACTGCTAATTAATGAGTGGCGGTTGGATGGCCGAATGGTTAGCATGTGCGCGCTGTATCATACGGTCTGTCATTGAATCAACTGGTGTGGTTTTGATTCCCCGGTTGTACGTGACAAGGAGTAAGGTTGCTTGTCCAACCTCGTGGGTTTTCTCCGGGTCCTCCGGTTCCCCCCCCCCACTGCTAAAGACCCCTACGCGCAAGTGAATTATTGAAATAAAATTGAACCATATGTTAGTCCCGAAATGACCTAGTTTGTGTCGAGTGGATGTTAAACTCCATTTCTCTCTCTCTCTCTCGCTAATTAGTGACTACTGTAAAATGTCTAACCACTTTCTATAGATACTAAACATTAGTTTTGAGTAATGATTGCTTGTCTGATTTAAGGACAAAATTTTCATATTAAAAGACTTAGGTTCATAAGTCAAAGGTATCAGATTAACAGGGAAACATAAATATAAAATCAAGTACTGCATTTGCGGCAGTTTAATTTTCAAAACCGCCAGACAGCCTTGACATTTAGAATCTGATATCAATTATCAACACAACACTCCCTATAATCTGTTGACAACTACAATTCTATAACACCAATCTTGAGATTATGTGGCCTCTATACGTGTGCATTATTCTGTACAGGCAGTAGAATTTTATAATTACATGACACATGTCGATCCTAGCCATGTTTGAAAATTGGATTTTGAAAAATACATTATTTTTTTCCGGTGTGCAAAATGACCAATGGGTTAGATCTAGTTCCAGTCATTTTCCATAGCCCTTGGACTTGACCGGCATATTAGGCTGTCATGAAACCCATACTGGAAACCCAGCAGAATTTCCCTCATAGCACACTGCATGGCATGTGCTCGTCTTCATTAGCCTAGTTGGTACAGAAAATGGAAGGTTAAACCCCATCTCATTCTCATTAGCCTGAGTGGACTTTTAGCCCCAATTCTTTCTGGAAGCCACGGTGGCTCAGTGAGTAAGACGTTTGTTTACTAATCTGGAGGTTCCTTGTTTGATTCTGGTGGTGGACAAGAAAGTTCATCGGGAAATTCTGGCAAGGGACAGCATATAGTTGTTTGGATAGGACAAAAACCTGAGGTCCTGTATGCACATTGACTTGCAATGTAATAGAACCCTCGAAGTGGAAATTCGAAAGAAGAGTAGGCCGTAGTGCCACTTTCCATTCAAAATTTCATCCATAGCACACTGTATGGCATATGCGCGTCTTCATTAGCGTGGTCAGGGCAAAACATATGGACGTTAAACCCTATTTTCATTTCACCAATTCATTTCATTAGGCTGGTTTGTGTAGAAAAGTAGGATGTTAAACCCCATTTTCATTTTATTTAATAGGATTAATTATCATGTTGTGTTTAATATTGTGTGATTATTTTTCAGTCTTTATTAATGGTGAATCAGACGTGGTATAGACCTCGACTTCTGTCATTACCAACTCAATATTATAAAATATTTCAACACTATCGTAATCAGACATGTTCGACATGTACCGGAACACCCAAAGATCCATCAATATGTTTAATCTGTGGTGAATTCCTGTGTTTCCGTGAACAGTGCTGTAAACAGAACACAATGTTTGAATGTGTTCAGGTGAGATATACTTACAATTATAAAATTGTCCGAGACAATTTAGGCATTCCCTACCTTGTGCATAATGTGAAATTACTCTTTAGCGTTCTTGGTAATAAGTTAAACTACTCCCACATTTGCTCTTGGGCGGTCACGGTGGGTAAGACGCTGGCTCGCTAGCCTGGAGGTCGGTGTTCGATTCCTGCATTGGCCGAGAAAATTCATCAAAATTTTTCGGCGTGGTTCCCCCCCTTGTCAGTGATGTAGGACGGAGGGCCTGATAAGGACAGCTGTCTAGTTGTTTGGATGACACGAAAAACCGACATCCCGTGTACACATCAGCATGCACGTAAAAGATCCCTTGACAGTTGAAATTTGATGTAAGAGTAGGCCGTATTGCCGCTGTCCGGGCAAAATTTTCCTCATAGCGCACTGTATGGCTTATCCACGTCTTCATTCGCCCAGTTCGGAGCAGAACAGTAGGAGCTTTAAACCCTATTTTATTTCATTTCATTTGCTCTTGACTTTTGTTACATAGGTGGGGGATCACGTGGCTAAGTTGGTAAGTTGCTAGCTCGCTAGCCTGGAGGTCGGGTGTTCGATCCCTGCATTGTCTGAGAAAGTTCATCCAGATTTTCCGGCGTGGTTCTCCCTGGTCAGTGATGCAGGACGGAGGGCCTGACAAGGAAAGCTGTCTAGTCGCTCGGATGGGACGAAAAACCGAGGTCCCGTGTACACATTGGCGTGCACGTAAAAGATCCCTTGGCAGTTGGAATTCGATATAAGAGTAGGCCGTAGTGCCGCTGTCCGGGCAAAATTTCCCTCATAGCACACTGTATGGCGTATGCCTGTCTTCATTAGCCCAGGTTAGGAGCAGAACAGTAGGACGTTAAACCCCATTTCATTTCATTTCATTTCATTTCGTTACATAGGTGGGTTTGGTGATTGGTTTGTCTAACATGCGTTTTAGATCATAAGGTCTGTCATTGGGTCAAGTGGCATGGTTTCGATTCCTAGCATGTACATGGCAAGAAGTCCTCTGGTTACCTCTGACTGCTAAAAACCCTGCATTGAATTATTGAAATAAAATTGAACCAAATGTTAGTCCCTAAATGACCTTGCTTGTGTTGAGTGGACCGTAAACACTATCTCTGTCTCTCTCTCTTTCTCAAATGCACTTGAAGTTTGCTAAATGAAATAGCACTGACTGGCACCATGGATCTAAAAATGTATTATCGCTTTGTGTTACTTTACTTCTTCAATTTATCGTCCCTAGCAAATAAGATAGCTATTTAAAATATTTGTTTGAGAATTGTATCTACATATAGAGTGTGTTTTTTTCAGCATTCTATATCGTGTGGTGCTGGAACTGGTATGTTTCTCTTGGTTAATTCAAGTATAATAGTTGTTATACGAGGAGCACGAGCTACTCTCTGGGGATCAGTTTATCTCGATGAACATGGCGAAGAAGATCGGGAACTAAAGTAAGTTCATCATTTTTTTGCTCATCAGATATTTGACAATCTTTGCTCCACATTCTCAAAGGAGATTTCAAAGAATTGTGGTGATGCCCTGAATTAGAATTGTTTAACCGGTTTTCTTTTCTGTGTGTATATTTTAATCCATTTAAGATATCTCATAACTTTCCAGATATCTTCATGCAACTTTGTATGCACATCTACCTGATAGCTGTTGTACCTTTTGCCAATTCATCATTTCTCGGACTTAATAATTTTACTGTTTCCATTGAAACAAATTTGACTTAGTGTTTGTCATACAATTTGCAGGAGTGCAGTAGTTTGTTAAAATTTAAAATAACCTGTGGGCAAGATTACTGAATACTGCAAATAACAAAGAAAATTGTTCTGTTACGAGAGCAATGGTATGAGGTTGTTATGAGAGCAGTGGTATTGGGTTGTTATGAGAACAGTGGTATCAGGTTGCTATGAGAACAGTGGTATCTGGTTGTTATGAGAACAGTTGTATCAGGTTATGAGAACAGTGGTATTGGGTTGATATGAGAGAAGTCGTATCGGGTTGTAATGAGAGAAGTCGTATCAGGTTGTTGTCCCAAAATTACTTAGTTTGTGTTAAACATTGACCTCTCTCTATCTCTACAAAATGCTCAATAGATGTAACAGTAATAAATTTTTAACTTTTTTTTTTTGTTTTCAGACGAGGTAAACCACTATATCTAAGTAAAGAACGTTACGACTTACTGGAACAACAGTGGATAAATCACAACTTTGATCATGTGTGCAAGAAATGGATCTGGCATAAAGATAGACTTTAATAAGAATGTTAGAGGAAATACTGTAAATAATAAATTTATGTGAGCAAGAAATTAATGTGAGCAAAATAATAATGCCAGCAAAAAATTAATGCCAGCAAGAAATTAATGTGAGCATGAAATTAATGTGCACATGCAATTTAACCATAAGTTTATTGAAAAATTAAGGTGAACAAGAAATTAATGTGGGAGAATGCTAGATCGGAGACGGTCCTGCACATATGACATCATATATGGATTGTGGGTTGGGGTTAGGCTTTGTCCAGGCTTAGGGTTAGGGTTAGCACTAGCCCAGTTTACATCTCAAGACTTTGACGAAATCTGCTGGTCCTCACCCTTGCCCTAACCCATTATCCACAAATGACGTCATATGTGCTCAAATGTTCAGGATCGTCTCTGATCTAGCATTCTCCATTAATGTGGCCATAAAAAAAATTAATGTGAACAAGAAATTAAGTTGAACACGAAATTAATGTGAGCAAAAAGTTAATGTGAGCATAAAGTTGAGCAAAAGATTAATGTGAGAAAGAAATTAATGTGAGCACAAAGTTAATATTAGCAAAAAACTAATGCCAACAAGAAATTAATGTGATCAAAAAATGAATCAATCAAGAAATTATTGTGAACAAGAAATTAAAGAGATCAAAAAATTATGACCAAGTTGAGAAATGTATAATTAAACATACATTGTGCAAGAGCAAAATCTGATTATTGCAAGTCTTAATTTAGGCTTCAGATGTTATAGAAATTATAAATTAGATCTTTATTTAAACAACAAGCCCACAATCAACTCTGTAGACCCACGGATGGCTCGGCTACAGCTCGGATTTAAATAGGATTTCACTTATCAATTAATTCAAATATGGCGCATCCTGATGAGAATACGTCACGCTAAATGATAGAGTGTACTTAGCGAGGCCGCTGTAGAGCGTTTCCGCATGCCATTGAAAACTTTTCTTGATAATTGAGATTTGTAGGTGGAGTTAACGCCTGTCAATCAAACGATCAGCCACGGTGAAGGCACATTTCACTACCATTTCTAGTCAAATATTACAACGATGATAACTATGTTCAGAATAAAGTAATTTGACTGAAATTTTCAAAATATTCTTCTTTCATCATCTACTTTTAAATTGTTATAGCAAGAATGGCCAATTCTCTGTAAAAATCTCCCATAATGTATCTTTAATGCAAGCAAGAAATCAGTGTATGAAATGCAACATACCAGTAGTTACATTTGTTTCAATATGCATTTCAGTTCTAAATATAGGCATTGTTGTCAAGCACAACACCCTTCAAAACAATAAACTAATCAATGATGATTCATTAGTTGATAGGCTGTTGATGATAATACAAGTGTAATTATCTGATAATTAAATTTCTACTTTGTTCAACTTGATAAAGAAACCACCCCTCGTAATTTTAGAGGATACAACAAGTCACATTAATTGTTGTTAGCTTGGATTCCGTGAACTACTAACTTTTGAATTTTGTTGTTAGCTTGGATTCCATGAACTACTAACTTCTGAATTTTGTTGTTAGCTTGGATTCCGTGAACTACTAACTTCTGAATTTTGTTATTAGCTTGGATTCCTTGACTTACTAACTTTAAAGGTGTATGACATAATAGTCGTGTATGTGTCATTTCAACCATTTTATCGGAGACATGAAATGTAACTGTACAAAAATCATTTTTTCTTGGCAACTACATAAACGACACCATTCTCCATTCCCCCCAGATGTTTAAGACTACAGTGCATGTTAGAAAGGCTTATGACAGTGTCAAAAATATATTTCATCTTACCCGACCCCCCCCCCCCCCCCACACACACACACACACATTTTGAGGCCCTATTGAGTCAACCTGGCAAGATTCTCAGATTGGCCATACCATTTAAACATACATTATCTTCCTTTTGGCCTGAAATGTTATCTAAATTATTAATTAGACATTTATTAACTTATTCAGACCATAATCAACTCTCGATGTCAACGCTAGTCTGCGATATTTATTGGATTATGAACTGATTTGATGCTCTACACTCATTCTTGATTAAATCAAGAAATGGATAATCAAGACTTTATCGTACTGACTTCAGTAATGATGATCGAGGCTACGCCAAAATTTCAATCGATTAATTCTCGGTTCATAGTGGATCAATTTGACTGAAATTTTCAGCAAATTCCCTTTACATTATCTAGTTTTTAACTATTCTAGTGAGAACTGCGAGCTCTTCTTATCTCCCATAATGTATCTTTAATTTAGCTGGAATTGTGTTTTACTGAAGGTTTATTGTTTGCCACCTGGTGCTAATGCGAAGTTTAAAATGATTGTTAAATCTGTTTATATTGTAAAAACCCTGTTAAATTGTCATGTTTTTATCTTGTATATAAATGAGATCATTGATTTAATTTCTTGTATTGTTATTGTATATTTAAAATAATGTATATTAATATCTAATGTAGATAAGTGTACACTTACAACTTATATCCCTGTAATATTTCAAATTTCTGGTATTTATAACTCAAAATAATATGAGCTTTACTTTTTGTTATTAGTTTTATGGTACCACATTTAAAGATACCTTCCCATGTACAGAGAGAGAGAGAAATGGGGTTTAACGTCCACTCGACACAAACTAGGTCATTTCGGGACTAACACATGATTCAATTTCATTTCAATAATTCGCTTGCGCGCCTTTGTCTGTAGCAGTGGGAGGAAATCAGAGGACCTGGAGAAAACTCACGAGGTTGGACAGGAGACCCTACTCCTTGTCACGTCTAACCAGGGAATCGAAACCACGCCAGTTGACTCAATGACAGACAGTATGATACAGCTCCCACATGCTAACCATTCGGCCATCCATCCGTCCCCACCACTCCCACATACATTCTGTGTGATTTGATGATATATCTGAACTAAAAGTCCATTTGTATATTCAAACTAATTTAAATTTATCATGAGGTTGCTTTTAATCCCCCCCAAAAAATGCAAAAATCTATTTTAAGAAGTCTTGGTTGTCATGTGACTTGGTTATGGATGAAGTTATTTTTGGATTGCATGTTGTCGATATTTAACATAAATATCGAAGCTGTTCACAGAGACTACTGGATGTTAAAGTTTCTCGATGTTCGTTCGTTGCGGAAGTTTTACGACAACTTCCACCAGGGGTGATATCGTAGAAAACTCTCTCAATGCTCTCACAACACTATAATTACTTTTGTGGGAATGTATCTTTAAGAGGGAGTCATAATGCTTCTAAACGGTCTACTTAACAGACTCTTCAGAGGTCATCAGCGGTGAAAAGTCACACCAAGTGTGGGCTATCTTCTAGAGGGAACTATTTTGTTTTGAGAATATTTGATATTGATATTGTTGAATAATATTTCCACTGTTGTCAGTTGTTATTATGTATATATATATATATACACCTCAGTGTAAGCTTTTGAGATGTTATAACATGTATGCATATTTTGAATAATAATTTGTTTGGGAAAAGACTCCTAATTTTGTTGTGTGTGAGAGAGAGAGAGAGAGTAAGAGACCCCCCCCCCCCCCCTGCCAGTCCATCCTAAGACCTACAGCTTGTTTCTATGCAGGAAAATTTAATTTTATACATTCTGAGATCTGTGTCCCAACGTAATCTATTTTAGCTGTCAATAACAGTGGGGTGGGGTGGGGAGAGACAGCTGTCAATAACGGTGAGAGAGAGAGAGAGTAGTAGACATACCACCATATTTGGGAAATTTTTGAAACCTAAGTTATCATCGTACAGACAATGTGATGCAGTGAAACATGACTACAAATAAAGAAGGGAGGAAATACGTCCATGCACATACAGAAACCTGTTGGTTGATGTCTCCCTTTAAGAACTGAATAAATAATTTGTACTGGAAGGCACGGCCTCGTGGATCCACAATACAATTAAAGTCATTATATATATTCGGGTGATATACATTAGTATTGCCAGAATGGTTCAGTGTCTTCCGGAAATTATTTGAAGAAATAAATGAAATCCTCTGATAAAATAATATGATATGAAGCAAAATACCTGATTTTTTTTTATTATTATTATTAATTAATTAAAAGTTACTGGGCTATAAGACAGCTAGATACATCACATATAACTCAATAATCAAAATTATTTACTACCGTATGTTTTTTTTATGAATTTAAGAACATCCTAGTATTTGAAAAAAACCTACATCCTAGTATTTGAAAAAAACCTACATCCTAGTATTTAAAAAAAACTACATCCTAGTATTTAAAAAATAAATCCTGGAGAATGGACTCCTAGTATATTTTTTTAAAAAATAAAAATAAATAATCCTGGAGAATGGATTTGTTTTTACAGAAACGCCATGACAAACCAATAAAAAGTCTTAAAAGTCGTAGTGTCGCTGTCCGGGCACAATTTTCACCAGAGCCCACTGCGTGGCGAATGTCCATCTTCATTAGCGCAAGTCAGTGCCGAATAATAGAACGTTAAACCCCATGTCTTTCCATTTTATGTGTTCAACATTTAAAAACAGACTTTCGTTGTTTAGCATTACAGGATGATATAGTTGACTTTAACTTTACAGCTCTCAAGTTCAAGGTAAAATAATCTACTTTCGGGCGATGTCGGGGATTTCTAGGGAAAGATGTGTTATTCGGAAAATACTCATAAATAATTTCGCGCCATTTTTTTTTTTCGCGTCTCCCAAAAACAAATGGTGCCCAAGCCAAATTAAATGTTTTGGTTTAGTCCATAAACCGTTGGATACAGTTTCTGCAATTTTTAAAATCCACAAATCGCATCTACATTAATTTATTTGTTTAAAAAAAACACGAGTCGACGTTTCGCAGAGTTATATTTGACCCGTATATCCGTCACCAAAACCTTGTAAATGGTGCGGTGGGTCACGGGTTATTGGGGCTGTAAGACATAATTCACTGGAGCGGTAAGTCACAATTCATTGTGTCCAAATTCACATCTAAAGCTACAAACACGCTTCTGCAGCAAACAAGCAGTTAAGTTTTCAAAATTTGCTCGGGGAGGGCGAGGCCCCCATACCCCGTGAATTGCTTGTTTCGGATTCAGGTCAGCTATCTAACTTCGGCTCTATTATTGGACTACAATGAAGTTGCTGGATTAGCAGGAAAATGCGTTTGCGGCAATTAGATTCTCAAAATTTTCTCCCGACGGTCGCGTCTCCGCGGACTGTAAACAGTTGTTTAGTTGATTGGAATTCAAGGCATAAAACTAAGTTAAGCTATAATGGACCACATCTAAGTTGTTGCATTAAATTCACGGGCTGGAATAGCAGGAAAACGCGTTTCCAGCCGTCAAGTTTTCCAAATTTTCTTGGGTAGGTCCGGAAAACGGTAAGCTCTGCGTCTCTGGCCGCCGTCTGTAAACGGGAATTTTTCGGACATTTCAGGTGTGCCCGCCTAACAGTCATCAAGCCCTTACATGTCCCACTCATTGCCCAATCAAGTATTTCACCTGTTGTTGCTGTTTCACACAGGTAATGCAAAAGCCTTTCTTTTAACGCTGTGTAAGATGGCAGATCTCTATAAGTTTATAAGGCACTTTATTTTGTTGACTAGTAGGCATTAACTTGAAAACGTGACCTGCGTGTGTTACGGAACGTCGTTATTAAATAAACTGAGAACTAGTGTACCTTGTGTAGAAGATAAAAATTTCAAAATAAAATGTTTTCATCTTTTTTTCCCACTGCCTTGTCATCGCACCGCACAAACTAATTATTAGTAAGCCACAGTTTTAGTAGAACAAATAATAATTTGGCGTCGAAAAATAATATTACCGTTACAGAGATGGTAATACAGTACTTTAATTAAATTTATTTGTGTGCGGTGTAGGGGAGACAACTTCAATTAAGTGCTAAATATAGTTGTCTCCCTTATACCATTGATTATCAGAAACGTAAACATTGTACTATATTTATCATTTCCGTTTGAAAGAGCGGGAATCCCTTCCGATAGTACGACAACAAGGGTATCCCCCAATACGGAAATATCCGATGTCTACCGAAAAAGCCCCTACACTTCCAGACGGTAAGAAGGTCATAAAATATTCGAGAAAAACATTCGCAATATATCCAAGGCATTTATTCACACCATATTAGCCCATACCTTGAAACTGGAAGGGTTTGTTTTCCCGACAAACGCACGTTCAGTTTTAATATGACGTCACACCAACTAGCCAACACTGCTAGTGGGGGCTACCGCATATTTTAGAGACTTGTGTATGTGTATCATAAACTATTTTATTATGCCAAATTGTAGCAAAATGGAGACGGATGTTTAAGTGATCGAATAGATCACACGGCTTGTCTTCAAGCCTCTGTTTGGCGACCCTTTTGAGGGATGTACAGCGGAGGCAGATGCCCGCCATCTTGGACAATTAATCGCTCTCCTGTAAGACACCAAACGGGGCAAGGTAAAATTCAAGTGATATCCAAAGCTCCAAGATATATTTAATGATTCCATAAAAGGGAATAGTTTGTTAATTATGACCAGTGTTATACTTTGGCGAATGCACTAAAGTAGAGAGGAAATATTGTCGCCTGGATTTTACGTTTTTTGGGGAGGTTAGAATTCTGTAATCAAGATTTGGAATCGAAAATTGTGACCAACAAGTTATTCATCTCTTTCAAGAAAGTACATGGCTCTAGCACACAGTCCTTGAGAGACTGTTGTGAGCTAAATCAAGGATTCTCAGTAATGAAAGCTTTATTTGTTTGTGAACATTTAAATAAGGCTAGATCTACTAAATGTTTATTTCTATGTTGATTTGACTAAATATAACATGATGGATTGAATAATCCCATACGGCTTGTATTATGTGGCTCTTATTAATTCAGAACTGAGGCCTACATGTAGGCCCACCCCAGCTGCTAGTGTAAACATTTGTTTATTTGTTTGAAGTCAGCAAATATGTTTTGGTCAAAATGAGTAAGTGTGTCAAACTGTTGGCCATAACCGACTCACTGAGTGTAAAATTTTATATCCTATATTTAATGTGACCTAACCAGGCAAGTATTACTAGACACAGAATAATATTCTCCTTCACTGATCAGTTGTGGTAGGTACATTAGTACATGTACCTTAAATGCCTCTACCAATGAGTTAACATAACACAGTGGACCTACTGTAGCAGGCCTAGTTCTGCCATTTTTATTTCGACATTCCATCTCACTAATTTATATTGATTTGTTCCCTATAAGTCCACAAAGCCAAAGGCAATAAGCATTTCTCATCCTTATGTCACTGGTGACATTTATAAATTAGAATATTGTAGAGGCCATTCTATCAACTGTGTACACACACAATAAGAATTTTCTTGAACTTGTTGATTTTATTTTTCAATCTGACATACATGCATAGTGCTAACTATTTATAATTGACTTTAGTGTACTTAGCTACAGAGCTACACACATATCAGAGTTTTGTTAAGCTAGGTTAATGATTGATTCTCGGTCTAAATTATAAAATAATTAGCTATTTCAGTACAGGCTTATAGCAGTATTTAGGTAAATTATCCCATCATATGCCATCAAATAGAGCAGGTATACTACAGTACATGTATGGCTAAGGTACAACTTTCATATTTTATTATCCTGTCTTTCTGTGGCAGGGTAATATTAGTTCTTAGCTCTGCTATGATGTCAATTATTCTTAATTTGAGGACAAATTGTTGTCTCGTCAGAAGACAATGCTATTTTTTTCGACCAATCACAGCATCTCATCAATGGATTAGTTTAAATACCAGTAAGAGGGTTTCTGAATCTTGCCAGTTCAACTTTAATCCAAACATAAATTCATATTTAAAATTTGAAAGCATGATAGAACTGGTACTTTCATTCAATAATTTAAATACATGTAGACTGCAGCACAGAGATGGCATCACCCATGTTTAAACGACACACAGCCTATTGTTGTAGCCTACCCAGTAAACACACACATTTTGGTCACGGTATTGCAAGTTTTAAATAGGGCAGTGTACCTTGAAGATGATATCTTTGGTTTATTATTTTAGTTATATCAAGTTCTGGACTGTAAAATTACACAACTGAAACATTTGGAATATACATGTAGGGGTTAACATCATGTGAAACTTACTTACATGTACATGTATACCGTTACACACCACTACCAACTGCTAAGGAAGCATTTGCTTAGTAAGATATGTACCCTTTTTTTTTCATGCTTGTCTAAAAGACAAGACATTGTGCCCAATGCCCATGTAGCAATTTTTATTTCTATGACTGAGGAAGAGAAATTTGCATGGTCAGCAGTATTTTTATCTACACAGCTTTAAAGCACAAAATGCTAACTGGTCTTTCATGTGGACCTTTAATCTGTAGTTACTTGTACACTGCTTTTCATGCTATCTGAAAAAACAGACATTCTGTACTTTCTTTGCATGCGAGACGCCACCTTATGGAAATGATTCAAACTTTTAACATTCTGGTTGTGAGTCCTTTGTCCTAACGGATCAACCACTGCAGCACCGATAAGGCATCTCTCACTACCATGTAGGAGTCCTGCATCCTAACCGCTCATCCAATGCAGCACTAATTAGATATTTTTTGTACTACAGTGCAAGTCCTATCCATTCAACCACTGCAGCTCTAATTAGATAACATTCACACTACTACATGTGCGAGTCCAGTGTCATGTACTTGTAACGGCACAACTGCCGTAGCTTTTTTTTGGGACAGAGCTTCACTACCACTGATCATAACCAATGCAGCTTCAGACAACTATCTAATACCATCCTGTTTCCTCCTACTGCTAAAGACCCCTACACGCAAGCAAATTATTGAAATAAAATTGAACCATATGTTAGTCCCGAAATGACCTAGTTTGTCGAGTGGACGTTAAACCCCATTTCTCTCTCTCTTATCTCATACCATGTGTGAGGGGTGTTGGATGGCTGAATTGTTAGCGTGCGCGCGCTGTATCATAAAGTCTGTCATTGAGTCGACTGGCGTGGTTTCGAATCCCCGGTTGTACGTGACAAGGAGTAGGGTCGCCTGTCCAACCTCGTGGTTTTCTCCGGGTCCTCCGGTTTCCTCCAACTGCTAAACCCCTACGCGCAAGCGAATTATTGAAATAAAATTAAACCATATGTTAGTCCCGAGATGACCTAGTTTGTGTCGAGTGGACGTTAAACCCCATTTCTATCTCTCTTATACCATGTGTGAATCTTGTGTCTAAAGTTTCAACTGGAACTTCAAACCTTTCACTCTGATTTTAGTTTTATTAGAATTTTTGTTGAGATTTACTGTTTGTATGTTAAATAATAATTCCATTCAGGCTAGCGACACCTTTTTGTTCAAATGTATAAGAATTCAGTCAACCTGCTGACATTGAGCATATTGATTTTATTGTCAATAAAACATGTAGCTATAGTTAGCAGATATGAAAGACATGAAGCTTGTTGTAATTAATAATGTTTAAAGCTCCAACAGTATTACTGCCATCTAACCAACATTTCAATCATAGAAGCTGTCAAGCTGTTACGTGTACAATTGTTGACTGTACGACTATTTATTAATGATCATGCTTAATTTGCAGCCAGTCCAGTTGAAACCTCATGCATATGGGCTATTTGTTTTTGCCACAGCAGTGTTTGAAATAGTCAAAAATTATTATTTTCAGAAAAACTGGAGATGCCCTGACCCTTTTAAAAAGGAGTTAAAATTGAAATTTCAGCAAATTTGTTGTGATAAAATATTTCCCTATCATCACTAAAACCGTCAAACAATTTGAGTTTCTTATCAAAAGTTACAAACGGGTGACTCAATAGATGTAGTCCTACTTTATATTAATATAAGTATTAAGCCTGCGACATATGTCTGAAGCAATGATTATTGACTCCAGGTGTAGTACAGGTATACTCAGTCCAAATCTTCCAGTATTTATTGGTCTTTTATATATAATCTCCCGATGGTGGGGGTGGGGGCCAAATGGTTTATGGTTTGCACTTTAGATTATAAGATCTGACAATAAGTCTTATCAACTGGCATGGTTTCGACTTCCACCAGAGGTTTCATTCGCTTGTCAAACCTCAGGGTTTGCTCTGGGTCCTCGGTTACCTACAACTGCTAAAGATCCCCTGCAAGTGAATTAATGAAATGAAATTTAACCACATGTTCGTACAGTTCGTCCCAAAATAACCTAGTAGTAGTTTGTGTCGAGTGGACATTAAATCTCATCTCTCTCTCTTTCTCTCTTTATCTCTCTCTCTCTCTCTCTCCTCATATGGCTATTTTTAACAAGTTCCATAAGTCAGAAATAAAAGTCCACATTTTTGCGGGGAACTTGCTGATGCTACTACATGTAGATGGTACATTTGTAAGATGAGTGCAACATACAAAGATAAAATAATTGTGAATGCATGATTGAGATTCTGTTATTTTCTGGTCCTGATCATTATGTTTGTCATCATAATAATCATGCATTGATGCATTCTCTGTCACCAGGGACTTGAGATATAATTCTAGTTCTTTTTTGTTTAATATCTGTCTGATACCAGTTTTTAATTTCATGTTGTATTTTTCAGCTCCGGCGGATATGGATAACAGCAGTATACACAGTCTTGATCCTCGTAAACAAGAGCTGTTGGAAGCCAGATTCCTTGGTGCAGGTAGTAGGGTAAGTACATTATATATTCTGGTGATAGTTCAACCATTTAATAATTTGTACATGACAAGAAGCCACGGTGGCTAAGTGGGTAAGAAGCTAGTCTGGAGGTTGTGCGTTCGTTACCTGCATTGGCCGAGGAAGTTCATCGGATTTTCCGGCGTGGTTTCCCCATGTCAGTCGTGCAGGACAGAGGGCCTGACAAGGACAGCTGTTTAGTCGTTCGGATGGTGCAAAAAGCTGAGGACTCGCGTATACATTGGTGTGCACGTAAAAGATTTCTTGGCAGTTGAAATTTGATATAAGAGTAGGACATAGTGCCACTGCCCAGGCAATATTTCCTTCATAGCACACTGTATTACATATGCCCGTTTTCAATAGCCCAGTCGGAGCATAACAGTAGGACGTTAAATCACATTTCATTTAATTTCTGTACAGGAGAAGGACTAGGAATAGGGTTGCTGTCCAACCTCATGGATTTTCATCAGTTCCTCTGGTTTCCTCCCACTGCTAAAGCACTAAAAAAAAGGAAAAAAAATCTGTGCCGCACAAAATGGAAGGCACCAGTGGAATTGTGCCTGACTTTGTCAGTGATGTATACTTTATTTCCTGGCTTGGTAGAGTTAACGTTGAAAACTAGATCAGTTCAACAGTTGTATTTGTTTCTATTGACTTTTTAAACGGCATTATTCAAAAGCTAAATCTAGCACTGAACATCTATCTTTAAACCTTAAATGTTATATAAACTATTAGACATTTATCATGTCAAGACCATAATCAACTCTCAATGCCATCAGATAGGTCCGATTTTAAGTAGATTAGAACAGTTTGGCCATTTGATTATGTAATTAAATAATGTTGACCATTCAATTTTGATAATGAGTGTCCAATTTCTTGATCACTGTTGAAAAATAAACAACCCAAAATTGATTATTGATATGTAGTTAATACTTGTAAACTGAACACTCATTATCAAAATCAGTCAGCTTTAAACTGGACACAAGTACAAATTAGATGATTTTTGGTGATTTTAAACGATTTTTTACGAATTTTGAAACAAAGATTTGATATTGAATGAATGTGAAAGAAATTAGTGCTAGATACACAAGATTAAATGATACCCAGGTTACAGTGATATGTTAGTCCTGAAATGACCTTGTTGTGTTGAGTGGACATTTAACTCTATTTATCTCTAGAGCTCTTGAACCGATATTGTAAGTGTACAAAAAAAGGAGTAGAGTAGGACAATTTGGGGTGGGGTCCAGCAGACATTATGAAGGTCTGCCCAGATAAAAATATATTGATAAAAATAACATTTGTTAATCCTGTATATTAATCCATAACATGTACAAAACTGGATTATTCCAGTTTATTCACAAATTTATATTACAAACCTGGTTTATTCCAGTTCACCAGTTTTTTCAATTACTTGTATTAAGTTGTATTGCATTAGGAATTGTTGTGTTAGTATTGACCTTCAATTTGTTGTAGTTTTGTTTTAAAAAAGAAAAGATTAAAGATACAGCTGAAATTTAATCCTTCTTAACAAAGACATAATGAGGTTCAGTTTCTCAAGACAACATGATGGACTGGGGTTTCTTGAAACCAGACTATGATATAACTGCAGTTTCTTGAAACTGTACAATTATATTTGTTCCTAAACAAAGAAGTTTTTCTTTTGGGGTACAGTACACTGGTCCAGGCAGAATGGTGTCTTTTACTCATTTTATGGCTTCAAATGATATTTTATGTACCCATTTACACTAAATAGGAAATATTTTTTATCAAGATATAATTCAAACACTGTTATGTGTTTTTCTAATAATACTTCAAAAAAATGTTTTAGAATTTAATTAGCAGAAGGAAAAAAGTGAATATTTTGAGCTAATTAACTCGCAGCGATGTCCTCCCTATCAGTGATTGCCTAGCGAATTTCCACTGCTGATCAGATTGATAGTATGTATCATTGTATGGTTGTATTTGTAAAGTAGAACTTGCAGACTGAGACTGATTGTTGATGATGTATACTCACAGTCAGCTCTTCCATTTTCTTGCAACTAGAATTTGTACTTAGTTTCTAATTGTCAACCAATAAAAATACAGTATCCTTGAAATAGTCTCCCGGATAGTCTCCAGGATAAGGGGGTTGGGTGGCTGAATGGTTAGCACGTGCGCGCTGTACCATAAAGTCTGTCATTGAGTCAACTGGTTTCGAATCCCTGGTTGTACGTGGCAAGGAGTAGGGTCGCCTGTCCAACCTTGTGGGTTTTCTCAGGGTCCTCCGGTTACCTCCCACTGCTAAAGACCCCTACGCGCAAGCAAATTATTGAAATAAAATTAAACTATGTGTTAGTCACGAAATGACCTAGTTTGTGTCGAGTGGACGTTAAACCCCATTTCTCTCTCTCTCGTCTCCAGGATAATTAATATTTGTTGGGTTAAGTAAACAAATAGATTATGACCCTTAATTTGTTAGAGATATATTTTTGTTTGACAGAGTTCTTGAATGAATTAAGGACGATCCCTTATTTGTTAAATTTGTCTAGATTTCGTGAACATGATTTTGAGGTCTGAATGCTGTGATTGTTTTTTTATTAGAGATTTTACGGAACATTTCCGAACATGTTAAAATTATGACATTTCTCTTCAATGGACTTAATAACTTAACAGCGGTAGGATTATAATCTGTAATGAAAACGAGCGACTTTGGGTTTTTTAAAATGGCTGCAACAAGTTTAACAAGTCTTTTCTCTCTAACTATCCTCTTTTGAGATAATGATTTAGAAGATTTTGGCTCTGTCTTTCATAACGTGTATCTCCAAACTGCAAATACGTTTGAGTAAGCAAAATAAGCTGAATGATCCTTTCGTCTTGATGTTGGTGGCGTGGCACGATTTTTCAAGGTCTGTATATGAGTACCTCTTCTACTGACCTTGACCTTGTAGATTGATTGAGTAAATCATTAATGTCCATTGTAGTCCAGACTTTTTTCCTGTATGCAAATGAGGTTCCATATAAGGTATATGTACTAATATGCTAAGTTCTGTTATGCATTTGTCTATAGTGCAGAATGGAAAAGTGTAATGTACAAAATAACTATTATACTGTATTTTGTATTTTTGAAAAATGTATTCTGTATTTTAACATTGTGGCAATGGTATTGCGGAGCAATGGAAATTGCAAATAGTAAAACTAAACTACGTATTTTGAACTGCTGACATATCAAGTTTGCACTGTGAACATTGAAATAATATTGGCAAAGTTATTTTTCCATATTGATGATATTGCTTATGAACGTACATGTAATAGACTTAAGACAGTATACTGTGTCACAGCTTGATGTTATTTTTAGAAGAGAATTTCCACATAACAGGCGAATGTGCTTCTAATAATCCAAAGCGCGACATGTGGATCATGCGCTGGAGGTTGGCGATCCTTTGAATAGAGAATGAAAATCATAAAAACTGTTTAAAATGCATTATGCAAGAGGTAATTCTGCCTATTGCAGATCTTTCTTAAGGCCTGAAATGTTATATAAACTATTAATTTGACATTTATTAACATGGAAAGACAATAATTAACTCTTGATGCCATCTTATCCGATCTGTTGATGATTAAACTCATTCAAATACATTTTTGAATTGTCAGATATTCTCTCACAGTCTCACATACATTTGTACATGTAACAACTTTTTGTCTCCAAAGGAATTATTAGTGAGCAGAAATTTGCCCATGTGTCTGTTATCACTCGTCACTCCAGTCAGCTATATAGAAGGATAACTCATGTTTTCCTTTTGCATTCGTCACTTCGTTTCTTGAAATCTTCATTACGCATCTATCGTAGCATTGATCTATGTGTTAAAATAATATTTGGAATGTGTTTAACCAGTTCTATCACATATGTGATAATGACTGGCACCAATATTATCCCTTAACTATATATAGTGAGAACTGCCAGCTCTTTATCCAAAACATACATAATGTATCTTTAATATTAATATCTAATAGACAATCAAGATAATAAAAAGTGAAAGATGTGCTTTTAGTATAGATTAAGATTATCTGATGTAATACTAATTATAACCAGTACATAACTCTCTAACAACTGTCAATAATACTGTAATTTACACAGTTCTAATTACACAGATCAATCATATTAACATTACACTCACACTGTCTTACATACTTTAAAATCAAATTATCTTTTACTTTATATGGTTGCCTATTGCAGTGCATTGTACCATAAGGTCTGTCATTGAGTCAACTGGCATGGTTTCAATTCAACGGTTGTGCGTGACAAGGAGTGGGGTCGCCTGTCCAACCTCGTGGGTTTTCTCCAGGTCCTCCGGTTTCCTCCCACTGCTAAAGACACCTACGTGCAAGCAAATTATTGAAATAAAATTGTTAGTCCCGAAATGACCTAGTTTGTGTTGAGTAGACATTAAACCCCATTTCTCTCTCTCTCTCTCTCTCTCTCTCTCTTGCAGTGCAAACCTTGAAATAACTATTTTTGTTGTAACCTACCTGACTGTACATTTGCTAATGAACTACATTGTAGTACCTGACATTTTGAACTTTGTTCTGGACAAGTATTTATACATGTAGGATCTGTGTAAGACATTACATGTATGATTGGCACCAGAAGGATTTTGCCAGACATTGTCACAGGTGCCTTATTTCCATTCTTGGTTGTGATTCTCAAACTTTTTTGTATGCCCACATAGAAATGTGTTTGTATATTGCTGTCTCCCCCGTCCATCTACAGACTACTATTGTTCTCTGATTGTTTTGAAATTGATCTATGTTATAGTGAGATGAAGAAGCCTATTTGATTTCAATAATTTCTGTTAATATCTTCTGGAGTTACAACTAAGGATGTAAACGGTTACTCGGTTGACCGGTTACGGTTCGGTTCTGCAACCAGACCGGTTCGATATTCCTGTGACCGTTATTCGTTCTATATAACAATGTCAGTGTATATCGACCTAGTAGTAAACTAGCATTAGCCCAGG